AAAGCCACGAGAAGTCAAACTCAACACCACTTTCAAATCGGCGCCAGTATCGCGCGCCCACGTGGTGGTAACTTTAGCAAAGATCCGGAAAGCTTCTGACGACAGTGGAATTCTTGCAACGTGTTCATCAAGTGCAGTATGGAAGTCCTCATTGGATCGCAAACGGATATTCAGCAAAAGTCAAGTTCGTGTTACTACTAAAATGTTCTGGCCTATTTATCGGTTGGTTGCCTCGTCTTAGCTTCCCGCCAAACTTCAAACACCATGCTGAATGCAAGATGCAAACTCTACTATTATTGCACGCTGTAGTGTGATATGAGCAGCTAACGTCTCGCTTTCGGATGATATCTTCACCGACGAGCTCAAATTATACGTGGTTAGCCACGGAGTGTTCTCCGTTATCATTCCCGTTCATCCCAGAATCGTACCGTTACTCGTGCCGTCAGGTACGAGAAAAGGCAACGTTGTACTGAACGTCAACGGACGTGGCCCTTGATCACTTGATGACACTGGCTTAGGCGCGCGACTGGGACTTGTTCCTGGCCCCGTTTTACATGACTCTTGTCAGCCTTAAATCTCTTCCCTTTGGACCGTCGATCTGATCAGTGACTGTCATCGAGCTTTGGACGAGAGGAATGAGGCCATGTTGAGTTGTTACGGGAAACGTGTTAGGAGTGCAGTCCGATATCCCAAAGTCGTAAACGCGTTTCCAGACATTGCCATTTTCTCGACTTTCCCACTCTGGGGCACACTCGCCGAATGGTATCCGCGGACTGTCTGATAGTCGGCGGTACCGTGCTCTGACTTTTTCTTTGCAGCATCTAGACTACTGCACTGACCGTGCTGTCCGAGCAATATTGACCTACTTCGGAGCCGAATCAGTAGGAAATGGTACGCCCTCCTCTTTTGGCGTCAGGATGCTCGTTTGGGGCTGCGAGAAGGCGAACTTCTCGCACTTTCATCGGATCGGATACATCCCCTGACTTTCGAAGATGCATCAGTCGTGTTAAAGTGGCAAATCACGCTTGCGTATGTCTTTCGGATGTGTTCTCGAACCAATGTGAAGTGGCCTAAATTCGTACGACATCGCGATAAGGCAATGCACAGCCAAATTCTCATGCCCTACTTACACTCGGGTAAAGTATTCAACTCCAGCTACATGTATACTCAAGAACCAGAAGATTCGCCCTCGAAACCGACCTATGAAGGCGATGAAAACCAGTCTGAACTAATTTCCATGCCCAGACACAGGAAAATTAGACCATGAACGAGGCTACATCTCAAATAGTAGTCTGCATCCTGTCTTACCTCCACCTCTCCAGCCAGTACACTCACTCTGAGTCATCCTCGATGGGCTCTCATACAAGTAGAGTTCTTTGACCTTCACGAGGCTGACACATAGACATGCCGCCGGGGTCGGTGAACGCGGCATCATGTGTCAGTCACTTGCATAAGGGTCTTTCTCATTGAAAATCAAAGTCAATTTACAAGCTAAATTTGCTTTCAACACAGGTTGCTAGGCGAAAAGGGCATTGGATTTTGCGTGACAGACGTCTCAAGGCACCCGTCTTTCCTAAACCCTGCCTTGGAAGCAAGAGAGACTTTCGGGAATCTATCCGCTTCGGCTGTAACGGCACGATCCGGCACTCTGCGGATGCCTCATCACCAACTACCGACTCCGGTCGATGGTAATGCCAGCGCTTGTACGAAACTACCGTGCTGGTTCGGTCTCGATTGGAGAGCGGATATCACGAGAATGGCCGAATCGTGCTCTGGCCTGAGAAGAACAAGATCAAGGCCCCGCTCAAGATGTTCGCTCCTCTTGCGGAGTTTGAAACATGCTAGACTGGGTGACGTATTCGCACAGAGGTTAGCGGAGCCCATAGGGCAGATCCTCTAGCGGAACTTCCGCTAGAGGAGATACCGGGTCTCCGTCAAGTCCGCTGGACAGCTGATTTATCCTATATCCCCGGAAGCAGTGAGAATTCCATGTATCCCTGAAGTGTATAGCATTTTTGGCTGATACTTTGCCTAGTCTTTCCAGCTGCCAATTAGCCGGGAGTAGCATGACGTGTCTATTTTGCCCGTTTCTCTTGGCCCTCAATATTACGTGGAGATACTTTATAGCGTGCACGTTAAGCTTGCCATTGTGGTGTTATAAGTCGCATAACATATTGCCTGATGGCGCATCTCTAGGTCAAAAACATCATGTTTATATCTATAAGCTACAGGTCATATGATCACGCCATAATCAATGTAGCAATCTCGTGTCTGTTTAGGAGCAAGGGAGCGTTGATAATGAAAGGGAGGGATGCTTAGCTCACAACCGCAGCTATCGGGGACCAAAAACACGTACATTATGATGATTGAGGTATTATGGTGACTTATCCATGAGAAAGGTAGCGGGGATAGGGGGGCAAACCTTTCGGAAGATAACGCACCTACTCAGGACCGTAGCCTGAAGCTATGTCTGGGCGACAAGTGTCTTCAATTTCTCTAGTTTGATGAATGCAACGACTCCGGTTTCCCATACTGTTTCCGTCAACTCCGCGCCTGTGAGACTACAGCTGTGATATGAGAGTAGTATTGAATATACGTGTGAGGAAGGTTGCTCCAGACCAAGTCTTGGCTGGACTTAGACGAGATGTGTTTTTCTCAAACTTCGATTGACTCATCTCATTACTCAGTCTATTATTTTTCAGAGCCTCGGCACTTGTGGAAGTCATCACGGTCAGTCTGTCCATGACTCAACACAGACAACACAGCCGCCAAGAGCCTTAGATCGTTGCGATATCGCGCTGCAAATGTAGCATCCGGCCTCAGCTTGTCTCGCTTCGTCTGACCAAGATAGCAGAAACACCTAGCCTCAAGATCCATTATTCAAACATTTCGATGGCGTGTGACGCAACCACATCAGGGAATCCGAAGGATTGCTCCCACCGGCTGTATCGGATGAGACTACCATCCTAATGCAGGCATGTAAGTCTTGAAGATAAGGTTGAGGGATGAAGAGTAATGTCAACATGACCCCTGTGTTACCTGGGTGATTCGGGTCATGCAGAGTCGGCTGAGCAGTAGCCTACCCTTGGCTAGACACGCTATTTGCCGAGAACTTCGGGTCATCCAAAAGATTGACTTGCGAATGTGAATATTTCAGCTACCCAGGCTTCACCAAGTCAATTATCAGCTCTATAGGGTTTGAATCACAGTATCAGTCAACACACATGAATCGACGCAACCCAGTAACAAACTCCTTGCCAATTTGGAAAGATCTTTTACTTCACGTCACGTACAGTACAAGTCAAAAATTACTGAGCGTGATCAAAAGGCTGTCATTGTCGCATACCAATCTTTCCTTCATGTCCCGAGTAAATATCAAGGCAGGTAATCTGAGCGAGTGTCATTCGGTCGTCAGGTTGCACTCTGTGTAGCTATGACTGACCCCTGAGACGTCACTTCAACGACAATTTGGATGAAAACACAAGGCACGACACACCTGACGCCGGAAAAGTATCTTACCGACTTCTCTTTATGAGTACCATAGCACTGATGTGGTTATCTGCGAGCAGGTACCACTGCGAGATGCTTTCCGCGTAGCACGCGTTTAATCTGATTTACTTGGTTTAGCACGGAACGATAGATGAGGCTCCTAGTCTATATAAGTCTCGTTAGTCTTCGAAGACGGCAAATTAGGACCGAGAACCCCTAGACAAGAAGAGGAACCGTGATGGCGATATCTCAGTTTTGGTCAGGGCAGTTTCCTCTTCAAAACACTATGCTACCTTGGTAAAGAGTCCTCATTCACTCTCACTTCAACTCTCAAGTTTCAGTGTGCACAGCCTCACAGCATTTCAACGCAAGAAGCAAACATATCACGGCCTCGTATCTAGTCCTAGTCACGAGAAAGTGGGTCCTTCTCTTAGGTGTTCCCTTAGGCAGTAAGACCTTAGGTCTGCCACGCGCAGTGGGCCACTGGCAGCTTTACTAAACAGTGAGAACATCTACATTGCCATGCGATGACGATGGTTGCTTCTAGTTCAATACAATCACCGTCATCCAATCGTAGCATTCATGGGAACAACTAATCTAGTCGGAAGTATCGGCATTGATGAATAGCCGGTGAGCGACCACTTGCCTACCCTCTTAGGGCAATTGTTGGGGAGGCTTAGAGAACGCGTTTTCCGTCACGTAGGACGAAATTGAGTTAGACCAAATCCTGCGATGATTATGACGTTGAAACATTTGTCTAGGGTAGCTCTTCCAAAGTCTCAAAGTCCGAGAATAGATTTACGAATGCTTCTGGCCGTTTTTTGGCGCCCGAAAGTCCCGCGCCCCGGGCAATGCTTGGGCGGTCAATCCAGGTACAGCTTGACATGACGCGGTCGTCAGCATCGTAATGCGGTTCAGCCACTCGCTAAGGGATTAGCTTCTTGGCAATGTTCCTCCTGCAGGCCTCAACACAACCACTTTAACGTAACACGGAGCAGCAGGAATTTTCCTCGGAAACACATCAACATACAAGTGACTCTGCATGTATCAGACTATCCTGTTCTTTCGAAAGCTATGTCTACGAAAGGGTCAGTGTAGGTACCTAAACTGGCGTGCTTAAACTTGGGTGGCTGATGGGAAGAACACACTCTAGCCTAGATTATAAACTGCCGTAAAATCGTGTCCTCTTGACCAACTGCGCTGTGTTCATGGCTTTTCAAAATGTGGGTTTGAAGCTGAAACAGAATAACAGAAGAATCAATGGTTGCCAGCCTCAAGATTAATCCCGCGACTCAAGTGATGGCTTCATAAGATCAACCAAGGCATAGCCCGCAGACAGTTACGCAGGCAATAATGTGACTTAACGCCTAATACTTACCAATCACGATGTTTTGACAGACGCGACTAGTGCCAAAGTAGCTAAGAGAATACGAGAGTCGCTGCAATGCACACTGCCAGGGCGAAATGCGCCTGCCTGGCAGGCTGACTAGCATCTTGATCCTACAACCAGCCAAACATCGATGGCAATGGATACTCAGCTGCGGTCTTGGGCGATGAAAGTACTTTTGCCAAGGTGGATGTCTAAAAATCAACACGTCGTTGCTATAATAGAGGATCTCCAGATTTATTGAAATACCATCCGTTGCCTCGACATTTTGGACGACTTGTTAGTAAGAATCCACACTACAGCAGCAACCCAGATTGTATCCTTCCGAATCCTCGACATCCATACAGGGGACAAGCTCTAATAAAGTATCACTCATCCTCATCACGATGGTGTCTTCTCTCCTCTTGGTCGGGTCCTTGTTCGGCCTTACCCAAGCAGTCTCTCTACCCTTGACTACAAGAAGCACAAATTCCACCAAAGCCTTTAGCTGGGTTGACACAAAACCAACAAGAGACCTGCAATACCACGACTGTGGCGACGGCTTTCAATGCGCCCGACTCGAAGTTCCACTCGACTGGTCAAACCCAACCAAGAACAGCACTGCGTCGATTGGCATCCTCAAGCTCCCGGCCACAGTTCCGAATGACGACCCGTCCTTCGCCGGCAGTATTCTCATCAACCCCGGCGGTCCGAGCGGTTCTGGCACAGGTTTTGCTTACTCCTTTGGACCCATCTTGCAGAAAGTCCTTGGCCAGGACCGCAACTATGAGATCATTGGGTTTGATCCTCGTGGTGTCAACACAAGCACGCCTCGCGCGGACTGCTTCAAGGGCGACCAGTTCGCCCGCAGGCTTTCTCAGGAGCGCGACTCCGTTCTACCCCCGATTGATGACGCCCTTGGCTATCATTGGGCCGACGCTAATGCTCAGAGTGCTCTCTGTGAAGAGAATGGTGTCGATAGTATCTGGGGTCATATGAACACCGCGTCCGTTGCCCGCGACATGGTGGGGATTATTGACCGCATTGATGACCTGCGCTGGAAGGAGTCAGGCAAGGCCAAGCCCAAGGATGCTGAGGCAGCTCGCCTGCAGTACATTGGCATTTCATACGGAACCTACCTGGGCAACACCTTTGCGTCAATGTTTCCTGAGCGAATTGGCAGGATTTGGATTGATGCTGTCGTTGACGGTGACGACTGGGCTGCTGGTGTAAGTACGTCTCCTCTCTCGAGAATTGATCCAAATTTAATCGATCTGACAGACCTTCCGAAACAATATCAACGACGTCGAGAAGATCGTTGACCAATTTTACGCCGTCTGTTTTGAATCCAAGGAAGACTGCCCCCTTTTCCAGTCGTCCGACAAGTCCGGATCAGATGTCAAAGCCCGTGTCGCCGACTTTCTCAACGAGATGGACACCAACCCCGTCTACTTCGCCTACAATGACCGCCCGGCAGTTTTGACATCGCCAATCATTCGCCAGGCGATTTTCTCTGCCATGTACACTCCCTTGGTCTCATTCGAACCACTGGCTCTGGGTCTCAGCGCCCTTTTGAATGGGAACTCATCCGTTCTCGCAAACTTCTTAACCCCCGAATCCATCAAGCTCGTCTGCGACCTGGAGAACAATGAGCTTCCTCAGTACAACTGGGATTCTGACGTTTTGTCTGGTGTTCTTTGCACCGACATTGTAGATGACGTGGCCAATCGCAACATCTCCTTCTACGAAAATTTGCTTAACGAATTGAAGAACCAATCCGAGACAACTGGCACTGCTGTAACCGGAGCAGTCCCGATCTCCTGTGCCGGCCGCAAGATTCGCCCGCCATACGCGTTCACGGGACCTTTCACAAGCCCTGCCGCCAACGCCAACGACACCAAGGCCCCCGCTGCACCGCTCTTGATCACCTCTAGCCGTTACGACCCAATCACTCCTCTCAGAAACGCCCTGCACGTTCAGAAGGGACATCCTGGCTCGGCTGTGGTGATTCAAGAGACTTCCGGACATGGCGCGACGTCTAACCCAAGCGTTTGTCTCGTCAAGATCGTTCGGGATTACTTTTACGAGGGCAAGCTGCCTGAGAGTGGTACCGTCTGTGAGTCGGTATGTAAGCCGACGATTCCGGCTGATAAGGAGAACTGCACCTCCATTCTCAGCTCCAGAGATGTGGATTATATGTTGCCGCCATTGGGAGAGTTCCACTGGTTCTAGTTGAAGAATATAGATTATTCTATTTGATTCAACAGAAGTCATTACTCAAGCGTAATCTCAGCGTAATCTCAACTTTAGTGTTCTTATGACAAGCATTCTTCTATAGATATGCCAACAAGTCTTATGCAATCTATTCCCTCTAATACGACATGTCTCGCAATCAAAGCAAGGTTGTGTGAGAGTACTTAAGCTCAAGAATTAGCATGGTGACAAGAGAATCTTGATTAGCTAGTTTTGGGCAAATGCCGTAGAGGTTGACTAAGAATGATCTTCAGCCACTCACATCTACCACACCATTCAGGCCACTCAACCGCGAGTCTCACGGTCTGCAACACAGTCTTTATAGTCGACGTAACCTCCTCATTCTAACACTAAAACGGGGCTTCAGTCCCTCAAACACTCTGGCCCAGCGGTTGAAATGGACCACTCAGCCGGGGGCGTTTGATTTCCATATGTCTCTATTCAGACAGGCCTTGACCGCTTGAGTTCGACTCCACGCTCGGGAGCTATTCTTTTAACCTTTCGATAACTCGAATACATCCAGCCACCCAGGCAGATGTAGACCTGTAAATGAGACAGACTTTGACGTCGAATCTGTGACATGTAAAAACCCTGGACTTGAGGGTAAATTTAGGCTGGACCACCTCATAAATGTCAACTCCACAGCCTGCTCTTATGTTCTTATTGAGTCGTACATATCTTCCTAGAATCAGGAGCCTTGCAATTTAGAAATAGCCAAACGCCTAAAGCCATCCTTGAAGTTGCTTTTCACCGCTGGCAATTTGGGATGCCAAGGTAGAAGGTTCCAGAGTGATTGTTTTTTTTGCTTCGCGATGTCTCTATCGAGACTGCCCTGTCTTTTTCAAGACCTGCAATTTCAAATTCACAACCCGAAACCTCTGACGGGCTGTGATATAATTAGCCTCTCACTCATACTTGCCACAGGTATGTGAGATTTTCCGCTTGACATCCTCTTATGTCCATGGCGTAACAGCTTACCTGTCTTACAACCATCGATCTCTTGGGTCTGGCCAAAAGCTCTGCCATTTTGAAAATTGCTGCAGGTCCCATTCTAAGGACTCGAAGATGTTTGTCTTGTCCAGAAAGACGTTTCCAAGACTCAGCTGGGTGGGTAAGGGATTGGGTGTTAACACGAATATTCCAGGACAATCGCTATAAGTGCCGGCCCATAGCACAATCCATCTAAACGGTGGGACCTCTTCTGTCACCCCCTTAAAGAGAAGTTCTCTACGTTCCATCCAGACGATGTAACGATCCGTGTCAATGATTTCACCCCCTCGGATGGACTCCTCAAATACATGGTCAAGTCGATTGCAACCTCCACGATTAAGCTGGCGTTCCATGATTGCATCTTCATCGTCTGAGGCTCCCTCGACAATGTTTCCTAGGAATTTTAGGTTTTGTAGTACAATGGACACCTCACCCTGCAGTTGTGGAATCAGTTGTGGTATGAACTCCTCACAATTCCATATTGTGTAGAAGCGCTTCAGCCCGCGCGTCACCAGCGCCTCGAAGAAACATTCATACGCGGGCGAGAGAGGCCCTAGATCATACGTGCATCAGTAAAAGTAACAGACGAGGAAATGACAGTGGTAATACCTTCATTGAGATCAAAAACCTTTAGCGTTGAGAGATGTTGGTAGACAAACTGAAACTCTGTGTATCTAGGTCGATATGATTGACAGTGCCTGAAGGAAAACGAATAAGCTGGCGGTAGTAGAACCGGATCTCGCAGTAGATGCAACTTAGCTCTTCAATTTCCCAAGATTATAGGTATTTGTTCAGAAAGCGCAGCATGTCGGCATTCAACGTCGTCGGCAGCAGACGAGCGGTGATACTCCCCAGGCCGTAGTAGCTACACCACATCTCGAAATGGTAGAGCCCACGGATCATACGGATTCTCTCTGTAGCGCTAGCACTTGATACGCTACAGTCTTTCGCCTCTTGACGACCCCATTGACGCAAAAGCCATGAGAGGACAGATTTTACAATCAAGGAGTAGAAACGTGCGATGCTGGCCAGATCATCAACAGTATATACTGCTCTGAAACTCTCTGGATCGGACTGCAACTTGATATATGTATCCATGAACTCCTCCAGAAGCTTAAGTTTATCTTCACTAGTTGACTCGCGCAGAATGCCCAGCTTATAAGCCGCAAAGGCGTCAACAAGTACGCGATGGCTGCGGAAGGTCTTGCCTAGGTGGTAGTATAGGAGTCCGCGCCTCGCTGTGAGATAACATTTATGCAAAGTGGGCGAGGCGCAAATGGCAGCGTGGAGGTCATCCAGGTCCGAGAGATTGCGGAGGACCTGCAACTGAATTTCTGGAAGAAGGCCGTCGAGGGTCAAGCGCCTAGCGGCCTGCGATCCGTTGAGAGCGGATGTGGTTGAACACTCGGTTTGGTGTTTCGCTCCATCGGAGTCTGGGTAGTGAGGGCGCTGCTTTTCTGCTTCTTCATGCTTCCCGACAAGCGACTGATCTTCATCGGACCCCATTGAAGCTATATCATCCGCGATGGTTAGCTCTTCTCGATAGCTTGGCTACTGTGAAGGTAATAATGATTGAGTCTTCGACGCCATTTTGTCGCATGCGTCAATTGTTGAAAAGGAGAAAGGCTCGGTGCTCGTTGGCAGGTGCGGTCAGGTTGTTGATTGGGACTATAAGTTAAGCTACCAAATTGCTGGGCGCTCGCGATTTCTGAGCCCGCAGACCGATCCGCCGATATTCAAAGTCTGATAGTCGCATTATCCTGATCCTCGGACAATAAGCTGTGCGGGGAACTTCAGCAGAGTGTTGGATTGTGAGGGATAAGGGATAAGGGGACCTGGTTACAGAGGGCCAGTGGACTGGACCTTGACGTTAACCGATGATACCCTCCAGCTTAAGCTTTTCTCCGGCGAGTCTAGTGTTTCCGTCGACAACTAAAAAAGTAAATTTACTTCCACCCCTTGACGCCTTTTGTATCGTGTGTGAGCTGATGATGACGAAAATGAAGTAACCAATTACCATGTTTGAGCCGCCAACGCGAATAATGGAGAGACTTGACCATGTTCTCGACTCAGCGTGAATGGTCGATGTAATCGGCCGCTATCCCAACTGGCGATGTACTACCGACGTTATCTCAGATCTCGGAATCGCAACCTTCACCCGAGCCTGTAGTCATGCTAGCATTTCGAGTTTATACTTGGATCTGGGAAAAAACGGGCTATAATACGAAGGATGAAGCGCGGCAAAATCAAGCACGGCAAAATGACACACGTGAGCTAGCATTGGGGGCTTGCCTGCGGGATGTCTATTGTATGGGTTTACCCGCTGCCCTTCCATCTTGAGCAATTGGCACTGAACGGGGGTTACCACCGCGCCCCCAGCAAACCTCAACCCGGTGCTCTGGATGACACAGAACTGAGACGCCAATGCCATCTCCCCTGAATATTCTGGCAGTCATGTAACATAGACGCCAGCTCGTATTCCAGTGAATAACAATGCAATGCAATCTTCTTGCACTTCATGGCCGTAAGGAGGCGGCGCAGAATTGCGATCACGAATCGTGTCCGGCCCCGTGTAACAGACCCGGCATAGCAGGCCCCAGCAGGGTCAAAAACGACGTTAACCGCCGGGGATGAATCTAGGCTTGGATCAACCCCTTCCGTATTCGGTGGTCCGTGTTGTATTGCTCGCTTCCCCACCCCAGGTTGCCGTATGGGCCGCATACTCAGTTGAGCCGTATCTAGAACTTCGGGCTACCTTGGCGCGCGCTTACGTCGGCCCTCATACCGGGAGGCGATGCATGCACAAGTATTGATATGCTTCATGGTGCCCGAATATGGAGATGTCTTTCCCGACCTCTTGTAATTCTCATCTTGATTTACCTGATTCCCCACGTTTTGTAACTCCATCATTGCGTGGCTTTTATTTTACGGCTCCAATCGTACCAAACCCATCATTCAATTTCAGACTTACTAGCCTCCGAGATGTGTCATCAACGTGTCTTCATTCATGAGCATTGCGATTGTGTCTGGGAAAAGTATAGCAGTCTTTGCGAAGAGCACAATACACCTGGTCACACTATAGAGGATTGGCCCGTCTTAGTCGACAAACCGTGCGATGTGCATCCCGGAGGCACCCCGCTCAGTTTAGCCTACTTTCTCCGAGCTGCTGAGTTCGCGTCCCTTGAGGACGATGACTCTAGCACGGATGATACAATTTCAAGCTCGAACGTTCAGTCTGATGGAACCAACGAATCAGATGACGAGCCACAAGTCGACGTCCAAAAGGAACAAAAGAGAGATCGATCCGCTACATGCGACAATTCGGATCACTCTCTTGCCGACGAAGATGCTCATCGGCTCCATGACGATACCAGCATACCCGATCAGCAACTCTTTGCAGACTCCTTATGCATTTCAAATGCAACGGATGATAAGACCGAGCTGCTTTCTGGCCTTCAGTATTTCCGATACGACGGCGAGAAGAAGACGACCCAGTTCATAGCCAACGCTATCAAGGCACGGAATACTGAAGTTACTTTGTCCGTTGATTTAGGCCAATCAATCAAGTCAGGTGAGATACAGCAGCTTTTTAAAAGTCTTTACCTACGATTCGGGCGGCTTTTGAACCTAACTTGTCTCAGTATATCAGTCACTTCCTGTTGCAGCGGATGAAATTCGTGTGATCAAGTTGCAGCCGGCGCCCTCCCTTCTTGCACCAATTACTGCTGAACTTGTCATACTGAAACTGGGCGGCGGCTCCTCGCATTACGACGCTTTGTCTTATCGCTGGGGAGACTGCTTGGATCCGGTCAACATCACTATGAATGGCATATGCATGAGTGTTACACAGAGTCTGGACACTGCACTGCGCCATTTGCGCCATAGTAAAGAGGAAAGAGTTGTATGGGCCGACAGCGTCTGTATCAACCAGGAAGACATGAAAGAAAAGTCTATTCAGATCCAGAAGATGGATGAGGTCTACCGCGACGCAAGTTGCGTCAGGATCTGGCTAGGAGAAGCACAGGGCTCTACGGAGGCTGCCATGGCTCTTCTGAACAGCTGTGCTGCTCTAAACAACAAGACAGAAGCCACTCAGAGAGTCCTCGAGGATGATTCAGGCATCCGCGGGTTGACCGAGTTGTTACTGCGGCCGTACTGGTCTCGCATGTGGGTGTTCCAAGAAATCCTTCTTGCGAGGCGCGCAGAAGTTCATTGCGGAACCCTTTCTGCGGACTGGTGGACCGTCAAGACATTGGACATTCTTACCAGCAATCCCACCCTTTGTACTGTGCCAGAAACTCGTGTGGCCTTGGTCGGCAACATGCGTAAAGCATTCATGAATATTGCACATTTCAACATCCCGTCAAGCCAACCCAAGAGCATCGAAAACCTGTTGTTTCCAACCAGTCACCTTCAAGCCTCGAACGATCGAGACAAGCTTTATGCGCTCATGGGTCTTTGCAACATTGAGGCCTATTTAACTGTCGATTACTCAAAAGCCACCCGGGACATTTACATGGATTTTACTCGGCGTTATGCTGAGCGGACTGGCGATCTTAGCTTGCTCTATGGCGCAGGTCTGTGTCAATCTGAATCGGCTAGAGGCGAGAATATCGGTCTTACCTCATGGATTCCAGACTTCCGTGGCATAGATGGCAGAGACCCATTCCTACTCTCAGCTGGGCTTTCCAAGGCTTTTGATGCCTCTGCCGGAAATAGGTATACGGAAAGAAGGCAAGACGAGTCTGAGATGGACTTAAGAGATGATGGTCTCCTGGTTGAAGCTCTCGTGGTCGAAAAAGTTGTAAGGACGCAGTCACTCGACGTCAGCGATTCCGGACGCAGATAAATGCATCAGACATTCGGAATAGGACGCGAAAGTCGCCGTTCTTTCGGATTCCCATCTATGCGGGCCCTCGCAGAAGCTCTATGTTTGGGCAGAGATGCCAACAGCTTCCACCCCAGTCCGAAAGGAGACAGTCAGGACATGAATGTGTCCCTGTTTCGTCTTCTTGGGCTTCTCAGAGACTCAGAAATCCAGTACAATTTGGAAGCTTCCGACCCGGCACGCGAGCCAGGGGTCGCAGGTTTCTTGGATTGGAGTGGACTCAAGCAAACTGATCAAGTGAGTGAGACCTATACTCGGCTTTGGTCATCCGAGCCAAAGATGCTCGATTACTGCTGCAAAATTTTCATTCGCGAGCTTGATCGCATGCGAAGTGCGTCTTCGAAATTGTTCTCGACCAATTCTGGCTACATTGGCAGAACATCTGCCGAGGTAGCGGAAGGGGATATGGTGGCTATCCTCTCGGGGAGTAGACTTCCGTTCATTCTTCGCAAGTCGCTCAATGACTCCTCATATCAGATCGTAAGTCCTTGCTATGTGAGTGGCATGATGTTTGGCGAAGTTTTAGGGGGCTCTGGCGGGGACCGAGATAACGTTCATGAGTTTAAGGAAGTCATGTTGGTATGAGTTATGGTTGGATGATTAAAGCGTCTGAGGCTTCAGGAAATGTGATATACTGTAGAATTAAGAGTTGGCGGACCGGGAGATGTGCAGCTCAAACAGAGCAGGTGCCGCTAGTAATTCGATCATTGCCTTCAGACTCCCTGTAGGTGCGTCTCTATACATGAAGTCAGGATGTTGCAGGACAACACATTATCTTAGCTGTGTATTACTCAGGAGATTCAGGACAACTTGCTCTTGGAATAATCAAAGGTACTTAATTAAGTCTTGATACACGCGCAGTCAGGTGATAACTATTTCGTTGTTTCGTGAACAGCATCACACTCTAACTTATCCACCTCAATTATACTCTCCCATGCGGTAAAGAAGCAAACCGCCGTGGAATGGATGTGTTACAAGTGCCGAACAAGCCATAGCGACATAAGATATTCTTTTCACCAGAGATACCCGCATGAGAGGCGACAAGCCTCCAGTCCTTATTGTGAATAGGTACCATGCGGCACAGTGCAGTTGGCCAAAAGGGCTAAGGGTTTTTTTGTTATCTGATATTGCTCTTTCCTCTCTTCTTAAAGCAGAAGAACAATCGAGGCCACGAGTAGATCAAGTAGTTTAGCTTCTCCTGTCTCCAAACCAGCATCCATTAGCCTGCTTGATCATCTCTTTTCTGAAAATGGAGGGCCGTACCAATTCAAGCGTAGGACACACTGACCTAGACGTCGTGTTTCGGATGAAATCGGAATTTTCAATATACTTTAGAGATCTGCCCTAGCCTTTCCAGCCACGCTCAGCTACCCGAAGCCACGGAGCATCTCCCCAAAAGCTTCACGTAGGGGTGATTGGGGCTGGCTTGGCTAGACTGCGATATGCAGAGCTTCTCATCGATGGAGGAGCCAGAGTGACGATTTTGGAGGCCCAACATAGGATCGGAAGCCGGGTACGTTTAGTCAGGAGTTTGAGGCGATAGGACATTGTACTCGCTTACAAGGGCATACTCAGATACATCAGTCCGGATATCTTCATCATTCCGTTGATACGTACGTCACTCTGAGGTCCTGGAAGCCAAGAGCTCAAGATGCGGTTTACTAGCGCATCCGTAACCCTATTTCCAGCTTGGCCAAGTCCAGCGGCACCTCTCTGCGCTGTTGCGTACACTACGCATGTCTTTGGGACCTGTGGTGACATAATATCGAAGGACCTTGCCGACTCGGGACTCGACACGGTCTGGTCATCAATTAAAGAGGCTTTCAAATACAGCAACGGCGACTATGTAAATAAACATCAACTCGGAGCGAAGCCTGGAAGACCTTTTTCGTCAGAAACTCGCCGAAGGAAATCTTACTCAGGATGAGTAAGCCCGAGCTCTCCTACTAGCAGTGATGTAGCGACGAAGCCTCAAGTGGTTTTGGCTTGAGGAATGCCTCGATGGCGGTAAACGCCCCTTGAAATACCCCTTCCCACAAATAACTTTACTAACGGAGTGGTCGACCCACTGGATAACAGAGAATATCTACGTTATGGAGAACCATCACAACATTCTCAAGGGTGTTGCGGCGAAACCCCTTGCACAGGCTGGAATTCATCTATCCGCTGTGGTCGAAAGCATTGATAGTACATCAAGCGAATCTCAAGACACTAAAGTCGTAGTCAAAACATCAGATGACGTCTTTGAGTTTGACGAGGTGGTGGTGGCAGTTCCTTTGGGCTGTCTAGAGACTAGGAAACCGTCCTTCATTCGACCCTTGCCAAAATGCGTTCAGATGGCAATCGAGAATGCCTCCTATAGCAGTCTGGAGAAGGTCTATCTCACCTTTCCTGTCGCATTCTGGGATGGAAATGCAGCAACAAATAGTGTTCAGCAACCGCATAGCACGCCGTACCTCGAAGAAAGCCAGGTAAACCAGGAAGCAGACGGCAGTTTTCCCAGCTTTGTCCACTTCCTAAACCCAGAGTACGTTCTCACCGATCAGAAACACTGGCCCATCGAGATGGTTCCTTTGTCCTCGCCAGCAGTATTCGGATCTTATGCCATGCCGACCCTCCTGATATACACGTACGACCCGTGTGCGGAGCATGTCCTATCTCTCATCTAGGGTCTTGCTCCCGACAGCGCCGAATACTTCGACGTCCTCGACCGATTCATTCAGCCTTACTACAGCCGGCTTCCAAATTATCAAGCTGATCATGTGAACTGTACGCCCTCGGCAATTCTCGCCACGAATTGGCACGGTGACGAATTCGCAGGGAATGGATCTTACACAAAGACCAACAGATTCATTCAGATCTCGACGTCCAAGCCATGAGGGCTGGACTACCTGATCGAGGCATCTGGTTTGTCGGCGAGCACATCGCCCCTTTTGTTGCCTTGGGTATCACGGCTGGCGCGTACTGGAGTGGCGAAGCGGCCGCTCTACGTGTCCTGGCTGCGAATGGGCTCGCAACAAGATTTACTGCACCTTGTCATGAGGCAGCTTCTTGATAGGCCAGACTATATGGACAGAGTCTTGACTTGACCTTGATTAGGGAGGGGTCCAATGACGGGAATAGGGAGTTAGAAGGCCAATCCAAGTTACAACACATTATCAGCGTATCTGGCTGAGGTAGAGAACGAAATATATTAGGCTCCGTGCTATTCGGTTTTGGGTCTGTTTCTGGAAATATCGTCGTTCACCTTCTCAATCTCTTCCCTCGCTCGATCCCACCGACTTCGCTTGCCATCGAAGTAGCGGTAGATGTGTGGACTGTAGATGCCACCCATGAGGAGATTGCAGAAAGACCGATCCTTGAGCCAGTAACGCCATCCCTTCCAACCCCACCCCAGATATTCGTCAACCCCAGTTCCAGCCATCTTGTCCGCCCATGCTGACCAAGAATGGCCATTGACAAGCTGCGGATGAACATTGCTTTTCTTTACAAGGTCACACAGCCAATCATGGTGCTCGTCAACCGCCCGCTCCATCTCGTCCTGAGATGGAAGATCCGAGTTCCCCTTCCAGATCTGCACGACAGCCATGGACGCCAGGTCATATAGAACGAATGCCCCCGTTGCAAATGCCACGCATCCCATGAATGCAAGTGAGTTCGGGTACTTGAGAGACAGAACATTCTGATACAAGCGAGGCAGTGGTTTGCCCCTAGACCCCTGGGACGCAGTCCACTTCGGTGTGGTATCAGCTGTTGGATCAGCTTCGTGGTCCAGTAGACTGAAGTTGGGTTTGTATCCAGTGCAGTAGATGATAGCATCCACCTTCAAAGTCCTCCCATCCATCAACTCAACTTCATTTGGCCCGGTTACACATTTGACACCCGATACAGATTCAACTTTACCACTCTCAAGGGCTGGAACAATCTCGTCTGACACGACTGGGGTGCTGGTTTTGATTGAGGGAGCTGGTGAGAGATTCCACTCAGGACGGATCTTGAATGCAGAATCCTGCAGCTTTTTGACAAAGCTATTGAAAAGGCGTTCAGATAGATTTGGGAAGAATCGCTCAAGAAGCCTTTGGAAAGTGATCAAGCGAATGTTGAGTGTGTGGTCTATTGGACGACCTTTATTGGTTCGAGGAAGCTTACAGCAGATTAGACTTGATCTTCCACAGATAGATGTTCACACTTACGATGAGAGCACCCTCTCGGTGAGAAACGTATATCTCACTTGCATGGCCCACAAGTGATGTTGCAGTGTCAGCGCCGGTGTTTCCCAAACCGAAAACCAACACTTTCTTCCCTGCGAAGTTTTCTGGGCTAAATTTTGCATTAGCCACGAAAGTGTAAGACTGAGATAGTGTGACTGACCTTTTGTAAGATTTGGAGTGGAGCGTTTCGCCCTTGAACTGGTCGATCCCTTTGACATTCGGATAATTGGGTGTTTGGTTCATTCCCGTGGCGATGATGACCCTATCAAACATTTCTTTGGGCGAATCAGAGATTTCAATGATCCATTTGTTGAGGGCATCATCATGTGACACATGAGTGACAACTGTGTTGAGGCGCATCATTGATCGCAGCTTGAAGTGATCGACATAGGCCTCTAGATACTGCGCCACCTCTTCGGCCGAGGGTTGACTAGTTGTCGCTATGAGTTGTGAGAGTGCTCAACTAGCCTTTAGTCCAATTGACAAACTTACCATCAGGAAACGGGAAGTCTGTGAAACACCCCTGATTGATGTGTCAGTCGTATTGACTACTAAGTATCAAGTGACTCATCTGCGCATTTTAGGAAAGGAAGTCTTACTCTTTCTTTCGAAATGTTAACAACAGTTGCTGTAGTACGTCGGTCAATAATGGCCCAGAAGCGATGGCAGCTGGAGCATCGTGCTACTCACTCGGCAACACAGAAGTCTTGTCCTCTCGGGTAAACTTCCAAAGACCACCAACATAGGGATTACGCTCAAATCCGGTCACTTCGAAACCCTCTTCGACAAGGTTCTTCAGAGACACGATACCAAAGGCACCTACTATGTGTCAGCACAATCAACTCATTTCATCGACATGTTTACTATACTTACCGAGTCCGATTACTGCGACTTTGTTCCTTGAGGCGTCCATTGTGACAAAATTGAGGTCATTCGGGATACACAGGATGTCTCAAGCCGGGACTCGCCAGGAAACCACGCGCCATATCTAGTTATTTTGGCTTTGGCGACTCTCGTGGTATGGAATGCGGGCACCTCAACTCTTGAAACCTTGAGGGCTGAAAGTCATGCCACTACATCCGCTGTTCCGCTGTGGCGTCCACTAGCACCTAGTCAAGCGTACCTAGCAGCGAAACCGCGACATAAATAAGCGAGGCGATACGAGGGCACCGCCTGATTGGTGTCTCTGATCTCACTTCTCACTGTCGGCATTGATGGACCTCGGTAGGTAAGCACTGCGTTTCTCCTAAGTCCGTTATTTTACGAGCTTCTCCGAGATGCAAATGCTCGCATGATACGTTGGTCCGAGACCGGCCTCACCTACTCAAATTGCTCAGTCCAAAGTCCAATTTTCTTTTTCTTTCCTGTTTGAGGTCAGCGGACTGGATGCCCTTGATATCTGATAATAAGTCTGAAGCAGACCGTAGTCCATGAATTGTAGAAGAACATATGTTTCGATCTACACTCGTCACTCTTCAAGCAAGTAGGTAGTTATACAATGTAGGCATAGGAAGCTCAAGTTAAAAAGGCTTCCGATTATCTGCTGGGGCTTATACCCCTGAATCTGATTGAGCTTGTGAAAAATGCTGGTAAAAGACTCATTTTCTTATTTGAATACCTACATGTACTGCACATCAGCGGTGGGAGTCACTAGACGTAGTTGAATACCGTCACTTTCCCTTACCTTTCATGCACTTAGCAACTCTTGTTGTGCTTGGGTTGACTGCCCCGTCAAGGCAAAAACCATCGAGCATCGAAATCTAAAGCCTTTCTCAGCCACACCAAATTTGAAGTCATTTGAGGGCTTAGGACTAGGATTCAGATCCTGTCTGAAAATATCAAGGAAATTAGGCGACAATGAGCGTTTTTAAGGAGCCTATTTAGCCGGTCCTGATATGGCAGCTGTGTTGAATGGCCGAAGTTTTGATTAATGTGCGCAAATCAGCTCAACATTCTCACGCTTGGCAGCTTTGGGAGATTTAACGATCCTACGCAAACTTCTTCGTCATATACCTTGATACGAGAAAGAAACCGGATAGAATGTCTTTATAAGTGAGCCGCACTTTAAAGAGAGTGACTTTCTTGATGTGCTGTGATTCGCATTGCCGTATCCATCCCCGTCGCTCCGTCTATTACGAATTTATCTTCAGTCGAAATGTCGGCATTTCCTTGCGCCCCTGCAACGTTTGGGAACATCTCACTGTTTGGGGCGGAGACTCTGTCTTTGCAGACAAATCTTGTCACCGACTACACCATTTCTGTTCCATCTTCTGTTCGCTTCACCCAGCCGTCAGTCGAAGTGCAGAACGTCAGCTTTTGCAACATCACGGTGACCTACACCCACCCGGGTCAAGGCGATGTCGTCAATTTCGAGGCGTGGCTTCCTGCAGGAGGGTGGAACGGTCGCCTCCAGGCTGTCGGAGGCGGCGGTTGGGTTGCAGGCCGCAGTGAACCGTTTTACAGCGCTATGGGTGGAGCAGTAGCTGACGGCTATGCGACGATCACGACCGACGCTGGGTTGGGGAACGCTTTGGACGCGAGTCCTTGGGCACTTCTCAGCCCCGGAAACATCAACCTCTACAATCTGCAGAACCTTGCGTCTGTGTCACTCGATGACGGCGTAAGTCGTTAGACCACCTTGACGCAACTGGCTCTTCTAATCCTCAAAATATGCAGGCAATCATTGGAAAGTCGCTTATAAAGTCCTACTACGGGCGTGGACCAGACTACTCCTACTGGAATGGCTGCTCTCAAGGCGGCCGTCAAGGACTCATGCTGGCACAACGCTATCCGACGCAGTATGATGGCATCGCCGCTGGTGCTCCAGGGATCCAGTGGACCGATTTTTTTCCTAGCATGCTCTGGCCTCAGCAGTACATGAACATGATCGGGGAGTACCCTCATGCATGTGAACTCACGGCGATCACGGCGGCGGCAGTGTCTGCCTGTGATGGGCTAGACGGTGTCAAAGATGGTATTATCAGTGACGTCGATGCCTGTCTGGATGCCTTTAATCCTTTCGAGATGGTTAGTCGAGCGACCAACTGCTCTGAGGCACCTGGAGTTAGTCATGCAGCAGCAGCTGTAGTCAATGCTACGTGGCAGGGGATGCGCAACTCCCAAGGCGTGCAACTGTGGCCGGGACTGAACCCCGGTACGGACCTGGCTATCGGCGTCGCTGCTACAAACTGCTCCACAGGGTCCTGCAGAGGTGTGCCTTTGCTCATTGCTACGCAGTGGCTTTCGTTGTTTGTCGCAAGGGATCCAGATCTTGATCTTTCTAACCTCGGCCATGGTGAGTTTGACTGGATGGCACACCAGGGGCGGCAAAGGTACAACTCGATCATTGGCACTGATGACCCTGATCTCTCTGCTTTCCGTGATGCCGGAGGGAAGCTGATTACTTTTCACGGCCTCGTAAGTCAAACACTTATCTACCTCTAGGTATCGAAGAAGCTTAACATTACCACAGGTTGACGAGCTTCTCCCTCCAAAGGGAAGTACCAAGTACTACGATAAGGTATCTGATCTCATCCCGGAAGTTCACAACTTCTACCGCCACTTCGAGGTACCCGGCATGGGCCATTGCGGCGGAGGGAGAAGCGGAGAGCCAACTAGCCTGTTTGGTCAACTCCGCGCATGGGTTGAGAACGGCACCGCACCAGACCATACGCTGGTCAAGGTCACAGTTCCGGACGGAAACGTTCAGGACCGCATCTTGTGCCCATATCCCCAGAAGGCCGTTGTGGATTCAAAGTGTGATTGAACTCTGGGAACACGATGCTGGTCGTGCGAAGGCAGTCTGTAGGTTTCACTCAAGGTCATTGCTTTTATTGGATGAATTAGCCAATTGGCCGAGCATTGTCATGGATTTGGATCCTCTAGTTCTATGTCTTTGTGGTATCATTTGCAGCACACATCCGAAATCTCAGGCGCACCCACTTAGGGAACAAGCCCTGGAGCAGGTTCACCAAAGTATGTAATAGCGTTTCCTGTGACGGTGCCGTCTAGTCACTGCAGCTGTTCGAGCAGTCGTGCTTCTCAGCGTTGTATCTGGAGTGGCATTTGCACTGAACGTTCTGGACAGGGTAGCAGCTGCCAGAAACTGAGCCCCGGTGAGGGTCGGCCGCATTGGTGTTCTTGTAGTTGACGGTGAAGGACTTTCCGAGCGATCCAAACTTGCGGTTGATGTAGAAGAGAGCGTTGCCCTTGCGCAGGCCGTTGTTGCAGTACTCAGCAGGCTCGTTGCGCGCCCAGTTGTCGAATTGGCCGCAGTCGACTCCATAGTAGCCGTTCACTGTTGGACGGGAAGATCAGTGACATGCTCAAGGAAGAAGGATCAAATATTGAGGATGATGAATACTCACTGGCACTGTCGACCAGAATCCAGGGGTCAACATGGTCGTCGAAGCAAAAGTCAAGTCTGCATTGGACGCGCTGGCAGTCGCAGTAGCTGAAGCCGCAGTCGCGCTTCTCGAGTTCGAAGGGAACGTAGTTGGGAGAAGAGATGGCGGCCATGATAGGAGAGGCCATCAGACTGGCAAGAACCACGGAGAAAAGCGAAGGCATTTTGGAAATGAGTGTAAGTAAAGAATGTATTGAAAGAGTGTAGTGGGTGTAACAAGACAAAGAATGTGCTGAACGGATTGGCTGGTCCTTCTGTTTAAGAGCTGTAGAGAATTCCGGGTAGCACTGCGCTCTTATAGATTCGTTTATAATTGCTATAATTGGACTGAGAACACTTACTCGAAGCAGTTTAGCAAGACGGGCATACCCGACTTAGCTTGCACAACGGTTACGCCGTATCAATCAGTGGTTCATCGTGGTTCATTCAGTCTCTCGGCCGATGCGATATCTCTATTAGACTTTAGGCTAAGTGCCAGCGTCCCTGTATCCGTCGGCCTGTGCGCCCACTTCATCTGCCCATATGGCCATAGCACGAATCGTGGCGACGGAACCTCCTGTTACCCAATCCACAAAGACTCAGTCATCTTTTGCGGCTCCAATGAGCGAGTCAGGACTGGAGCCCCCGAACTCAGGCTCATCAATGTTCTGGGCATCAAAGCCTTCGTACTGCCTCGGCTGGGGGAGGCATTGAAAGCTTTGGAACATAGACATGACTAAGATTGATAAGTTATGGTTCCCACCGCGTCCGTGAGAGTACTTGGTAGGTCGTCCGCCTGATCTAGCCCGGTTCAGATCACCTTACCCACGGATAGTGGATACCCACCAATCTCAGCGTTGGAAGAGAGCCGTCACTCAGCGGCAGGTTCAGATGGAAGTAACAAGTTTGATGGTTATACTTGTAAGAGTTTTCTATGAAGATGTGCCTATATGTATTGCGCGGTGCGGCGTCACCCGTTCCAAATCACAATAAGTCCAGAGTCGGTTTGCCGAATCCGAGACTTCAATTCGCAAAGCCTCGCTTGCTGTCAAGCATAGATGGGGTGTGGGGGAAGATCGACACTTCGACTCAGTCCGAACTCCAGTTCATGTCAAATAAGGCAAGGAACCCCCTACTCGCCCAGCCGGTTGAACGGCAGCCTCATCCGTAGAAGGCCGTTGGCATTTGACAGAGGTCCGGATACGCCGGTGTTGGGACATCGTCGAGTCATCAGGGGGTATCTCATCCACCGTGCGTGTGCGCGTGTATCCAGGCGGTGATGTGCATGGCAATGATTGATAGGGAGCAGTTGGGACTGCTGCACTCGTATCCAGCTGTTCAGGAACAGCTTAGACGAGGCATCTTAGGCAGCTTCAGGCTTTTGAATAAGTACACTTCTTAACTAGCTGATAGAGCCCTTGTCGAGATTGATGACTTGTGCTTGACAAAAGCTCGGGGCGTATATCCAGTCGTAATGCGTCGTGTGCGCCCTTGCCTAGATTGGCGGAACCTGACGGGCAGCCGGACTTAGGCAAGTATTCCCGCGAGAGTTGAAGGGCGGTGGATGTGTGAGTTCCCTGAGTCCATATTATAAACTTCACCATCCAGGTGTGATTACGTGAACTTACTTCAGCCTTCAGGTTCGCCTCAAATTGTGAGCTGGAAATCCTGGACCCTAGATGTGCACAATCAACAATCATAATCCGTTGTTGCTCAAAGTCCGGGGTTGAGAGACGTTTATCTGGTTGTTCATAGTAGCCTTTGACATCTTCAGTGTGTCTTAAACGATGGACACAAAATTTCTAGGGAATGGATTCCATGACTTCTAGGCTCTTTGCATACTTCTGTGGTTAGATTTCTTGTACAAGAATACTGCATGAATCATTGCATACATGTAGTATGGGAGAGAGACCTTTGAGCAGCATCGCTCTTTCTACCGGACAAAAGTATCACGAGATCAAATCGGGTAACAATTCTCACTCTGATCCTGACTAGGTAATATAAGATATTCGCAAAATCTAGCCACTTAAACTTTCAGTCCTTCGTATTGATTTGCGTCCCATCGGCCGTTGTGTTTGAACCAGAATCCAGCAAGTCGTTGACACACCGGCCCCCAATCTCGTCGGTGTCTTTTCAGGCCGCCAATATGAACTGTTCTCTCAGGCCAACTCATGATTGATATCATTCGTTCAGCTCCAGCCAGGGAGAGGGAATGGGGTGTCTTCTGGCTCCGCGGGCAAGCCAGCAGTTGGCAGAGGGGTAAGTGTGACAATCGTGTCCACTTCGGCCAGCCTGACCTCGTGGAACTTGCGCAGAGTCCAGACATTCCACACGTTTGAGTCGATGACAACACCATAAAGACCGGCTGTCGTGCCAGTCCACTTCGTGATGACCCTGAGATCGCTGTCTCGAGTGCGGAGCTTGTCGACGAACTGGTCAATATTGGTTGCCTGTTTCCGATAGTCAGTATCAAGACAATGTACGATGGAGCTCAGTCCAGATAAAGGGTCTTACCGGGGCCAAGTAGACGATGTATCGACCAGCGAGGACACTGGCGATGTAAGAGAAGAGGGTGAATAGGCTGAAGCGCATCTTGAAGATTATATATTAGGTATTGGTAGAATGAATTAGGGATATTATGATGGTCTGAGTACAAGTTTACTGATGATATCCCAGGATAGATGCACCACTGGCCATCGCGACTACCTTTTATACTCCACCGCTCTTCCGCGACTCGATATAACCTCGAGACATTTCCTTCCGTCATGCGGGGTTTCGATCACACCTTCCGACTGCTCACCAGATGTCATCACGACGGGAAGGAATCTAGGGGCCGCCATCATCGTGTGCCAAGATCCTGCCTTGAGACATCCCCAGCCCGGTTAAAGTGCAAGCTCAGCCAGATTCCTCCGCAACTTCTCCCTCATCCCAGATTAACTCGCTCACGCGAATGGACAGAACTCTCTTTTTGCCAGCAGGCGCCAACACCTTTGGGTGTCGTCCGGGTCTTGGCTTCGCGCGTTGCGGGAGATCGGCGGTGTTCGTCCCCCGTTGCGGGCACGTCCAAGACTTTGCCCTCCGGCGTCTCTGAGACTAAATCTCCATAAATGGCAACTTTGCATACCGGAACGAGCTGACATGGAATACGTTTTCGATTACTATAAGACGCAACCGCTATAATACGACAGACTCGCTACGCGTAAGTACCTAGAGCCCCCTCCCTTCCAAAATAGACAAACTTGTACGTGACTTACTAGTACTTGCTAGCATTGCGTCAACGGGCTCTAATTTTCTCCCATCGGCTCGGCACGCTACGCCACGACCGCCTCACCGCATCGGCTCCCCGAGACCATCGACGGCGGCTAACCTCGGACCATGCGGTAGAGACATCTCAAACTTCAACAAATGTCTTAGAACCGAACCTCGCGTCCCGACTTTGCGCTCTCCTTGACAGCGTGGATAATACGCAGGACATCCCGCGCCTCTCTCGCCGGCACAGGAACGTACTCCTCCCTTCCAGTCTCAACAGCCTTGGCGAAGCCCTCGAAAAGCTTGAGGTAGGTCTCCGGCTTGTGCGTCGGCTTCATGCGCTCCTCAACCTGGCCACCCTCCTTCGACAGCAGTAGCCTTCCGCCGTTCATGGGGTCCTCAACACCGAAACCAGGATCGGTGGGCTTGGCGCCGGCCTTGAGCTGGTCCTCCTGGGGATCAAGGCACGTCTTGTGGTAGCTGGCCTTGGTGCCGCGCACCCAGAACCGCGGCTGGCTCGTCTCGACACTCATGACGCCGATGCGCACGCTGACGATGAGGCCATCGGGGTAGCAGAGCTGCGCGTGCACGCTGTCGGGGTCCTCGGGGTCGAACTTGCCGTCGCGTTGGCTGACAAGCTTACCGTAGACAGTCTCTGGCATGCCGAAGAGGCTGTAGACCTGGTCGATGAGGTGGGATCCTAGGTCAAAGAGGGCGCCTCCTCCCTCGGCCATGGTCAGCTCGCCCTTCCATGACGTAGGGCGGTCGGCACGGAAACGGTCAAAGTGGGTGTCAAATTCGTAGACTCGGCCAAAGACGCCGTCGGCAATCATCTTCTTGACTGTAAGGAAGTCACTGTCCCAGCGACGGTTCTGGTAGACACAGATGAGGCGCTCATTCTCCCGGGCGATCTGAATGAGTTCCTCAGCCTCCTCGATGGTGGGCACGAAAGGCTTCTCGACGAGGACGTGCTTGCCGGCCTGCAGGGCCTGCTTGGAGAAGCTGAAGTGAGTATTGGGTGGTGTGAGGATGTTGATGATGTCGACATCAGGGTCCTGAAGCATGGGCTCCAGGGAGGTGTGGTGCTTCAGCTCTGGGTAGTCATTTGGTGCTGAAGAGGAGGCTGTGGGCTTGCGCTGGACGATGCTGTGCAACTTGAACTGAGGTGTGAGGTTGATGAAAGGGATGTGGAACACCTTGGCGGATAGTCTGTAGATGGTCGGTCAGCACGTGGGCGTCTTCGGTGAGTCGCGCCCTGAGTGAGTCTATTCCAAAAGCATGCAAGGGGGGGGGGGTCTGTAGCAAGGATAACATGGACTGAGCGACAGTCTCACTTACCCATATCCAATGATTCCAACGTTGAATGTCTTGCCTGCTGCCATCTTGTCTCTTGTGTATTCTGTTTACACTGTATAATGAGTCTGAAAAACTGTGGGCTTTCTTCTGACGACAGACTCAAACAAAATGTCGTGAACCTGACAGCTTTATATAGCTATCGTCGAGCTGGATCACTTTAGCATGAAAGGCGATGAGGGGCACGAGGGGGCAATCGTGGAGGGAACTGGAGCTTTGGTGGAGTGACGGGCCAAGATTACCCCATTGCGTCACTAAGGAAGGACTCGGCGCTTTTCTCAATGGACGACGGAGAAAATTGCCCCATTTTCGGCGCGTCTGTCAGGTCACAGACGGCGACGCTAACGCCCACTTTGACACACCGGGTTTACCGGCCGTGAAGGACTGTTAGAGTTGCCTAGATAGGTCACCTTGGGTTTCGGTGAGCTATCCCCTTCACCGAGGCAGAGCCTACTGGCTGTGTCCCTCATTGGTCTTCATAGAGTAATTTAACTCACCATGACCTCGATGAGACCAAGAAATTTATCTCTTGATGATCATGTTCTCATTATGTCTACTTGTAGTCGCACTTACTACCGCATGACCGCATTACCGCATTACCGCATTACCACGTCTCCCCGATGAACGGGAGAAACCGGTTACCAGTCAAATAAATCCCCTTGGGTTGCTCCCGAAGCGACACGAAATCTTCCACGTAGAAGTACAACCGGCACGAGACATACAGCCCAGAGATGAGAATATTCGGGATAATCACAAACAAGGGTACCGTCATTGTTGGGTCCCTTTCCGCTGAATTGTTTACCTCGGACCGAACCAGCGCCATGAATCGCTGGACAACACCCTTTGCCCGAGTCGGCGAGGCCTTCACTTCCCGCGACGGGTTCTGAGCCTCGGCGTCCGCGTTAACAACTTGGTCTGCCGACTGGACGACGCCATGCAGGCGCTTCTGCGCACGATGCCATTTCTGATCTTCGTAAAGCCAGTGAAAGGCCCCGTACAGACAGAAAAACATGTGGTACGACGCAGCCAGCCTCCAAATGAGCTGCTCCGTCGGTGTAGGAAATTGAAAGTTCCATCCGATCATGAAGGTTATGCTGAAGCCAACGATGAAGACGCCTCCGAGAGGGTAGTACATCAGTTCCATGGGGCGCCACAGGTCAGAGGGAAATCTGTCCCAAAGTTCCTGTTTGATTGGTCGGCCGTAAGGATGAAGATGCATCATGTCGCCGAGCCTTTTGTAGAAGCACCAGTATGCGTCTATACGGAAGATTCGCGGAGTGATGTCGTCGAGTGGTGTACGATGCCATGCTGTTGGAAGGTGCGGGTGTGTCTGCGAGAGGTTTAGTCGGCGGATAGTATATGGCAAAGGCATACATCATGGACACTAACATGAGATCTGGCGTAGCTACGAATTTGGTCCAAAGTCACTTGTCCTTCTTCCAAGACTTTGGTTTCGATGTATCGGGGATAAGAAATCGCCGGCTTTGGGTACCAGCAAACAAATGTCGCAACCATGGCGAAGGTGAAGGATAGCGCGGTCAATTCTAGAGCGGTGATGGGCAATCCGTTTCTGACGCGGTCCATTTCTGTGATGAAGAACCAAAGTGCTTGCCAGAGAGTGATGAGTCTGGCAAATGTCAACATCAGGACCATTATGCCTGTGAGTGAGGAGGAAAGCATGCCTTGAGAGAGTATCGACCGTATTCCGTTCCGAGATATCCATGGATTCCATGTCAGGAAACTCGACAAAGCCGTGCTTGACCAGATAATGCAGCTGCTCCGCGTCGATGGGGAATCCTTCAGGAAAGTCGGGGCTCTTGAGGAATATGCCACCCATGTCAACAAAGAATGCTTGCGTGTACGTCCATTTCTTTCCGCTACACAAGTGACTGTCTTTTTGAAATTGCTGTAGATTTTGGGAATGGTGTCAGCCGCTGATCAGATTCCATGGACGTGATAGTCTTATCATACCTTGACACTCCGGCGAGCACTGGAAAGCTGACCAACAGCAATTCCGAAAAGGAAATCTGGGCCCAAAAGTCCTATCATCGCGAGGTTGATTTTGTCAAAGACACCATGGTACCACTTGTCTTTGGGCGAGAGAGCGTTCGGATGGGTCGCGACCCAGACGCAAAGGATGATCGTCAACAGGCTCGACCAGAGAATGTCGATGCTCCCCCTATCTCTTCCAGCGGCGACCCATCCATGGATGCTGGTGGTGATATCGCTGTGGTTGATTCCATCGCGCTGTATCAAGGGGCTGAGGATACCTACGCCTGGTTTACCCATTACTCGAAGCTTCTGAAATATCCAAGTAGGTTATGAGGTCTTTGGTGACGGGAGGATCCCAGGATCGCTGCACCTAAGTAGATGACTGGGATAAGTAGATTACAAGCAATCACTGCTTTGATTTACGATTGAGACTTGTGAGATGGGATAAATCCCTACAGAATCCGTACTATATGTACAGCAGAGAAAACGAAAATTCTCTTTCACCCCCTGGCCTTGGGGGAATTTAAGCGCCTTAAGTTATATATGCGGTCAAGATCCGTCAGTGTCGCAGTTCCTAGCTGTAATGAGAAAGAATCGGCTGCCTGCAGGAAATGGATTAAATCTGTTGGTTTCTAAGAAAATAACACGAAACAAGACCCCCCTGCAGCCCTGCCTCACGACCTGCAGCCTGCGCCATAGGCACTCACGGAGGGCTTGCCTCATTGAGATGGTTTTGTTGGTTCGAGATTGTGCCTCTCAGAGTCCAGGGTTGTTGTTAGCCGCCGGCTGCCCCAATGCGGTGCGCCACCCCGCTCTTCTGCAGCCTTTGTTCTTGGGGTATCAGTGAGAATCCTGATACAGCCTCAATGGTGCAATTGAGATTGTTCTCTTCAGATACCTTTGTATCGACGCTGATGAATCGGGAAGTCTTTCTTGAATGGGCCGAGCTTTCAACCTCATAGTAGACGAATTTGTGGAAACCAATCAACAACAATTTGTGATCCAAGATCTCGCATCATGGTCACGCCGAATGGGTCATTCACTTTGCGCTTAGCGATTCGTCGAGTCGAAGTTGGAGAAGAACCCTTCGTCACTTTGTATGCTGATAAGCGAAGGATGGCTATGAGTTACGGACTTGAAATGCAGTATCCAGAGAGCTGGGTGCTATAACTATATGTATGAGTAGTGAGAAAAGGCAGAGAACTGACTCAACATTGAGAGCTGGTAAGGGGTAAAGGAAGCCGAACGCCATCTCTCAAGTTTTGACGTGACCGACGTTCTACCCAAACCTAAAAACGCCTTGAGATATTCCCATACTGATGAATGTTCAGCAGTAAAGAATGACCAATGATGTAACACATACTTGATTAATAAGAAATTTGGCATTTCATTGCTGTGCGAAGGGCAGTGTTCGTCATCTTATCTGAAGCTGTCAAACTTACGCTGGTGCGTTCACCGGTCTCCACCGAGGCATCGGCCCGCATCGATCGGTTTGATCCCGATGAGATTGCTGCCGACGATGCGAAGCTTTTGAAAGTCTTGCGATTACGAGGTATTCTGTCACTCAGTCATATCTACCACCGATGTGTGCAGTTAAGAGGAGAACAGGGCGGCAGCATGATGTAATTTGGTGGCCATCCCACGACATGCTGTTGTTTTGCGGGCGATGTTGTGGGGGTCTGAAGTCATCCCACTGTGGGTGCCGCGTCTGTGACAGGAGGTTTATCTCCGGCTTGGGTTGATATGAGACGAGCTCAACATGATGTCATGCGCTCAAAAGTTGTTTAAATGGCAGCTTTGGAACCTTGATGAGATGAAGAACGGAAAGACAATCAACTCTGACAGCTATATCCAAGACATTAAAGACGACTCTCATCCCGGCGCAACGTTATCCCCAAGAATCCTTAGACACCAACCACCACAAGTAACCTATCAAAATGTCTGCTCAGTACAAGGCTCCTAGTGCTGGCGCCAAGGTATGTCTTGACAACCCTGGAGTCATGCAAGCCTGTTCTCAATAGCCTTTTTCTGAGGGTCGAACGCTAACACAAACCACAGGTTGAGCCCAGCGCCGACGTCCGTCCCACCCGATCCGAAGCAACCGGTCCCGTCCCCGCCGGCTCTCTCGCAGCCGAGTCCGCAAGCCAAGGCGGCGAATTCGCCTCCAACCGCGGCATCGGCTCTACCGCCTCTTCCCGAACCGGCACCGGCGGTGCTCCCGGGTCTAGCGCCGCATCGATCCCCGATCAGGCCGCCGCAGCGCCGACATATGTGAACAACCAATACGTTCGCGACCCCAACGGACCCCACGGCAAGAATATCACCGAGGGTTTCGACACGGCGAACACCAAGGACGGAGTGCAGGCTGCTTTCAACGCAGAGGTCGGTAGCGAGAATGACCCTGGCCGTGTGGCGGAGCAGGGGCTGCTAAAGAGCCAGACTAAGGCTGGGCGGGATGCCGGCCCCCGGCAGACTGAGGTCGGAGGAGAGATTGTGTATGAGAAGTTGAAGAGCGATGTTCAGGCGTAGGATATATTTGGTACAGCGTATGATTGATGATATCTGTATGAGTACTGGTGATTGAAAACCCAAGTATGGGCGACGATAAAATACCAAAGTATTTCCAAACTATGTTATTGATGGTCAGATGTGTCAAAATGACCAAACTAGGAAGAGGTCGGCGATATCCCGCGGAATTTGCAGCACTCTGTCACAGTCCCACAACACTCCTTGCTAGCACGATCTCGACCGCCGATTACATTGTCACTTTTAGCATCGTTCCCGCTGAGTATTCAGGCTCGCCGGCGCGCACTTCAGCGCGCTCGAGGCGAAGGTTTCGCGCGTCAGGCGAAAGCAGGGGTCCTTGGGACCGCTCAAGACCTTCTTTGTCATCAGCATCGGGCGCTTGGTCTAGGGGTATGATTTTCGCTTCGCACTTCCAACAGGAACGCGCCTTTGTGAAAGGTCGTGGGTTCAATTCCCACAGTGTCCAATTCTTTTGTACTTCGCGTAAATGTTTACGCGTTTTTGCTATATCCAGTCAGCCTCGATCTGCATACTTTTTTTTTTTTTTTTTTTTTTTGGTCGATTGATGCATGGTGGTGACGGACGCTTCACTACCTGTATGAATAGTAGGTGAAGGTGAGTATTCTGCATGTCTGAGCTGTGAGTACCATTTCAGTGAGATGTATGAGTAAGTAAGTGTTTATGACTTGATTTTACCCAGGTTGAGCGAAATACACTTCATCCTGCCCAGTACTTCATTGGAATCGACGAGAAACGTTTCCCGTTCATGTCAATAAATACTCCCGAACATGGCGTATTAAATTTTGTTGAATCGTCCACGGTTCAGCAACGGCTGGCAGTTGTCAGTGGGTGAGGGACGGATTCGGTCGGCCCCCGAAAGGCGAGTGGAGCCGTCGAGAATACGGTTGCCTAAATCTGTCAGTGCTAATTAACTGCATGATGCCGCGCCGTTCCCTTCCCCCGGGGAATTTTCCCACTGCTGGAGACAATGGAATTTTCCATTGAAACCATGGAAGAAAGGTGCGACAAGGGCTGATCCGAGTCCTATTTCAACATCAGACCTACCATCACATTTTCTTCGTCCAGCGCCATCCTGAATCTTGGCTGGAGAAATTCGACTCAGCATTATCACCCGAGAACGTGCCACAAGAGGCGCAGCCGTTGACGCCGGCCCCCCTTGTTACGGGACGAGTCAGGACAAGAACGCCAAACCTTACCGCAAAGAAGCTTGTTCTTTTTCTCCTTCAGCGCTTCTGACCTACGTCTCTACTATTATTCAGCGGGGGGTCAAGCTGTCGATGCCCCGGAACAGCAAGGAAACCGAGACACGGGAGCTGGGAACGTCGACTGTGGAACTACATCTCATTCCTTGATCGACTACAATTCGACACCAACAGCAACGACGTAAAGGGTGGAGGATAGGCGCCGTGGACAAACATCTCCCCCATGCTCGTCCTACGGTAGACGCAAGATGAGTGCGCCCGAGTCGTACCAGCTCGAGTCCCTCGCCTCGGACGCGGACGGCGTCAAGCCTACATCACCCACGGCCTCCATCGACCCGGCCAACGTGCGGTGGATGAACCAGGGCGACCGGCGATGGGAAGTCTGCAAGATCGTGACCCGTCTCGTTGGGACGCTACTATGCGCCATCATCCTCATCATCATGATGGCGTGGTATGGGTACCCGCCGTGGGATAGCTATAGTGTCTGGCCTTGGCTGTGTCTACCAGGAGTAAGTTCTGTCATCTTTCTTTTTCATCGCATACAGCCGTGAGCTCATCATGAGACGAAAACTTTAGGCTTTGCCGTCCTTCATGTGGGATCTGGGCGAGTTTCTCACCATCTGCGCCCGCCACGGACGCGGCATCACGCCAAAGGCTCACATCGGCCTTGAACTCATCATCTCCATCCTCGGCTACATTGGCGGAGGCTGGCTGGCGTTCCAACTTGGTGTCCAAGAAGACGACCAGATCGGGAACAACCCGCTCAACCTTGCCCTCGTAGTGTGTATCTTCATGCTCCTCAGCGCGTGAGTATATCTTCCTCTCCCCTTTCTCTCGCCATACTCACGTTCCCTTTAGAACAATCCACATGGCACTCTTCATCCGCGCCTGTATTGAACGCAGCCGTGAGATCCGCCGGCGCAGACCGCGCGTGATGTACATCCCAGAAACAGGCCAAACCGTCTACGTTGTCGCCAAACCCTTTCCAAAACTACCCACCTGGAAATCCCAATCCACACGCGGCCAATCCTTCCCGCGCTCACCGCAGAGCCCGCTGAGTAACTCACTACGGCACCACTTTGCACAACTCCAAGAAGAGATGCCTCCGCCATTGCCCGACCGGCCCGGCGACCAGTCCCCGTCCTCGGCGTCGTCCATCAAGCGGAAACCTTTACCGGGCGCAGGTATCCCCTCGCGTGGGATTCCAGCGGGTGGTGATAGTCGGGACCGGCACCTGCGGCCGAATATGCGTCCGCCGCCGGCGGATTATGAGCCGTCTGCGGAGGAGCTGGAGAGGATGCGACGGGGTGACGCGCAGCCTCAGCTTATTTTACCGGGGGATGTGGATTTCAAGTTTGCCACGAGCGTGACTGGGATGACGCCGGCTGACGCGAGCGCGAGGGAGGGCAAGTACAGAGTGAATATGACGCAGATGCCAGTGGTGATGGGGGAGTCTTCGAGGGGTGGTAGTGCCGGCAGGACGAGGTCTATCTAGTCGTCTGCTGTGGCATGTATACCTTACTTCTTGATATCTCGTATGAGTGTATATCCCACTCATTCCAAGTTTGGCATTTTCATGATAGGCGGGACGGCGTTTGGGGATATCTCAAGACTGAATAGAACAGTCTCATCTGGGTGGTATTCTTCTAATCAATATTTTCATGAGGATTCATCCCCGACTCATCGTTCAATAGTAAGCTCATGAAATGCATGTCACAGCAACAGCCCAGAATGCAATTCGATTCACTCAAGTATCAGATTCTCGGACAATTCAGTTCAAGATGGCGTCGATCAAAAGTCCCAGCCCTTGAGCGCAAAGCAGGGCGCAGCACTAGCTCGTCGCCAACACTCAGGCTGTCAGGGGCTCGTCGCGCCGTGACAGGCCCAACCCAGGCCCTGCGACACGAGCCTCAGACCCACTGGGAGCCCACAATACAGAGATCTGACTGGCTACGGTACCACGGATGGATGGACTTTGGGGGATGGGTGGCCCCTGTAGTGCGCTGTAGTGTGAGGTAGTGTACCTGGAGGATCACGGTAGTGCACCGAGGTACGTACTGCTGCCCCCTGTTGGTGCCCTCTGATCTTTTCCCAGGGTTCCAGCATCGGCCCCCGAGTTGCTTGTTGTCCGCCGTTCGATTTCCATCCCTGGTCCAAAACGCTTGCGACCTGTAATTACATGCCGCTGGCGACACTCATTCTCCTCACTGCCGACCTCGCCGCGTAATCCAGCCCCTCTACTCAGAACAACAAGCCGAGCACCATTCGAGATTTCCTCTGTTCACCTTCTAGACGACACTTCTCCGACAGCTTTCAACGTCGAGCATCACCAGCGGCGCCTCAATGGCAATCCCATCGTAAACCACGCGATCATCCCCCCTCAAGAATCGCCCTTCCCGCGGCCTCCGAAAGACGAAAGAAACACACCCCCTCCCCTCGCCAAGGGGCCAAGGGGAGGACCTAGACGATTACCAGCGATGCAGACCTACCTCTCCGCCTCCGAGAAATCTCTATCAAAATGGACAACACACCGCTCCACCCAGACATCACGACCCTCCCGCCCGACACAGGCCAACGCCACGGCGACTTCCTCACCGCGATCCCATACAACCGGTCAATGTACCGCACCACCCTCCTCCTCCGCCTCGCCTCCATGCTCGACGCCGTCATCATCCTCGCCTCCCTTGCCTCGCAGAAGGAAGACGACACCTACATCATCGGCAACTGGGCGTTTGGGTGTCCTACGGCGGTCCTGGCGCTGCTGTGGAGCGCGGGCGATGTAGGCGCGATGCTGGTGCGCGATCGCGGGTTTCGGTGGACGAAGAACGACCCGACGAAGCTGCCGCGGAGTACAAAGTTCAGTTGGGGGAAGCCTGGTGCGCATGTGGCTGCGCATTTGCTGATTTGGACGCCGACGGCGGCGTTAATGGGGATTGTGATTTCGAATTGGTTGTATTATCAGAATGGGGGCGGGTTTGGGGATGCTGTTGATCCGCGGCAGACGCATACCATGGGGGCGGTAATTTTTTTCATGTTTGTTTTAATGTACGTCTTCCCTTTTGCCTCTGGCCTGGAGATATGGCTCGATGACCACCCCTTTTTGAGTTTGAGAATGGCGGCTAACAGACTCGCAGGATGATCCACTTTGCGCTCTTCACATTTGCCATTGTTGAGGTGGACAACGAGCGACGGCATTACTCTGACGTCGTCTTCATCCCGCGGGGCGAGCTGTGCGAGATGGTGCCAGTGCCGCCGTCGACGCCGTGGGAGATGTTCTCGCCGCGGAAGCTGCTTCTATCTTATTTTGCGAACCACTACGTTCGCTTCGTGCCCGGGGCAGACGGGACGGTCACGGTTGCTCGAGACTATAGTAGTCGACAGGCGAGGTTTTGAAGAGGACCGGCCATTTACGAACACGTATCCAAGCCACGACGTTGGCTCTCTGAAACAGATCAAAGGCTTCAAGTCAGACCAAAAGACTTGAGTATTTTCTCGAACTCACCAAGCATGGATGCTCGAGAGCCACCATTCATATTACTCTACTTAACTATAACGGAAAGGATTGATAGAAGGAACACTGGATCCTCCGCAGGATCATTGCAGAAGAAAGCGTCATTTGATTTTAACAACAGCTGGATTGATACCCAGGGATATATGGAGTACGCATGGCAGTCATTTAGCAGCAAATAATGGAAAATAATAAAAAGCATCAAAAAGTCATCTCTAACCCCTTCCTGCCCTTGGCTAGCCGGTCCAGTGTCGGCAGCCTCGTGTTCCGGCCCTGCCAATCAAGTCAGGCGGATTAGCACGTGATGCGTGACGTCAAGCCCCGCGACTTCCGTGTTGCTGCACAGTGGCGTCAGGCTGGGTCTCTGAGCCTTGAGGAGGGTCTCTTTTTTGAGGGTCTTTGAGGGTCTTGGACGGGACAACTGAGCTTTCCAAATTGCACTCCAGTTGCAGGGAAGTGAGGGAATGATTACGATTAGATAAGAAATAGGTGAGAGGGGATAGGTGCCCGATTCCACGTCAACAGCGCAAAATATTCCCAAGAAAACACCCCGTGATAGGTGGCCTCCAAATGCAGCTGAACGACCAAGACACCGACTTAGGTAAAGCACCGGGATCGAATGTAGCACCTACATGAAATGGTAAGGGAAAACACTCGGCACTCCATGAGCATAAGGAAGGAAAGAAGGGAGGAAGAAAAGATCCTTCTTCTTGCCGCAAGAGTCACTGTCCGGGACGGTACCTCAGTCAAACGGAGAAGGCGGTCGGGGTACGTACCGCTTACTCGTGCTTGCATCACATCTTCTGGGCAAGAGCAGAGAGCACGGTGCACGGGAGATGCATTTTGCATCTGTTGGTGCCTTATCGCCTCGCTACCCTATCGCTTATCAGCTTTTTTTCAAAATTTTGAGGTCGTTTGCCCCACTACCTAAGGTACCAACTCTGCGAGCATGGAACCTGGCCGCAGCATGTAGCGGGCTGCCCGCTCTCAACGTAGGTGGGCTGCGCTGTGTGCTGGGTGAGCCTGTGAGGTGTGTCTAGTTGCCCCTCCCCACCTAAAATCATCCTTTCTCCAGCCTGCGAGGGGTGGTGGGTGTGTGTGTGTGTTTCGCACCGCCGCTCTTTGTCTCTTTCTCTGTGTGTGTGGTCACCCTGCCGCCAGACGTCAACCTTTGAATTTTTTCTTTTCTCCTACACGCCTCATCCTCTCAACTCTCCTCCTCTCTCTTCCAGTCGACTTCATCGCCGACTTGATACCTGCGTGACACTTTTACGGTCGTCGACGCATCATTAGGAAAAACAAAAAGGTCTTTTTCGTCGCCTTTTTCCCCCTCCTTTTTTTCTCCGTCTTCTTTTTGGGCGACCACAGGTTCCCCGCCATCGCTTAGAGGAAAAAAAAAATAACCCCGCCATCAACCACGAACCACCGTCATCATGGTTTCCTCATCCAAGGAGAAGAGACTCGCCAAGAAGGCCGCCGAGGGCAAGCTCGATAAGAAGAAGGGCTCTAAGAATGTCAGCACGACTGCCTCATCGGTCAACGGCGATGATGTCGCCGCCGGAAATGACTCGGAAGAGATCAAGCGCCTCGCCGACCAGATGGACAAGCACGGCATTTCTGACCGTGTCACCACCGGTGTCCTGGCCTCCACCCAGGCCAGCAGAGACGTCAAGATCACCAGTGCCTCCCTCGTCTTCCACGGCCGCGTCCTCTTCAACGACACTACTCTCGAGCTGACCTACGGACGCCGATACGGTCTCTTGGGAGAGAACGGTTGCGGAAAGTCTACCCTTCTCAAGGCCATCGCTGCCCGCGAGTTCCCCATTCCCGAGCACGTAGATATCTACCTCTTGAACGAGGGTGCTCCTCCCACCGAGCTCGGTGCCCTTGAATGGGTCGTTACTGAGGCCGAGCGCGAGATGGACCGTCTCGACAAGTTGGCCGAGAAGATTCTCGAGGACGAGGGTCCCGAGTCCCCTGTCCTTATGGACTTGTACGAGGTATGTTCCGCTCTCCACTCCCTTCATTGCCTAGACCTGGAAACCTAGGCTTGTTCCTCTAGAAACCGATCATGATCTAACAGCCGCGTAGCACATGGAGAAGATGGACCCCTCTACCTTCTCTACCCGCGCCTCCCTTATCCTGACGGGTCTGGGTTTCAACAAGGTCACCATCCACAAGAAGACAAAGGACATGTCTGGTGGCTGGAGAATGCGTGTCGCCCTTGCCAAGGCTCTCTTCGTCAAGCCCTCGCTGCTGTTGCTCGACGACCCCACTGCCCATTTGGATCTTGAGGCCTGTGTGTGGCTTGAGGAGTACCTGAAGAAGTGGGACCGTACCTTGGTCCTCGTTTCCCACTCCATGGATTTCCTGAACGGTGTCTGCACCACCATGATCGACATGCGTGGCAAGCAGCTCCTCTACTACGGAGGTAACTACGACATCTACGACAGAACCCGTACCGAGCAGGAGACGAACCAGATGAAGGCCTACCAGAAGCAGCAGGACGAAATTGTGCACATCAAGAAGTTCATTGCCAGCGCCGGTACCTACGCCAATTTGGTCAGACAGGCAAAGTCTCGTCAGAAGATTCTCGACAAGATGGAGGCCGACGGTTTCATCCAGCCCGTTATCCCCGACAAGGTCTTCACTTTCCGTTTCGCCGACGTCGAGAAGCTTCCCCCTCCCGTCCTGTCCTTCGACGACGTTACCTTCTCCTACTCTGGCGACCCCAAGGACGACCTGTACCGCAATATCGACCTTGGTTTTGACATGGACTCCCGTACCGCCCTCGTCGGACCCAACGGTGTTGGCAAGTCTACCCTGCTGCGCCTGATGACCGGCAAGCTCTCCCCCACCGCCGGTTCCGTCACCCGCCACACCCACTTGAAGCTTGGTCTGTACTCTCAGCACAGCGCTGAGCAGCTCGACTTGACCAAGTCCGCACTGGACTTCGTCCGTGAGAAGTACGCAGAGAAGTCCCAGGACTACCAGTACTGGCGCCAGCAGCTCGGCCGCTACGGTCTGACTGGTGAGGCCCAGACCTCCCTGATCGGCACCCTGTCCGACGGACAAAAGTCTCGTATCGTCTTCGCCCTGCTCGCCATCGAGTCTCCCAACATGCTGTTGCTCGACGAGCCTACCAACGGTCTGGATATTCCCACCATTGACTCTCTGGCCGAGGCTATCAACGCCTTCTCTGGTGGTGTTATCGTCGTCTCCCACGACTTCAGGTAAGATTGCAACCCCCACTTGTGTATTTGGATGAATTCATGCTAATTCTTTCATAGACTTCTTGACAAGATTGCCAAGCAGATTCTCGTGTGCGAGGACCGGACTATCAAGCCCTGGGGCGACTCCATTGGAGCGTACAAGAACTACCTTCGCAAGAAGATGGTTTCTGCCGGCGCTGTCTAAAACAGTCTCTGTGGCGAGACATTTTGGGTTTCGGATGCATCTCCCTCTTGAGCGTATGATTTCTTTCTCCCCGGGAGGAAAATAGAACAAAAAAGTGTTTGTTCATGACTTTTATGAAAAAAAAGTGCCGCCATGACCGTCACGACCAGGCCGGATGGGCTGCTGCGGAAACAAGGGAAGCGGACAACCTATACCCCCCTTGTTCCCTCCCTCGAGACGGCGGAAACGGTGGGAAAAGAGATTGAAGCGGGCATGGGACGGCATCGAGGGAAGACATTATCAGCATCCATCAGGGCGGCTGCTGGCACGGCATGGGATAGATAGATATCTGCAGCTGCGAACTTTTTTTTTTCTTGTTTTCCATCGTCTTTGTGTAGATGACGAGGACAATAGAGGCCACGAGCCATTGATTTGAGCAACTAGAGAAGCATTTGACCCTGAGATGATTGTGATGTGTTGCAAACTGGTAGACAATGCAAGGCTGCAGGAGAGAGATGATCTTGCGGTCCTGAATGCATCTCGTTGAGTGAACTGCCACCCACTGCTAACGGTGAATCTTTTCGTCTTCTTCATTTTCCCGATTCTAATGATCAAACGGCTATGGCATAATTATGATCGCAATGGAGGAAGAAAAATCCCATCGAGTGCTGGATAACGTCAATATGTACCTTTTCAGTTTTCTATAAGGCTGATAGTATTTGGGACTTTCAATTAGGTGCAGTACCTGGAATTTACGTGACTTCAATATCGAATAACGTAGAACAATCAGTGATTGTACTGATCTCTCATGAGCAGTATATATATATATATATTTACAAGTTTGACGTTATCCCGCACTCGATGGAATAAAGAGTGAGAGAGAGTGAGAGGGTGGGGGGGGGGGGGCACATGGAAACGGCATCCTGCTACACAAGGCTGGAAAAGCTCGCGAATCACAGGGTGGCAGTTGGAGAGCAAACATAGATGGAAGGTCAAGATGCACGTGATCTGAATCCCACGAGAGCTCTGACGCGGGTAGGTACAACGGCTGGATCGGAGCTGAGTGAGGCGCTTCTGGAACAAGGGACAAGCCAATCAGGTATCTGGGGAATTGTCGGGATGAGGTAAGCAAAGATTGGGTGGGCAGTTTTTGAGATCAGGTTTTGCTATTGAAGATGCTGGAGAATCGCTCTGTAGGTAAATAAATGCCTTTCACTCAGATGTTTAGGGTAACTGTAAAACTCGCTCAGTTGGGAGAAGGATCAAGGAAAGTATGGAATGGTCACTGGCTTTGGTCCGCCGGAGAGACAGGAAATCTGCGTGCGTGATGAAATTGGGTCAAGTTTGCTGATTACATGGCCGAGGGGGCAATGCACTAACAATTTCTGTCAGGATGGACCATGGATGGATGGATGGATGGGAAGGTCAGTCCCCATGTCCCAGGTCCCCTAATAATTGCCTTTACCATGTTGTTCGCTATTTTGGTACTGCCGGGCACAGAGGCTACATTAGTTGTCTGGCATTGCTGGGAGTTGTCTCTTTCGACCTTTTTGTTAGAGATATCTGTGAAGAGGGAACGTGTTTGGTGGACGATGCAACATCGTGGTCTCGAAAATGGGATGGGAGGCGGAGGGGAACACAAGATTAGGTGAACGGAGAAAAGAAGGGGAAGGGGAGGATGGGTTGACCCTGAATCCAAAGGCCGTTGGGGGAAGTGGGCAAAAGGTTCAATTCGTTTTCGATTGGGGGCTGACGCTGCAGCAGGTTTCGGAGGGCGGGAATTATGAGAAATCGCTGGAAACCCACTCCGTGATCCATCGTCAGGTACCTAAACATTGGGAGGCGATTATCGCCGGTGCACACCACGCGATTCGGTCCAGAACATCCGGTTCCTCAGTCAATCTGGATTATCTGATCTTGGTTGCATGGACGGGGATGAGGTACTGCAGTTCTTTGCTTGAAATATTCCTACAAGATGCCTATTGGGAAAATGCACCTTTTTCTCCTCTCATCAGCCGATTGAGACTAGTTCATATTTTTTTTTGAACCTCGATTTCCGAGGTGGTAATGATTTCTGATCATGTGGGTAGAATTGAGGCCATTCCCAAGGGGGTTTTATGTGAGTAGACGGTCTTTTTGGGGGATGTGTCAGCAGCGAACACAAATGGGTGTCTTACTGCTTCTATATGCCCCAGGCAACCTTGGAGGCTGTCACCTTCCAATGACTGCAGAGTTGATATGCTCCTTTGCGGTGAACGCCTTGCATTCTGGGTGGTCGCTTGTCGTGTTTTACAGTCTTCCATCGTCTGGCGTCTGAGAACAACGGGAGCGACGAATGTTGGGTGATTTTGATCAGGGCAGAGGGTGGTGGCCCAGAGCAGCCGAAGCGTGGGACGGGGAAGGCGGCTGAAATGCCTCACTGGTAGAGGATGTTTCGTGGTGTATTTTTGTTATCAGAGACGAGTGAGGACTACATAGGGGAACATGTCGTCTGGACTGAAGTGGGGGACTGGGCGGCCGGGGGGTAAGGAAGGCACGAACAGGAGGAAGCAACCCAAGAGGCTCAGACGTGGCCCGGGATTGGCGGGAGCATCTGCGCTAGCCCCGAGTTAGCAGCCCGCGGTGAGGTACCTGGACTGGTGAACACCGCGCCTGCACCCTTTGGCGACGTGTGGTGCAGGTGTGCAGGTGCAAGCAGGTGCGCACCTGTTCCTTCCCTCCGCGACTCGCGAGTTTTTGACGGGAGGGAAGTGACGACTGACGAACCACCGAAAATTGATGAAATCGGGGGATCCTCACGGGAGAAGGCACTGACAGGTCGCGCCTTCCCTGGGATCTGGGTGAGAACGTGGAGGCAGGCACACGATGTACCACCAGGACGTTCCTTCCTTTCGTGATTGCAATTGCTCTTTCCCAACAGGTTGATATTCCTATGGTCATGTATATATCTTTTTTATTTTGTCCATCATAGATGATTCTGTTCATTTCATACTGTCGAGAAAAGACATTGAGTACACACACACACATACACACACATACACTGCATCGCATCGCACATCCATCCCCGACGATCTTGGACCACGACGGCGGACAACTGGAGACACGCCTGCAAAGTCTGGAAAGTCTGGAACTGAAAGGGACGGACGGGGACGGGGTCTTCCACTCGACTGCATCGGCATCGCCCTCACCCACCCCCCATCCCATCCTTGGACCATCACCCACACACTTGGCTCAAGTTGTTCACCCGTTCTCTCCAGTCTCGTCTTGATCGCTCACTCACCAATTCATTCAGTTCCAGGTTGCTCTCTCTCTCTCCCGAGTCCCAAGTGCATCAAAGTCCGCCCGCCCACACACCCGATTGGCAAGACGCACTCACAATTCCCTTGCTTCCTCCTCTTCCCATTCAACATTGACGAATACAGCACCCATCCGATATTCCTCACCTCTCCTAGTCATCGTCATTCATCACCACGATACAGTACCCAGAAAGAATTCGAAGGGCATCGTTGCCACCAGCACACGACGCCCTCACCACCACACATACTTCGTACACACTCATAACACACGCACGTACGAATACATACCCCGGCAAGGTCATACCAGCGTAGCAGCTCAGCACATCACCGATCCAGCTCCAGTTCCAGCTCCAGTTCCAGCTAGCTTCATTCCAAGACACACCCGGCGATACCGCCCAGCCCCAGGGCCAAGACAACAGCCAAAGCCAAAGCCGCAACGCAACACAGACTGTGGAGTTGGACATCCTCCCAAGGCTCAAGGCTCAAGGCTCAAGCATCTCCAATACTCCACCCGCGCAGACTCAACCCTGCTTGCGCGCCCATCCATCGCATCGCAGTCTGTCAAGCCGAACCTGGGCCACCACCATAACCACCACCACCACATCCACCACCACCCGTCCTGCTGGTCTGGTCTACTCCTCTCGTTTCTCTCTCTCTCGCTCTCTTCTCGTGTCAGAGGGACAGGTCATCATCCACCCCATCCTCGTCCACGTTCCCCCCCGATCTTAGCTCCGACATTCGCACTCCATACCACCAAAACTCTCGATCCGACACACAAATCCATCATCGCCGCCCACTCTTCCCACCGTTCTTCAGGTTTCTCGGTCGACCGCTCATTTCAACCGTGCCGTCAACACCGCGAATAGCATCATCGCCGCCCGCCATCGCCATTTCCCATCGAACCCCATACCACGGTACCACCAATTCTTGAACCACACCCCCCTGCAACTCCCCACGACGCCAACTTCCGACTCCACGTCCCTTTTTCGCGATCCGCCTCACTTGCTTCACTCCTGTCCAAAACCCCCAACGCGTAACCCAATCACCTCCCCTCGATTGTCCACCACCCATTCTGCTCTGCACATGGGTCCGCGATCCTCGCTGTAGTCATCAATCCCCTCTCCCCCTTCCCCTTCCCTTTCTCTTCCCTCTCCTTTCTTTCCTCATCCCTAATCCCCCTCCCCCCACCCACTACTGCATCGTCCAGCTACGAGCGCCATCCGCGTACAAGTCGAGTAGGGTCCTGCTGCGACAACGACGCCATCGCCGCATCCCGTCACGATGGACCACCCTAAAGACTTCCGCTCGACGGTCCTGCAGGCGCCCTCCCGTCACGATGACCGCGACGACGACCGTGATCACGACCGCCGCCGCCACCGCGACATCATGAATCCTACGCCTGGCAGCACGCGCCATTCAGGCTTCAACTTGCGATCGCCTACCCAGTCCGAGTACCATCACCCCCCGCACTCGTCATACTCGTCGCCCAAAGCAGCGTCGTCGACATCCCATGCGCTCCCGCATCACTCCCCGCGATCCCATCAGTCCGGCCTGTCGCATCCGAATCCTTACTCGTCCTCGTCGGCAGCCGGCGGTCCGCTTGCGCCCTCGTTGCCCGCGCTCGGCGGTGCCAGCAGCAGCTCGGGAGCTGGACATCATCAAGCTCCGCCGTTGTCGCCGTTGCACCCCCCGAGCGGATACTACCCGCCACCCGAGTCGCATCAGACGCGCGAGAAACCTGCTACGAGCAGCTACTACGACCCGTTGACTGACACTACAAGAGAAAGGAGGGTGTCTGACGCAGGTTGGAACAATAATGCGGCCAATGGCTCGCCCAAGGTAAGAGATAATTTCGTAATTTTGTCATCCATGATTCAACTGCCACGGTGGCATCGCATTGGTGTATATACGATGCGATGCTGCTTGGTGTATTCCTGTGTTTGCTACTGCTTCTTGTCCTGGTTCTTTACCATCCTTGCCCATCGTCACGTCCCAAGAAGCTCCTCCATGCCATCATTCCAACCTTCTCCCCCTGCTCCTCTTCCTCGTGTACCGTAGCCACACAGCAGCAGTAGCATTCAGCACTAGCAGAGACACCAACATGAGCAATCAAAGTGGTCTCTGTTTCTGTTTGGCCCTGCTCGATTGCTGTCTGTGCTCTAGATCTTTTTAGTGGCCACACTTGGTGCTGGTGCTGGTGTTGGAGGTCGTGCTTACGCCGTCTTTGTACCCTTTGCTCCCTTTCCCCCATCCGGATTTTCGGAGACGATGGTGTGGAGAGGAGGCAGCGGAGCACTTCAGGCGTGAGGATACCTTAGACACACAGAGGTCAGACGAGAGGAGCGGGATATGGGGGAGAAACAGGAGGGTGAGAGATTGGGAGGAGAGCAGCAACAGCAGCAGTGCCGCTGGATAAGAAACACCGCGGAATGCTTGGATCCCCTATTGTTCACGGCTTCAATGACACCGGCGTCCCCCAGTTTTTTCCCTGCAACCTTTGGCACCTGTTTTTTTTTTTTTTTTTGCCCTCTCCTTCTCGTCATTTTCTTCCCTTCCCTTCCCCGTCTCTCTTGTCGTGCGTCGCCTCGCCTCGTGCCCGTGTCGTGGCGCTACCTCATTCACGTTCCGTATCCATACACAGTACACCCGTCTGTCTATCTCGATCCATCAATTTCCCATCCCTTTCCCTTTTTTTTCTTTTCACTCTTCTATGTTCCCTTGCACCTGTACACGATTTTTCTTTCCCTTTCCAGCCCCGACACGCGGTAGAGGAAGCACCCTCAAGCACCAGCATCTGCACCTGCACCCAGCACTAGAAGCCACTTTCTCGCCCATCTCCAACTTTACCCGAGGGACAGAAAAATCCCAGCCAACCCAAACCTCAACCCAAATTTTAATTCCATCACGGCCACCTCCATTCCTTCGCCTTGACTAATTTTTTCCTTTCTTCATCATCAAACAGACCACACGCGGCGATCCCTACGGCAACTACTCCCAACCCGAGCCGGCATCTCGAGACTCGCACGCGTATTATAAGAACGGCAGCGCAGGATACACGTCGCCATCAGCAGCCAACTTCCCCCCGAGAAGTCCGCGATCCCATTCACATTCGCACTCCAACTCCCAGTCCCATTCTCATCAACCACCTGCCGGTTCTATCAGCCCATCCATCAGGGCAACGCCGCACATGACGTCCCCTAGTCTGCGGCATGCTGCTTCGCCCAGCGTGCATGCATCTTCCAATGGTGGCGCCGTCGCGTCTCTGCCTCCCCTGGGCAAGGCCGAGCCGTCTCCCTTGAAAGCTCCTGCTAGTGTCAGTAACACTGCAATTGATTACCTTGATAGATCAAGAACTGACTTTTCTGCCACAGACCCCCAGCCGCGCCGATCCCATGTCCTTCTCCAACATTCTCTCGAGTGCCGAACCCGTCTCAAAACCAAAGTCGAAATCACCGCCACCCGTCGAAGAGAAAGAAAAGGAGAAGGAAAAGGAGAAGGAGAAGGAGAAGGCTGTCGAGCCCAAGCCCGAACGTGAGAAGCCCCGCTCTGTCGACCCTCCTGTCAAGACCGAGCGCACAGAACGCAGCGAGCGCGAAGCCGAGATTGAACTCCGACCGGAGCCCGTCAAGGAGAGATCCAGCACTCCCCTGCCCCGTAAGGAGAGAAAGGAGCGGGTACCTAGAAAGTCAAAGTCGAGAGCCTCCGATATCAGAGATGCCGAATCGACTCCCAAGAGCAGCCGCCGTGCTTCGTCCAAACTCGAGACACCAACGCCTCGCATCCCCTCAAAGCGTCAGGCCAATGGCCAGCCGAAGCAAAAAACCCTGCCCGCTGATAAGGAAAAGAAGGTCACGGATCTGATTGCTCAGCTCGATGCCGATGCCGACGAGCTTACCGACTCCGAACTCACAGCTGATCGCGCCGAGTACCAAGAAAGCGGCAACAAGCGACGCCGCCTCTTGCAAGATAAGGACAGCAAGCGCAATGTCGAGCGACGCGACGAGTTTTCGAGGGAGATGGGCCGCAGGTTAGGCACTCACGCCGATCTCGGCAAACGCCGCTACGACGACATCTACTACGAGGAGGCCATGAACGAGGTCCGAGAACGTGAGCTCTTTGCCGAAAAGGAGCGCAAGAAGGACATGCAGCGCAAGCGTCGTCGCGAAAAGTCCATGGCTGTCACCATGGAGCAGCAAAAGCTTGCCCTGGAGCGCGCACGATTGGCCGAAGACGAGACCGAAAAGGCGAAGCACCTGCGGGATGCCGAGCGTGCTAACAAAAAGGCTCTGCAAACGAAGTTGATTCTCCAAAAGGGCATCAAGGGCCCCGCTCGCAACCTCGCCGAACTGAACCTGGACGGAGGCACCATGGCCACCTTCCAAGCATCCGACATGGAACCCGGCACGAAGCCCAAGGGCAAGGGTCGCAGCGGCCCTCGGCCAAAGAAGTCGAAGGAGCAGAAGCAGGCCGAGAAAGACGCTGCAGAGGCTGCGCAAGCCGCCATCGACGCTGGCGAGGAGCTCCCGATCAAGGAAGAGGGCAAGATCCGCATCAAGTTCAACAAGAAGTCCAAAGACAAGGACAAAGAGAAGAACAAGGACAAGATTGTGGACCAGGACGAACCCGACGTCGAGGTCGAAGGCGACGTCGACGTCGACATTGACGAAGACACCATCGTTGAGCCCGTCAAAGAGAAGAAGGAGCGCAAAAACAAGAAAGAAAAGAAGGAGAAGAAGGAGGAGAAGCCCGAGGAGCCTCCTAACAAGGACGCTAAGTTCGAGACCAAGGGTTTCCTCCAGATTTACGACCAGATTTGGCGCGACCTCGCCCGTAAGGATGTCTCCAAGACCTACAAGATGGCGGCCGAGTCCTACCAGACCAAGGCGTCCAACCTTAAGAAGACAGCCATCCTCGCATCTAAAGAGGCCAAGAGGTGGCAGTTGCGGACGAACAAGGGCACCAAGGATCAGCAGGCCCGTGCCAAGCGTGTCATGCGTGACATGATGGGCTTCTGGAAACGCAACGAGCGCGAGGAGCGTGATCTCAGAAAGGCCGCCGAGAAGCAGGAGATTGAGAACGCTCGCAAGGAAGAAGCCGAGCGCGAAGCTGCCCGCCAGAAGAGAAAGCTCAATTTCCTCATCTCGCAGACCGAACTGTACTCCCATTTCATCGGCAAAAAGATCAAGACGGACGAGGTCGAACGCAGTACCGATAACCCCGAGATTGCCGCCGAGAACAAGGACGAGACTGCGCACAACAAGCATCTCGATATCGCTGAACCAACAGGACCTCTGGGCGCCAAGGTCACCGACTTTGAGAATCTCACCTTTGAGGAGGAAGACGAGGAGAACCTGCGCCAAGCCGCCATGGCTAATGCTCAAAACGCCATCGCCGAGGCACAGAGAAAGGCCAGAGCTTTCAATGAGCCCGAGGGCCCCGATATGGACGAGGAGGGCGAGATGAACTTCCAGAACCCTGCCGGCATGGGCGACGTTGCCATCGAGCAGCCCAAGTTGATCAACGCGCAGCTCAAGGAGTACCAGCTCAAGGGTCTCAACTGGCTCGCCAACCTGTACGAGCAAGGTATCAACGGCATTCTCGCCGACGAGATGGGTCTCGGAAAGACGGTTCAGTCTATTTCCGTCATGGCTTACCTCGCAGAGAAGTACGACATCTGGGGTCCGTTCCTTGTCGTCGCTCCCGCGTCTACTCTTCACAACTGGGAGCAGGAAATCCGAAAGTTCGTCCCCGAGTTCAAGATTCTTCCGTACTGGGGTTCCGCTGGTGACCGAAAGGTCCTGCGAAAGTTCTGGGACCGCAAGCACACCACCTACAAGAAGGATGCATCGTTCCACGTCTGTGTTACGTCGTACCAGCTCGTCGTCTCTGATGTTGCCTACTTCCAGAAGATGAAGTGGCAGTACATGATTCTCGACGAGGCGCAGGCCATCAAGAGCTCGCAGAGTTCCAGATGGAAGAGCTTGCTCAACTTCCACTGCCGTAATCGTCTCTTGCTCACGGGTACTCCCATCCAGAACAACATGCAGGAACTGTGGGCCTTGCTCCATTTCATCATGCCGTCACTCTTCGATTCTCACGACGAGTTCAGCGAGTGGTTCTCCAAGGATATTGAGTCACACGCACAGAGTAACACGAAGCTCAACGAGGATCAGCTTAAGCGTCTGCACATGATCCTGAAGCCGTTCATGTTGCGTCGTGTCAAGAAGCATGTCCAGAAGGAGCTTGGAGACAAGATCGAGGAGGATGTCTACTGCGATCTTACCTACAGACAGCGCGCCATCTACAGCAACCTGCGGAACCAGATCAGTATCATGGATCTCATCGAGAAGGCCACCACGGGTGATAATGATGACTCTGGAACTCTTATGAACCTCGTCATGCAATTCCGAAAGGTTTGCAACCATCCCGACTTGTTCGAGAGAGCCGACACGACATCTCCCTTCTCGTTCGGCTACTTTGCGGAGACGGCCTCCTTTGTCAGAGAAGGCAATAATGTCGCCGTCGGCTACTCTACCCGCAACTTGATCGAGTTCGAGCTGCCTCGTCTCCTCTGGAGACAAGATGGCAGGCTCTACAAGGCTGACCGCGCAAACTTGAAGGCTGGCTGGCGTAACAAGAATCTGCAGCACATGATGAATATTTTTACTCCAGAGCACATTCGCGACAGTCTCGAGGGATCCGACGCGTTTTCCTTCCTGCGCTTCGCTGATACCAGCCCGGCCGAGGTCTATAAGGCTAGCCACCAGGACGTCTTCTCTCGTGCTGTCGAGCTGTCTCAGAAGAAGGATCGCTTGCCTTTGATGAAGATTGCTTACGACGACCCCGAAGATGCCAACTTCACACCTGCACATGCCTTATTCAAGATCGCTGCCTGCAAGAACAGACAGCCACTCGCGGACATCACCCAAGAGGGTATCATGGCCAACCTCATGAACGTGGCCCGTGAGGAGTATGTCGACAGCGGCTTGGGACGCTTGGAGCAGGCCGGTCGCCCGCGTGCGTCAGCGCCACCCATTGAGGTGAGCTGCTGCAGCCGTGGAACCGGTCTGGAGACGGAAAGCATCCTCTTCAACAGATCCATGCGCAAGAGCCTATTCGGCCCGACGATCCAAGAGGAAAGGGCCATGGTTACTGAGAAGCTTCCCTTTGACCGATTCCCGCCCCGCAAGATGCTCCCTGCGCCGGACAACGACAAGAAGAAGTTCAACAACATTGCGACTCCGTCAATGCGCCGTTTTGTTACTGACAGCGGTAAACTGGCCACTCTCGACAAGTTGTTGACCAAGCTCAAGGCGGAAGGCCATCGTGTGCTGCTCTACTTCCAGATGACTCGCATGATCGACCTCATGGAGGAGTACCTGACGTACCGCAACTACAAGTACTGCCGTCTCGATGGTTCGACCAAGCTCGAGGACAGAAGAGATACTGTCGCCGACTTCCAGACTCGTCCCGAGATCTTCATCTTCCTTCTGTCGACCCGTGCTGGTGGTCTCGGTATCAATCTTACCTCTGCCGACACCGTCATCTTCTACGATTCTGATTGGAACCCTACGATCGATTCGCAGGCCATGGACAGAGCTCACAGACTGGGTCAGACTCGACAGGTTACCGTGTACCGCCTCATCACTAAGGGAACGATCGAGGAGCGTATCCGGAAGCGTGCCATGCAAAAGGAAGAGGTGCAGCGTGTCGTCATCCAGGGAGGTGGTGCCAGTGTTGACTTCTCTGGTCGCCGCGCTCCTGAGAACCGCAACCGCGATATTGCCATGTGGCTTGCCGACGATGAGCAGGCTGAGATGATTGAGCAGCGTGAGAAGGAGATGCTCGAAGCCGGCGAGTTCGACAAGCCTGAGAAGAAGAAGAAGACGGCGAAGCGCAAGCGGGTGGTCAACGAGGATGTCAGCCTTGACGAGATGTATCACGAGGGTAAGTTGTTTGCTATCCATGCTTCCCACACACATACTAACATGTGCACAGGCGAGGGCAACTTTGATGACAACCGCAATGGAGCCAACGGAACCTCGGGTACCGCCACGCCTGTAGCCGAGCCCGAGGTGAAGGGAGCCAAGAAGCAACGCAGAGGCGGTGGCAAGAAGGCCAAGACACTGAAACAGAGACTTGCCCTTGCCGACGGACAAGTTTAGTTCGTCGTCGACAGGCCGTCTGACTCGAATAGAAGACGACGATAGATAACGAGAAGTCACTCGTTGTGCACAGTTGAGCGGAAAACGGAGGTTTCGATTGTAGCAATATGGTTTATGGGTAGGACACGCTGGGCGCGCGTGAGGTATGCCTGGCGTCGGAGTGGACAACGCGATTTGCATCAAGATGACGGTCGCGGCTATTATTATGGACTGATGCCGCGATACGTTTGTTAGACTTTACAGAAAAGCTTCAGTATGTTTGTATTCTTTCTACTTCTCGCGACGTTGGGATGGTTAGGGGGTCTGGTGGTTCGACTCTAGACAATCTTGGTCTCGCGTGGGGGTTTCCTGATCACGGCAATCAATCCCTCGAGACACAAGGTGGATGGCGGCATTCAGATTGAGTTGTACGAGGCCTCGGGTCTTTGGAGCCCGATGGCGCGTGTATTAGTACTACCTTTAGACGAATGAAGTCGCTTCCGAGATGGATCGTATGATGTTGATGCTTGTTAGGGTGGTGTTGAGGCCTTGGTGATGTCCCACAGCTCTGGCTGACAAGCCGGCAAGTAAAGTGTATCTCATTGACCGTCCCTAATGAGACCGCATAAGTACATATGATTCAATGTTGATTGTGAGGCCGTACACCACAAAGGAGTGAGTGAAACATGTCGCAGTAGGATGTTTGCAGGTTGGTGTTGAAGAGATCCGCAATCATGTAAGACAAGGGGCCGTTTCGGCAGTGCAGAGGCCGGGAGAGATCATCCCATCCAATACCAATCACGTGCTAGTATCACCATACAGCTAGCTGATGTCCATGAGTTTGATACCATTTAAACAAGGCCGTTTGAAATTGGACGAGCTTCTCGGGCGACCGCATGCGGTTGTTGAGGATGATCTCATCACGATCTCAGGGGTTCCGGGTAGGCGCGGGATACCATGGATGTGAACCTCGTTTGAGGATCTGGTGTGGTTCTTTGTTTTTTCTCCATCTTTTATCGTGGATTCTGGGTTGCGAATAAGTCTGATGCTTGTATACTTGTTCTTACATCGATTCTGATAATCATCCACGCTGAGTTGAAGTTGTTGTTGAGCAGACCAGTGTATACCGCCACCAAGTATCAAGCGTACCGATTCTGCCTTTCGCCACGATGCCGTCCGCCCCCTTCCCAGACAGAGACGCCGCGCCTCTGGAGCCGATTATATCGATGCTAGCGACGTACCTCGACCTCACATCACCCTCCTCGGGTACTCCCAACGAGAACGATCCCGCCCCCAACAACGGCCTATCACAAGCCGTCGCCGCAGCATACAACAAAATTCCAACCTTCATGTCCCGCTTCTCCATTACGGACGCCCCCTCGTTCCTCCGCTTCGCCAACGACTTGTTGACCTGGGTTCCGAGCGAGGGGTGCGAGGGGCGGGATATCTATGACGTGCTGTGTATGTTCTACTTTGTGTTGGGGCAGGAGCCGTTGGGTTCGTTGCAGGCGAGGATCGTACCGCGCGGGTATGAGGAGGAAGAGGTTGGGGGACAATTGTATGAACACGAAAGGAGGGACTGTGTGAGAGAGAGACATATGAGTTGGTTGTCGGATTGGATGGTTGTTTACGCGCAGATGATTGGATCGTGGATGGATTCGGGGGAGTCTATTACGCAGGAGAGTCTGGAGACGTTTTGGAGGTGTGGGAGGTATAATTTGCATGAGGCTGTTGTTCCGGAGGGCGGGTTTAGGTCGTTTAATGAGTTTTTTGGGAGGAGGTTGAGGGAAGGGGCGAGGGATGTTGAAGGGTTTGGAGATGATGAGGTTGTGGTGTATCCTGCTGATTGTAGGCTTGCTGGGGATGAGGGTAGTGATGGAGGAGGAGGTGGTGGGATTGTGGAGGTTGAGAGGGGGGGTGTTGTGAGGATTAAGGGGTTGCCGTGGACTATTGGGGAGTTGTTGGGTAGTTGCGGTGGAGGGGAGGAGTTTGAGGGGGGAATATGGATGCATGCTTTTTTGAATACGTATAATTATCATCATGTTCATGCCCCTGTTTCGGGGAGGGTTATTGAGGCGAGGAAGGTTAGGGGGTTGGCTTGCTTTGAGGTCGTTGTCGATGAGGAGGAGAAGAAACCAACTTGCCGGCCAGTTGAAGATGTCGCACGGCAGAAGGAGGAGAGGGGGTTAACGGCGCCGAACACGCCTGGATACCAATTCCTTCAGACTCGAGGGGTTGTTATCATCGAGAATCCTTTGCTGGGGAAGGTCGCGGTGTTGCCTGTGGGTATGGCGATGGTTTCCTCAGTGAGGTTGAGTGTCGAGGTTGGCGATGTTGTGGAGAAGGGGGATGAGATTGCGGGCTTCGCGTTTGGAGGGAGTGATGTTGTTTGTGTTTTTGAGGGGAGGGCTGGGTTGAGGGTTGAGGATTTCGTGAGGAGTCCGAGGGGGGAGGGGGAGTGGTCTAGGTATGGGAGTGTTCTGGCGAGGGTTCCTTGATGCTCTTTGATGTGAAAGCGGCGATGGAGGGGAGTCTGGCAAGCTTGAAGCGCTGGGCTAATTGATTGTACCTCGGAACGATGCTGGTCTAATCTACATGTCAGTAATTGATGACAATGGTTGGACGACATGTGAGAACACTTTTGCTGTTGGTTCCCATTATTTGCCTTAAGTAAGTGCCTTCTCCTTATTTTTACGTCTCCTTGCTCATCTCGTTGAACACGTAACCGCCATATGGCCGGCACCCGTCTAGATAAAGCGCACTGCCAGGTTAGTAAGGTCTGAGTTCACTCGTCTTAGTAACATTGACTATGTTTCCCGACTTAAATCAATATAAACAAGGATAGCTCTTGTTCCATGATCCATTGTGTATGACAAACATGCCTAATTCAGGCCGAGTGTGTGAAGTATACACATAGTATGACAGTCCTGTACTTAAAACCTAAAGCTCAAATATGCGAAAAAGAGGATGAAGAGACATGAGGGAAGGAGTTTGGTTGGGAGGGAACCAAAATTTGTTAGGTTTGTCGTGATGCTCCAGCCTAGGAGGACCCAAAGTAAGACTGAGAGTATGGACAATCGAAGCTTTGAAATTCGTGGATCGTCAACGTAGATGCCAGCGACCACTCCGACAAAACAATTAAAGGAATGCGCCACTTACATCGGCAAGCTCGGATACAACAGCGTCCAAGTAGATTCTTCCTACCAAGTAGGTCATAATCATCAAGTCCAGGGGCCAAAATATGGCAAGTAACTTTCTCCGGGATGGTGTAGTCCCAGAGTCTTTGCAACCTTTGGCGGTGGCCATAAGACAGAATATTGCCCATTGGCCGAACTTTTCCCTCAACAGACTTTTTGCGAACTCTGAAATCCTCCGAAACATCTTGAGAACACGACTAAAGAAACCTATATTCAACATGAGAGTAGATACTATGAAAGTCTCATATGCAGTTGTGGATGTAATTGTGGCGGCCTGCAATATACGAATGCCGGGCATCGAAGTGTCGGCGTTGCACTTTTCACACGCGCTACGGTCCCAAATAGTCTGCACCATTTTGTGTAAAAAGAAGCATCAAGCATTCGAGGAAGCAAGGCTTGCTGTCCCTTCTCCTGCTGCCCAACTGAAATAAATTGTAGGTACTAGTGCTGTGACCAAACCAGCTAAAAGAACAGTCATCAAAACTAGCCGATAGTTTCTTTCAGTACGATGTTGAGACAGAAAGGTTCGAAGAGCTGATAGACAGGCCGCGTGGGTGACGCTCGAAAACCATGTGAGATAGCAAATGATCTGCCAATGATACGCTGACATATAGCATCCAAGATTGACAAAACTGTTGAGTAGTATGCCGAGACCGGTGAGAAGCTGTTTGTCGCATAAGTTTAAGAGAGCCTGTAGAATCATGGTCAGTCTTCTGACTATGCCTCGATCTTTCCGGACTTAGGATAGACCATAAAACCAGGCTTAGTAGGTAACCCCAACAACTGCGGTTCGACGTCAGTACATGAATAAATATGCAATTTACGAGTCGTCACGAATTGTACGTTGAACCAGTCATTTCTCTCTTTCGTCCGCCTTAAGATATGTTCGAAAAACGGAGGAAGAATTGGAGAAGAAAGGTTGGAGACGGATGTATAAAGGCCATAATGCTGTTGACGTAATACAACTAAAAGAGATGCCTGGTACCTTGGTTATGGCGAAACCCCAGCGTAGGTGATTACCAAGTCTATGAAGAAGGCTCAAGAACATGTTGGTGGCCTGGACGTCAATCACGTTGGACTTCCAAACATGCTTCCTCTTGTGCCTCTGCTGTTGTTTACAACGCTCTAGGGGATCAACACTAGGGTCAAAAGCCAAGCAATAACGCAAAAACATCATAACCACCACTAGCCACCCAGTTCCAACAAACCCGATCATTACCTAGTTGATGATCGCAGCCCAGCTAGCAAAAATAGCCTTTTGAGAAAGTAGTGGTTTCAAGGTGGCCTCTTGTCACCAAGCGCACTTACCCCAATGCCGCCAACATCTGGACTCGGTTGCAATTGTTCTGGCTTATCCAAGCAACTTCGGTCACAGATTGACACTGCCGCCTCGTCCCGCAGATAGACATGGAGAGGTGAAACGGTAACCATCGAAATCCTGAGTGCGTATGCCGACGCTCAAACAACTAGGGAAGAAGTTGAATGTCAGATCATCGAAACTGACGGCTGCGAATCCAGTTTTGCGATGAGCGAAGTGCGAGAAGGTAATTATGAGCTCATGGTATGAACGATGAGCAACAAAAGGCTACATCTGATACATTTTATACATTTTCACTTTCAGCCGCAAGGTCAAATCTGGAGGCAGGCTGCGTGTAACGTGCCAGGTCTCAGAATGCGACAGAAAGAACGGTTGTATTCATTTGGATTAGACAAAGACGGTGTTTGCATGACTTGTGTCTTGAAATCAAGCCGCCAGCGGCACACCCCTTGGAAAACATGTCTGTGGACTCGTGCACCAAGTATCACACAAGGCGTCACACACACATACAATTGGATGCCACGGATGCCTCTTCAACTTACTCTCGAAGAGTCCTGCCTGTACATCCAATGGTGAGTCAGTCCCCTCGTTACTAATGACGAGGCCCAGGATACACTAATACCTTTGACAGGCCAGTGACAAGAGTTTTTAACGGCACGGGCGACCAGATACGACTAATCCCACAGTCACTGCAACCAAGCATACGAAGTTAAAATGAAGATTACTTAATCATATTCCGCGAAGGGTATCTAAGAATCGAAGGATGACAAGCCAAACGAAATCCCAAGGGGGAGTTTCATGGCACAACCTCCACCCAAGTCGCAAGGCCATCACTCGCAACCCCTCTTCTGGCCTTTGCCAGTCAAGGCAACCTCAAGCCTGGAGCACCGCTCCCGACTTCAACATTATCAAGCATTTAGCACTTGGCGCCGGAGCCGGAGGGGATGCCGGAGCACTCAGAAGAGGACTTGCCACCGGTAACGGAGACACCAGACCACTTCCAGTTGGAGCAGGCACCCTTGGCGCAAAGGATGTACACGTTGGTGCCCTTTGCGGCGACGGTTCCCTTGACGTTCTTGACGGTGACGTCGGTGATGGGAATACCAGCGGTGGGCTTGCCGGTAGGGCTGCCGTTCTCGTAATCCTGCTGGATGACAATGCCCTTCTTGTTGATGTTCTTGAGGGTGATGTTCTCAAAGGTGATACCGTTGACCTTGCCAGTCTTGTTGGCAATGGTCTTGATGCGGATACCGTTGTCGGCCTTCTCGATGGTGGAGTCACGGATGATGACGTTCTGGACGGTGTTATCGCTACGTCCACCAACAGAGCCGATGGACAGGCCGTGGGAGCCGTAGCAGTATCCGTTCTCGAAAGTGATACCGGTGCCGGAGTTGATAGCCAGGCAGTCGTCCTGGTTGTAGACCTTGGCGCCGGAGATGGTCACGTCAGAAGACGTACCGACATCGAAGGCATCAGTGTTGTGGCCACCCTTGGAGTCACCATCCTTATTGTCGAAAAGGATGTTGGAGCTAGAGAATAATCGGGTCAGCATTACTGTTGAAAAAAAAAAAAAAAAAACCAACATTGAGTTTTGACTTACACCTTGAGGCCGGAAACGCCACTGATGGAGAATCCGTGGGCCGGGGTGTTCTTGACGTTCAGGCCAGAGATGGAACCGTCGTTGATCTTGACCTTGAAGAACTTGGGCTTCTTCTTGCCACCGTTGCCTCCCTTGCCATCCCACCAGCGCTCACCCTGGCAGGAGATGGAGTTGCCAGAAGCACCGACAACGCTGACCTTCTTACCACCGATGGCGATGAGGGGGCCCTCCCACTCCTTGTAGCCGAAGGTGGTGGTGCCCTTGAAGGTGACTTTGGTTCCGTCCTTGAGGCCGGTAAGGTCGAGAGTCTCGCCAGCGGGGACCTTGATGCCGTTGAGGACGATGTCGGTGCAGGAGGTCTTCTTGGACATGGCCGTCTTGGCGTCAGTGAAGGTGCACGAGGCACGGGTGTCGAGCTCGGCGGGGGCGGCGGCAGCCAGGGCGCTGAGGCCCGCGACAACGGAGAGGAACTTCATCGTTTCTTTGATTTGTTTTGGTATGTGATCAACACGTGGGATACTTCGAGTATGTACAGAAAATATCGAATGAGAGACTAGAGTTGGAAAAGAATGTGGTTGAAAAGAGTGTGAGTGAAGAAGCACGATGAGGTATCAAGAACAGAAGCAAAAGAGGTGGGCAGAAAAGACAATACTTATATGAAGTTGTCGAACATACAAGACTGTAAGCCTCCTTTTCCCCTTTCATTTAGATGCTGCTTGTTGGGAGCTCGTTGGATTTCCGCAACTGGATACGGTGCGGCTCCCACGCCGGATAGTCGGCATCACCGTTGTCTATCTCCCCGGTCTCTGGAAGGAGCTAAGAGGAGCCCATGATTCCAAAACCACCTTTAATCTGACCTTGCAGCGCCGGAGTGTTGCCCCGAAGGACCGAAAAGAGGAGGCGACTCTCCACACTGGCTTAAATCATCTAAGCTTCAAATGCTGCGAGCCCGCGGCGCGAAGCTAGCACGTGGGGAGCAGAATATTAGGAGAGCTGCTCGCCCACTATCCGATGACCCAGGTCTGACGATGGGATCATTCCCGGTCGTTGTGGACTTTGGGACGAACAGGGCTGACGGGAACCTACGCCCCAAGCCGGTGTCAGCCGCCCTACCAGCGGAATACCGAGACATGATCACAGATTACCTTCCAAGACTTCCAGACCGTCTGACCGAGTCGATTTCACCACTTCTGACGCGTGGCGGCAATGAAGAAACTGCCTCTTCAGGTAGGATTTCCAATCTCAATGGCATCTTGGCTTCATCTTGGCATAGGCTTGATTTGCCGATCGATCCGATCATGGAACTCTTGGGATCCAGAAAGCCCCAGAAAATCACGGTATTTTACCCACCAGTCGCTGCGGCTGACCCAGTACTTCCCTGTGTGCCTGTGTCAATTTGTTTGAAAGGGGAAGTTCCCACAGAAAAGAAATGCCAAGAACGGAGGTGAGGTAAGGATTCTGCAGGAATGTGATAAGGCGTTGTGCATCTTCCAACCTGCTCCAACATGGCATGTTGATTCTCAGCCAACGACACTGGTCATAGCAGAAATAATTCCCGTTGAAAGTATTTCTGCCTTTCATGACATGTGGCTGTCCGGCGGTCGTCTCGTTAAGAATTCGATGACGAACGAGCACCGGAGAGCCCGGGCGTTACCTAAAGTGGTGTGATTAACCTTAAAGCCCTAATTGCAATCCAAGCATCCGACGACCGACGAGCCGCCTGCCTTGTGGGACAGAGCCTCTCCTTTCGGCGAATACGGCCTTGCGCGTATACTTGCCCTGTCAGCCGCCGGGATTCTACGAGGGGCGAGCAGGCCTCCTATTCTCGGCCCCGAATCAGGGTCATTTGAAGACGGGCAATTTATTAGTGACAGGTTTAGACGAATGAACCTGGGTGAACTTCGGGCTTGATCCGACAGTGAACATTTCCGTCATCTACTTGGACCAGGGGGCCCCCTTGGGTCCTTTTTTTAATCGGGTTCCGAACTTTGCGACTCACCTGCTTTTAGCGTTGGATTCTGCTGATTCATAGTGGGCTTATGGATTGGATCTAACCGACTCGAGTAGTTTTTGCCAACTCACGGTGCAATTTCGAACGGCAGCAAAAACCGACTTGGTAGTGGTTCATGCAGCATCATTCAAGCTTACACACTTTGGCCACCGGATTCTGGCCATGGAGATTCAACATACATGAAACTGCCGGTCCTTGGAACACTTTATTCCTGTCTCCGCATTACGCTAGAAGGAAAAGAAAATACGAAGTCTTGTTCGGTACATGGTGGATTTAGTCTTTTGTGAGCTGTCTCTTTTCTGCTCGGCCAGTTGCGGATGTCCCGCTACAAATGACTCCGGAGTTCTTCTTCGGTCCATTTCCATAACTCCTCCCTCTTGTCCTTGTTCTTGCTCAATCTCGTACCTTTACCGGTGACACCAACTGGGAAGTAGAAGGTGCCGCTCTTGACGTCTGGGCTGAATGATGCCCAGAGCTGGTTGAGCGCACCCTTCTGGGGACTGACGGCTACGATCTTAGTGCCGAGGTACACAATCGTGCCCAAAACGAAGTTGGACTTGTTGATAATGGATTGTGCCAGATTTGTGTCGACGATACCCGGGTGCACACTGACAATCTTGAGCTCCGGATGCCGCTCCGCGAGGGCAGCGGCGTAGTGAATGTTTGCCACCTTTGAGATGCCGTAACGATAACGACTGGGGGTTTCGGGCATCTGGGTCTTGAGCTTGTCAAACTGGTAAATGTCTTTAGGAGCCCAGCCTTCCGCGCCCGAGGAGAGGAACACGACCCTCACGTCAGGGTTCTCGTTCGCCGTCTTCTTCAAGGTAGGCATCAGGAGTTGAGTAAAGAGTGCATGACCCATGTGGTTTGTACCAAATTGGATCTCGTAACCCTCCTTTGTGAGGCCCTCCGGCGTCGCCATGATTCCAGCATTATTGACGAGAAGGTCCAGCCGAGAAGAAGACTCATTGAACTGTTTAGCGGCGGCTTTGATGCTTTCAAATGAGGACAATTCAAGCGGCAGATGAGAAATTGGCGCGATGCTAGAGCCTTCTTTCCTCAGTGCTTCGATTGCGGCCTCGCCCTTTTCCTTTGAGCGTCCTGCGAGATAGATATGTCTAGGGTTGTGCTTTGCAATCTGTCGGATCGTCTCTAGTCCAAGGCCGGCATTTCCACCGGTGACGAGAACGACTTTTCCTGTTAAGTCTGGGATATCAGAGTCCGGCTCGAAGTTGTAGCCGCCCATCAAAAACGCTGTCGCCATCTTTCAGTCTGATTACTTTATGCCTACGTCGTTTGATGTTTGAATCTGTCTGTTGTTGATCGTGATTGCACAAGCGACGAAAAGCCTCGTGGCGCGCGGGAGCGTAGCTTGTTATATACTGTGCTTTAGAGTTTCACGTTTCAAAATTGGCGTCCGACCGTCCCGAGCTCGACACTGGCACCGACGATATTGGTTGCAAGGTGGTATTGGTAGTTTTAGGGTCCAGGGTCCCCCGCTTTGACCGATAGTTCCAGAGGCCGTTAATGTTTGGGCGATCATAGTCCGATAGGTCTTATAGACGCCATCCATGGACCTACCGAGGTGTGACGGCATGTAAATGTGTTCTTCAGACTGCTTGTCGTAGGCAGGATTATTCAACTGTAATTTGCGAGCGCAGCAAGCCGGGCTCAGGGGCGTCGGTGGAATCTTGACTCCAGAGCCTGGCAACCGCCACGATGTTACCTCAAGCGAGCAGACGATTGGAGCCAACGCCCGATGATGGCATTGCCCCAATTCACATGTTGCGTCTTGATGATGGGTTGCCTCGGAGAAACGGGTCTTAGGGGGCTCCGGCTCCCACACAGACAGCTTGCCGGGCAGCTCTTGGCAGGACCCATGGTCAAGGAGAATTTTGAACATCACCTCATAAGGTAGTGATAGTAGTATTGCAAATAGTGAGAAGGACTCAGTCAAACCACTCTAAGCACTAGAGTTATCAGCATCGTCGACATCCTTCTGGCTTCTGAGCTGTCGGGTTCCGCTGTACCGCCAGTTGGAGATGTATGTCTCAAACGCCTGCTCTCCATGCTTCCCATTAGATGTTGCGTAAACGCCAACCACGGAACCTAGAATCATATTTGTCGATACGGGATCCAATTGTCTTCATAGAGAGTGAGCTTACCAGAGTAGTAAGGAACCAACTCGGTACCCTTGCAATGTCCAAAGACTCTTAGATTGGAGTCTTTCCTGAGACCCGTAAGGCCGGCAGAAAATGCAAAATGAGTGCTGTTGACAGCCTCAATCTGGAGCGAAATCTTCTCCCCAGCCCAGCCATCCGGAAGTGGGTAAATCTCATTAGGCGGATGTTCAATCGCCCTGTACGGTGTTTCCGAGATACCACGATACCGAAGATGCGGCCGAAGGTCCTCACTTCCCTCTGGCTTCAACATGACGATACCAAGATCGAAGTGTTGCGCTTGATCTTGAATAATTGAGACCCCGACCTCCATCTCTTCCTTCGTCAATGACTTCGCCCAGTCGACATCAACACGGAATCTGAAGAGTGAATGAGCCATCCGCCGTCCGACAAAAGTTTGACCACGACCCAAGGCAAAGTCAGCGTCGAAGGCTGTGAGATTAAGTACTGAAGACTTCAACGCCAGTGTATTCCAGTGACCTGGTGGCGAGACCGCGTAGTTTCTAGCCTTTGGTAGGCGCCAATGGATGAATTGAATAGGCAGACTGCTTCCCGGCGGAAAGGAGATAACATCGTCTGCGTCGCTGAGTTGACCTTCTCCCTCTTCTGGTATAGCTTTTGCGGGTAGCAGCCAGCCAGAGACGTTGCCAGTGACCGGCGTAAACACTGGGAACTCGTCCTTCTCCCAGGTGACGGGCGTAAGTACCGTCTCTCTGCCCATCGGCAGGTTGCCAAAGTATGCTCCGGGATCCTTGCCATAGGTGCCGCCAGCCCGAACTGCTAGAGCGACAGACCACCAATTTCCATCAGCATCCTGGAACAAATCTGCGTGCCCGACAGCTTGGAAGTAGGAGTCAGTATCGTTTGCAGAGGTCAACAGTGGGTTTGCCGGTGCTGGATCGTAAGGTCCCTCTAGGCTCTTCGATCGAGCCATTGTGACCATGTGATTCTCACGGGTGCCGCCTTCAGCAAGGACTAGATAGTACCACCCATCTCGCTTCCAGATGTGAGGTGCCTCGGGAGACCGCCCACCGGTACCGTTCCAGGGCATGATGATGTCTCCTATTTCGCCAGTCTCCAGGTTGAGCGGCGCATGCATTATTCCTGGGTAGTAAGCTGCCGTGTGCGCACCCGAGACGTACGTCTTGCCGTCATCGTCCCAAAACGGCGATGGATCAAATCCGGGGAAGCTAAAGTGAACAGGGTCTGACCAGGAATTCGAGCTATACGGGTCCGTCGATGTGATGATGAAGTTGTCCCAACGACTATCATTAGTCCTTGGGAGTTGCTGATTCACGAGAGTGCATAGCAGGTAAAACAAGCCCTCGCGGAAGCGTAACGTGGGTGCGTAGATGCCGCTGGTTGCCTTTGGCAGAAAAGCTAGACCTGGCAGCTGGTCTGCTCGACTGAATGCGTTGGAAACATGTTTCCAGTGCACCAGGTCTCGGCTTGCGTGGATGGGCAGTCCAGGGAAAACGAGAAAACTGGATGTGGCACAGAAGAAGGTATTGTTCAACTCTGGAACAAAGACGCAGCTGGGGTCAGGATTGAAGCCGCTAATGATGGGGTTTTGAAAGGTTGAGTTCTCAGCTCGGCCAACTCCGAAGAGGGCTATTGCTAAAGCTAGAAGTCGGGACTTCATTGTGAGAAAGCTCGTAAGCTATCAGACTCTTTTGCAAGTAGTTACAAGCTGGTTTTCACGTTATATTGACTTTCCGAGGCCCTTAACTCAGATAACCCCGCAGCGCTCATGGAAAACCTGCATCGTTCTGGAGTCTATGTCCACACCAGGGAAGACATTCCAGCAGCGGTCGAAAGTCGTTCACAAGATTGCGGGCAACGGTGCAGCGCTTTTCCGAGACACCGGCGCCATGGAAATCCCTACTCGGAGAATTGTGGCTTTAGCCTAAAATCCCGAAGCACCGATCTTGTCCCGTTGAGCTTCAAGCCAACTGCGGGGGAGATGCAGGATCAGCAAGGCTAAGACCGGGGGAGTTGGAGCCATGATGCATTTCCGTCATCTCCTTCGCCCTCAGTGGAAGCGAGCTATTCACGTGGCTAGAAATAGCACTTGCATATCCGATGCAGTTTTCAATCAGCACGGTGCCCGGAAACATTACCATCGTTGCAACTGTCTGCGTCTAATAACCTGTTCACCCTTTCTACGCGATCTTGCGCTTGACAGCTCTTCTCCTCCCTCCTTACTAGAGCTTCCAACAACCAAGCTACAAAGCTTGACTTTATGCCTCGACTGCCTCTCGGCACTGCTTCAGACCTTTGCGCTGTTTGCCATTCTCATCAAAGTTTTCTTCGCTCAACCACATTTCCAGGCCGCTCTTGACTAACGGCCACTCATCATCTGTGATGCTGAACCAAGCTGTATCTCTACGTCGCCCTTTGGTGACTATGTGCTTTCTACCGGGTTTTAGTTGCTGACTGAGAACGAGTTTTATAGCTGTCTTACCTGAAAGTGCCTTCATAGGTATATCCTAACCGCGCAGCAGCTGCGAGACTCGGCTTGTTCAGATGATTGGCCTTCCACTCGAGCCTGTAGTTGCCCAAGCCCTCGAAAGCATGCTTCATGAGAAGGTACTGGGCCTCAGTGGCGGTACGCGTCTGCTTCAGCTGCTCACTGAAAATGATGGATCCAATCTCAATACGTCTATGAGCCGGAACAATAGAGAGATATGCCATCACACCCACTGGCTCGGATGATGGATCCGATGCCGGGCCGGACAATACAGTAAAGTACAACGGGTCTTTGCAGACGCTCCATTCCTTGAATGCTGCCTCGCATTCTTCGAACTCGAGGAAAGGCTCAGTTAAGAGATATGTCCAGCGCCAGGCGTTCTCTTCGCGGCCGAGATGCTTGAAGATGGCCTGCGCATGCGATGGTTGCAACGGGACCACGGAGGTGTATCGGCCGTGGAGCGGGGTATGGGATGGAGCCGTTGCCGGATCGGCGGAGGCTACGAGAGGGTCAACAGGAAAGTCCATATTTCTGGCAGGTCGTGGTTATGAAGAACTAATTCACCAAGTTTTGGTCAATGTTTGCAACGTTTCCGATGTTCAGATTGAGATTCAAATATATGTATGTGTTCTGGACGATGACTCAACAGATGGAGATTCTTCAAAGCACGACAACTTCGGCGCGAAGTGGGGCGCCCGGCCCGGTCACAAGGAAGACACGCCAAATACGCCGGATACGCGCAACTTCAACGCAGGACTACTGATCTCGGTGATACAAGACCCGTGCACTGACGAGACTGGACTGTCAAACGGTAATTCCCCCTCAACCTGACAACTACAAAGCTGTGAGGCGACACAGGCTTGTGAGCGGGCTTTGAATAGTTGAGAAAGTGCAGTTCAGCGACTGAAATGATTTGCTCAAGTTGGTAGTTCAACAGGAGCAGACACGGCTCGACAACTTACCAATGGAGACTACGGTAATACATCGAAGTGTCAGTACGGGTGTTGTCTGCTTTAATGATTGTTTTGAAGTATCCATTTGTTAAAAACCCCTGGTGTCGCGTCAAAGGAATCTTGGCTGGGTGGCTTTCACTTTCTGCTCTTCCTTGCCCAGGAGCAAGGGGGCCATGTTTCCTCCACCTAAACCGATCACACGAATTGAATCTCAGATAATATGACAAGTGAAAGACTAGAAAGATCTGATCCAATCCAATTGACTCCATTTAAGGAACTAAGGCTCGATCAAGTCACACTACTGGCTTGGGCTGTTGTGGCGGGTACCTGACAGAGTTCGGAACAGAGAAATCATGGACAGACTGTGTGAAGCTCAATTCTCGTATTCGGTCAGCGTCACAGTGGGTGCTACCCTTCTTCAAGCTCGCAGGATACCATTAAAACGTCGGTCGACCGCCTGCTAGCTCAAAGTAAGAGTTAAGCGACGGGACTTTGGTTTAATGGTTCTTGGCGTCAACTTCTAGACTACTTCGTGGATCATTTTCCGTGGCCGATCGGCCACCTAAGTAGCAAACATTTGTCGCATAATAATTCAAAGAGTACGGTTAGTCTGACGACCTCGTTTACGCAAGGTCATGGCACAGCAAATCGTGCAGAGACGTAAGCTTACCGTACTGAGCTCCAGTACCAGAGGGGCACAGTCTGTACAACGATGGTTCACTGAGTTATCGTGCCAATTCCAACTTCATCTAGCAATCGAGAAGGCCAAAGCTATGACGAAAGACACGATTTTCAAACATGGCGGGTTTTCTGTGTTGTCACTTCTCTTGATTCCAAGCTGGAGCTAACAACTATATAAAACCTAGGCACCTACTTGCTTAAGTTGATCATAAACCACCCTTCACACATAGATCTCTAAACTCAGCTTCCAGACAATTCTTTCACAATGGTCCAAGTCGCCCTTTCTTCAGTTGCTTTGCTCTTCCTGGTGGCTCTCGCAGCTGCGTCTCCTGCTCCTCTTGCAGACTCTCGGGATGCCGTTGGTGTCGGTGACTGGTCCTGGGAACAATGGGTTGAGACTATCATTGCCGATCCTGAAAGCGCTCTATCCGTCGACGAGGCCCTTGAAGCTGCTGCCAAATCCGCTGCTGCTCATGAAGGTTAGTCTTCGATCTCCCTTGATCGTTTCTGCCTGGATGTCAGAGTTGGTTGCATGCATATGTACTAATGTGAAATCTGTAGCTGGCTCACTTCACAAGAGACAGGAGCAGTTCTTGGTGTGCAACGATGGCAAGCCTTCCGCTTGGGTAAGTCAAACTCGGTGACTCTCATCAATTGGGAAGTCTAGACTAACACTATATAGGCACCTGATGCTGTGACATGCATCAATTACCTTGCCGGTTTGAACGCGAACTGCGGTACTAGAACCGCGACGGCGATGTGTACCGCTGGTAATGCGCAAATTGTTGGAAGCGGTAGCGGGGCCGGAGAAGTGAGCACCAATTGGTATGTCGAAATCGGTTTCTCGACTTCCAAAGACTCGTATAAGATGTAGCTAATTCTCTTTGACTTCCAGTAACAATGTTGCCCGCACTGCTGGACGCATAATGGATCGCTGCTGGAGATCCGACGACACCGTTCAGGGGGGTATGCCGGCTTACGAACAAGGCGCGATGTGGGTTTATGTCTCAGCTCCTCTGATCGAGTTCAGAGATCGATGCGACGGATACAGGAGCATTGTGACTCCACGGTATACGGACATAGTAAATAACACGTAACTCTTGTGCCCAGAAGGCCTTTTTCTTTACCAATTCAATACGAGATTAGTCCGGACAGGTAGTCTTAATGAACACGATCGACAGGTGCTTTGGTTCATGAGATGCTAGATACAACTCATTGCTTAATACGCTGCCCTCCACTCCAGGAACCAATTTTTCGGTTCCACCACGCCAGTCTTGCCCGAGACGTAATCTAGGTATCCCTTGTAATAGCTCAATGGAGCAAAGCCTTCTTTGAAACTTGCCTCATAGATCTCGCCAGTCACATCAGTCATGGATCCATCAGACTTGCACTTGAGGATACATCTTCGTCGCGAGTCAAGTCAGCCGAGGGAATCAAGATGGCCTAGGGAATGGTGGAGCAACAAGGTCCCAAACTCAAGAGATTCGACTCACGCTTGCCATCTTCCCTTTCCCTTCAAGACATCTCTCATGTGATATGTGTTCCTCTCGCAGATCGCCATGCATATGATTGTTCTAGTCCAAGGGTATGTTCCTTGGGGGTTGAGACCAGCCCATGGGAATGCTCCAGGTTTCGATCTAGCCTGGATGGACCCTTGAGTTGGTTGACGTATCCTGTCATCTATCAGCGCCTCTTCTTTCTTTTTTGAATCTTTCAAAGGTTGACTCACCTGAAATCAATTCTTGCGCTGTCCTCTTCGACTTCGTTCTCGAGTCGCGACCTTGCTGGGGATTTTCCAGCAACGAAAGTTTCGACTCGTCCCTTGAGCAATTCTTGAGGCTCAGCAGAGAATGATTCTCCGGTACCCGTCAGTGCAACGGCGTTTCTGAAGTTTTCAGCAAGTAAAGTCCGGTTGACTGGCATCGTGAATCTGGAGGATTCCAATTTGGAGCCCAGGGAGGGCATCAGAGTTAGAGATTCGGCCCTGGCAGGTGCTGCTTCTCCAAGGCCAATTGAGACGACAAGGAGAAGGACTTTTGCTAGTTGAGAGAATTTCATCTTCGGATATTGGGCGGTGATCTTCTTTATTGCAACAAAGGCTAGAGATGCATCAGACACGTGTGGGGGCTTGCATGCGGGTTTCGAAGACGGCTGCTTCTATTTCTTAGACTGATGGATTATAACAAGAGGTTTTGTGAAGATTTGTATGGTTGAGGAATAGGATGATACTAATGGACTGAACGCTCTGTTTCTGGGAGTGGTGCTTCAGCCTTCCAACTTGTAAGAGGCAACGGCCCGATCGTGCCAGTGGAAAAGGTAAGGGAGAAAACCCGAAACGAACACCTGCGCACACAACTCCCATATCCGGCGCTCGGTGCCAAAGCCGTAATACGCAGAGAAAAATCGCAGGGAAGCCTTTGTAGCACATCAAAATACCTGGAAACTCGGCGTCATCCGAGGATCTCGTCGCCTACGTCCCAAGCAAAGCAAGTGCCCCTAGGGTGGCCCCGATGTCGTTAACTCACTCAATCAAGATCATGCTGAAGGGAATCAGATGGGTACGAATCTGTTGTCAGGTCCTGTATTGTGTGAGCGTGTCACACAGTGGTGATTGACGACTTGACACCCCAGCCCCTTGATATCTGTGTGTAAGGGAAATCATCCGCACAGCGTTATTTGCTGTTCCACCATGCTGAGCTTGGGGCTCGCCCAAGTCCCCTTGCCAGTTGACACTAAAGCATTTGGGGCATCACAAAAGTACTGATATACATAAGTGCCAATCACTTTCAAACCTTTCTACCTTGGACAGATCAGCATCATTTATTACTGGTATATAGGAGCTAGCTGGCCTGCATTGCCCACAGATACCTCACCCCGAGCATCGTGACTTTCTTCAATAAGTTAAGAACTACTGACTTCTCTTCCCTTTTCCCGAATTCCTAATCATTCACTCATTCAGTCCTTCTCTCGTTGCCCGTCATGAAATACATCCAGTCTCTACTTATCGCGACCTTCTTCATTTTCTTCCCAGCAGTGTCTGCCGAATGCAACAAGAACGGCATGACAGGTGAATACGACATCAACAATAACGCTCCCGTCGACCTGAGAATCGTTTGCGCTCAGCTATCGGGTAGCTATGTGAAGAATGAATTCCGCCGAGTCTGTATCATGGATACGAACAATAGAAAGTGGGATTTTGAGCTTTCGGTACGTGAGAACTAGTCGAGTTTTCTTCCCGAAGTTCCCTTGAGTATCCTCATCTCATATTAATGATCGATGAAACATTTCCTAAAGATATCAAACTGCTGACATCACATCAGTATATCGGGAATGGTGACCAACGCGACATCGATATAGAAGAATGCTACAGCGGTATGAAGGCAGAGGCAGGCTGCGAGCGCGGCGGCCGGAAGAAGTATTGGAACTGGGAATACTCGTAAGCTCTTTCCCGCCTGCCTCTCACCTTTGGCTAAGGAAATGAGAAGATTTGCTGACCCTGAGAATTTTCCCAGGGCGGATCCAAATGTCGGGCAATGCATCAACATGCACCCGTACGATTTTGCAAGACCATTCGACGACCAGTAAGGAAGGAACGACGGCCGGGTGTAAGGGTATATAGGGCCCTGCAAGCCCATTCCCGTCATCAGCCAGGAGCCGCCCGTCTAGGTCGACGGGTTAGGTCAAACTGGCTGAGTGAGGGAGTGGTCTATGGCCAACAATCAAATTACGCCCAAAACCTACTCGACGACAGGCTACGAGTTTGAGTTCGGTTCCCAGCTTGAGCACCAAGAGATGTAGACCCCATTTCGGCACCCGGGGCCCGGGGATGGGGGGAGGGGGGTTGAACTGTTTTTGTTTTTGTATGATCGACTATACAAGGCCTCGCCGCTCAACATGTGACCTCGTATACGGATGACCCGTTAAATCGACAAGGGGTGCAGGCCTCGACTTCTTCCTCCCATTTTCGATAGATAATTAATTTTCATCGTGTACCTTGATGCCTTCAGCGTGACTATACGATACGTAGACGTCACTGATGAACACAGAAAGCGACGAGATCTGTAACTTGCTCAGCTCCATTCACAATCAATGGATCACATCAGTCAAGCATAACCCCTAGCTTGGAACAAGACGTGATAAACACGATTGAAATGAGCCCTTACTCTCAAGTCGAATAACATTATTGTCAATCCCTCTTTACGACCCTTCTATCAGTCACTCGTAACGGTACAGAAGACTAGATTCAGTTCACCATTTACCTTGAGCACCACGCAACGTCGTCCTTAGTCGTAAACCCCGGCCCGGCCCCTGTCCGACTTCCCCGCCGCCGTCCAACGGAGCACCGGAACAACGACTCCGCAGTAGCAGTCTGCCTGTCCCGGACCCCACTCATTAAGCGCAGAGATGGGAGATTGGAACATGTAATCAGGGGGGATGAACTGCAAGAAAGGGAGATACTTGATTGCAACGTTGCCATCACACCAAGAAATCAAGCTACGCTGCTATTGTGAATTTGGGCACACTGCGAGAGGCGTGCCATCTCGTTGACGGAATCGCAGGCAGTATCTGGCTAGCCTGGTGCCTTCCGAGCGTGTGGCCCAGGAACCGAGTTCCACTCGCGTTGCGATGTTGGTTCTATCACTATGCCTCTCGTATCTCAAATGTGTTTGCAATGTTTCCATCACCTGAGGGGTAAGAACCCAACAATGCAGATCCGGTTACTACCTTCTACAATCGCGCAGCTCTCATCACAAAGTTATGTCACCATGGTTCGCACCCGGGGGGACGCGCAAGCTGGGTTCCCCTCACCAAACAACCCATCCGGCTCCGAGCCCCCGCGCGCCGAGGTCACGTCCTGTCGCGTCATACCCACGATGCTCGAATGATAAGATCGTAATGGTCATTGAATCCAAAACCTTGGCCTGCCGTACTTATAGAGTGTCCAATCCTGCAATTGGCGAGGGCAATCGCAACCTAAACCCAGACATCGTGATCGAAAGCCATTGATCGACCCTCACGATGCGGTTCCTCACCACCGCCCTCGTCTTCCTTGCGGTAACAGCGGGAGCAGACTTTCTCCCAGGCCTCCCAACAACACCATACACCTCAACAGGCGGCACCATTCCCGCTTCTTCTCTCTCCAAGATCATCGTCTCATCAGCCTACGCAGATGCCGTCGACGGAAAAGGCCAAACCCTCATCCCGCCAACTCTACATGCCTTTGCTACAACCTTTGCAGAGGACCTCGCATCGTCGCTGAAACTCGATATCCCGATCGAGCTAGGCGATGCTCCGCAGCAAGGATCCATTTTCTTGACGCTGGCGGACGATGCAAGCCTATACAAAGACGCTGCTGGGCGCGAGACGTCCGAGGGATACTCTCTCAATGTCACGATCGACGGTGTGCTCATCACAGGTGCGAGCCCGCTCGGCGTGTGGTGGGGTACTCGGACGGTCCTGCAGCAGCTCGTCCTTGGAGATGGAGAGTTGAAGTTGGGGTACGGGACAGACAGCCCTGGATGGGGAACCCGGGGCATGATGGTAAGAGAATCCTTCCGCCCGAGCCGGAGCTCGCATCGCGAGAGACGTGAACGATCCCCGGCCGGGTACCTAAGCGAAGAGAACCGCAAGCTAACTACCTATGCAATATGTTAGCTTGATATCGCCAGACACTACTACCCAGCCGAATTCCTCATCGAAATGTGCGCTTACATGTCCTTCTTCAAACAAAACACTTTCCAGCTGCACCTCTCAGACAATCTCTACAATAACGTCGCCATCTACTCACGCGAGCGTATGCTTTCCCTCTACGCTGCCTTCCGGCTGAACTCCGACGACCCAGCCCTCGAGGGTCTCAACAGGCGCGCAAATGAGAGCTACACTCGCAATGTTTTTGACGACGTCCAGGCAAAGTGCGCAGCGCGCGGTGTGACGATCCTGCCGGAGATCGAGGCTCCCGGGCACGCTCTCGTGATTTCGCAGTGGAAGCCCGAGCTGGGGTTGTCCAGCGACTTGAGCTTGCTGAACATTTCGAACCCGGAGACGATACCGATGGTGAAGAAGATCTGGGAGATTTTCCTGCCATGGTTCCATACCAAGACGGTCTCGATCGGTGCTGATGAGTATGTCGACCCGACGCTGAGTGAAGAGTAAGTCAAGTCGCCCCTGAAATTGCCGGTATCGAAGCATGAGCTCATAATTCAGCGCCCTGGTTGCCGAGTACACGCGATTTGTGGACGAGATGAACGACTACATCACAAGCACATCCGGTAAGAAGGTCAGGATCTGGGGCACCTTTGCGCCGTCAGTCGGCGGAACCGTCAACAAGTCCGTTTCGATCCAGCACTGGGCCAACTTTGAGGCGAACCCGCTCTACGACTTTGTCAACAACGGTTACGAGGTACTCAACTCGGGCGACTACATTTACACGGTGGGAAAGTGGAGCGAGTGGTATGGTGTAAGTCATCAAGCTAAGTTGAAATGTGTCGATGTGATGACCGGACTGACCTGGCGAAAAGCATGAACTCAGCTTGGAATTCATCTTTAATGGCTCGCCCGATGGATCGCCATTTTCGCCAAATATTTTTGATCGCACGAATGCATCAAACAATGCCGCAAGGGACAGTGCATCGTTGCTAGGCCATATTGCGCCGCAATGGAACGATTTTGGCCCGAATGCAACGACGGTGACGGAGGGATACTACCAATGGAGGGATGGCCTGCCTGCTCTCGCGGACAAGCAGTGGGGAGGCGAAGTTGCTGAGGCTGATTACCAAGGCCTTTTCTCAGCGTTGCAGCCTCTCGCGCCGGGGCAGAACCTTGATCGAAGAATCGCATCCACCGGATCGACGATCGTTGAATACGACTTCAAGCAGGGACGAGGTAGCAACGGCACGGCTGTTGAGGATTTGTCGGGCAACAACTACCATGCAACCTCGACGTGCGCGATGGGCGACGAGGGTGCCATTCTGGCGTCTTCGTGTAGCATCACGACTCCGCTTACGCAAAAGGGGAGGAATTACACTCTTTCTTTCTCGATCAAGCCCACGTCCGACGCCAAGGGAGCCATCTTCAGCGGTGGAGACAGCGGATTGTGGTTTGGCAATGGGACTGTGGACGCTGTCATGCTCTTTTCAGGGGAGAGCACGTACGCGCTCAATTACACGTTCCCCGTGGGGTCGTGGACAAACGCGAGCCTCATTGGCAGGGGGAGACAGACGTTCCTAGACGTTGGGGACGGCGAGCCCAAGGAGTTTTTGACAATCATGGGCTGGAACGGGGCCCGGTTTGTCTGGCAGCCGATTGCAGTGGAGGCGCCGTTGGCAACAGTCGGAGGCAGTGGATTTGAGGGTGTCATCAGCGGGATGAAGCTGGTTGACCATGCCTAGAATAGCCTTATTATCGGAGAGGCTCATGTTGACGTTTTCTCTAAGCCTCACCAACTTCGGACTGTTAACCTGCTTTGGATGCTGTGGTCCTTGGAGATGGAAATTCGATGTCATGCGGAACGGGGTTGACTGAGTCGTACGTCGTGACGTGAATATTGCCCACACTTTCTGTCCACAATCGGTATTCGAACAAAGCTGGGGACTCTGCACTCTGTAGCAACTGGCCTGGTCGTAGGGCTCAGGGCGTGCTAGCCAATGTGGATATGAAACTTGGCACCATCATCCGTACCATGTGCCAAAACATATTTAGCTAGTTTTAGCGTCCATCATGTCGGTCCGGATGGCGTGTAAACGGCGTCAAGGCAGCCATCCTGCAGGCATTTGACAGATTGTGCCAGAAGGTTCTTATTTTGCAACGGTTTTTGGTTGTTTTGGCATGCAGATCTCTGTCGTTGTTTGACCCCTAGCCAAAACACCAGAGCGTCAGCGATTCACTTTGGTCGATGTCACATTCGAGGCTCGATGTAGTGGCATGGCCGACCCGGGTGACCGATCGGGGTCCTTCGGGGTCTTGCGTCGTGCGTGACTGCCAGGGGCCAGAGGGTAGGATTGAGAGGTTTTGGGCGTTGAAAGCCCCGGCAACGGCAACGGGATGCTCGCCGCAGGGATGACCGACGGGCCAGGGGCTGAATCAGGGTCCAGGACGGGGTTTCCAGTTGCTGGTCGGTGGAAAGCTGCCCAACCGTTTGACAGAGCTGTAGAAGCAGGGCGTACGGCTTCGATCGATTCTTTCTCAATATCGAGGGCTTGTTCAAATCTCCAAGGACCGGACAATGCCCACTCCCCCTCGTGCCTGGCACACTTGGCTTGCTGGCGATGCTGACATTGCTATTTGCGGGACGGCCTGAAGCGGTCAATGGTTTGGTGACGAGGACACGGGATGACGATGGTTTCGGCTGATGTACGATGGGATTTCATCGTCTCATTGTCTGCGGAATTGTGGAATGTGCATGATTGAGGCGACGGAAGGGGAACGGATGAGGGCGGAGGTGGTCGTCTGGAGCAACTGGTTCAGGTTGACTCTAGATCAGGTGGTCTCGTGTTGATGGGAGGTTTGTTGTTGCTGTGGGATACAGGAGACGAAGCCAAGGTTGATTACGTGTTGGACCGTTGGTCTCGACTCTGAGATCCAGGACTGATGGGCCATGGGAAATGGTCGTCAAACATGTGAGGCCATGATTTGTCGGTGATAAAATGAAGGGCGTGTCAGAGCTGCAATTGGAACTTGGAAGATGCATAGGAGGTCCGGAGACACTGGAGTGCTGGGAGTACGTACCGCGTGTCCTTTCAAGGTGCTTGCCTGACTGTGTGTGCGCCATTCACGTGCACGGTACGGGATTACAGCATATTTGCGGGGCCCAGCGGGGCAGCTGCTGGTTGGAAACTTGGAATCGGAGAGCAGCAAGTTGAGAAGGAGCAGGGCCATTGACTCGGAGCCCCGCTCCTTCCCTTGTTTGGGTTCGAGTCCCTTGCAAACCATCTTGATGCCCCGCTTCTTCCGCCTCTTACTTTCCCCGGTCCCCGAGTACGTACCGAGTCACGGGCATGAGGGCGGATCCGCACTTCGCACTGTACGTACCTGTAGGTCGTCCGCGATCTTTCGCACAATTTTGCCGTATCTTCACAGTGTCTTCTTCTTTCTGCCCATTCTTCCAGAGAGTCCACCATCATTTTTGCTATGCAGATCTCGTCGCATGCTGTGCAGCAAAACACCCATTGTTGGCCCTTCACCGCTCACCTGGTGGCCCTCCCGAAATCTCCCACGGCTATGGTTCATCGGTCTGCCCTCTCCGATTTTTTGTCGATGATCGAGCTGCCCATTCCATTTCCTCCCCTCGTGGACCTTGGACAGGGGCAAGAGGTGGAATTGGCTTGAGTCTCGACTCTGAAAGTGGTCTATACGTGTGGGGACCAGGATCAGCCCAAGTTCTCAAGGATCCCGGAGCCAGTCCCGTCATCGACTTTCCTCGCTGTGGTTGGCCTTCCCCCCGCCTCGGTTTGCTGCTCACATGGAAGCCAGTGGGCGACGTCCAAGGTCCACAAGACTACGAGAGTGACAGCAATACGGATGACAAGAGGGAAGTAGTCGATCAAGAGAAGAAAGAGAAACAGTGTTGAGCGATGACCGAGGGGAGTGTCCTGGCAGCAACAGCCAAGGCAACGTCCATCCATTCTCCGTTGATCAATGACAGTCAAGACTCAGACATCAGTCCATCGGTCGGCCCGTCGTCAGTGTTGCATGGCACACGACACTGGAAATCCCGAATCCAACCAGCCAGCCAGTAGTCTACGAATACTACAATCTTGCTCAGCAGACCAAATGATTACACTTTGCCCATCATCGTTACAGGCGCCCTCAGATCCCTCTGCTCAACTCTGACTCTCCCGACTAGATTTTCCATTGTCTTTCAAGAAAGGACAAAGGATCAAGGGTCGGTCTGGCCGCCGCCACCATCCCAAAACCATCTGCGCCGTCCCACCATCTCGCCTCGTTAGCCTCCGATCTCTCTTCAGGCGTCAACGTGCAAAACACTTTTCTCGACCTAACCACCACCACCAGTAGAGTCCTGTACGGATGGTCTTAGACCTTAGGGTAACGGACGGATGGGACACACACACAAATACTATCCAGAACACGCGCGGAAACACACCACCGCCATCGATTTCCCATCCACGTGCGGCGTGGCATTGCGCTAAGGTCGTCTAGACCCCTAAAACATGCAACCGAACAGCAGTCTGGATTGCGACACGCACACCGGTTGGGCATGCATCTGAACTTGCCCTTTAGCTACCTTAGCACCTTTAGCTGAGGCTGCGGAATCCGGCTCAAATGTCGCCAAATTATTGCCCCTCTGCTGCAGAGAGACAAACTACACACTTTCTTCGCCGGCCGCTAAAGTCTAGCGCATCTCAGAATCTCCGAGGGTCCCCCATCGACGCAAAACGGAGCCAAACGAGGGACGCCCCTCCATTCCACATTCCACTGCCAAAACTGCCCACCAACACTCACACAGACATGCCGTGGGCACCCACGCCCTCCAGGCTCTAGGTCTCCAATTGCCCAGTGGGAGCCAGTGGGAGGGGGGCCTCTGAGAGAACGCCTCGAGGAGGATGCAGAAGCCTGGAACCCCGGTTCCCGTGGGTTGCAATGGCCAATCTCCAAACCGCCCAAAGAACCGGTTTCCCATCCAGGGCAAGGATATGCGCTGCCTTGGCCTCGCCCTGGGGCCCTGCCTGCACTGCCGTCACCATCAAGTCTTCTCGCTACTGCGCCGTGGCCCCCCCCCCCAACCCTCTCGAACAATGCTCATCCCGGCTTCCGGGATCCCTGCTCCACCTCAGCGGGGAGGGGCGGCATTTCAGTCATGCCCGCCGCCTCACCTTTCAAAGCAAGCATGCTTCTTCTCCTTGATTTGGGGGACTTGGATCCGAACTTGATCTGACCTTGCCTATCTCGCCTTACCTTGACCTGCAATTGTTGACGACGACGGACTACGGCTACGTTGCTGACAACGACAAACAACATTTCCTATCGTTTGTCGTTGCTGTAAACTGCATCAAAACTCCTTGTATCATGGGCAGGGCCAACTTCATCATCCCACTCTCCGACAACCTGCATGAAGTATGAACAAGATATCAGAAGGTGCCCGTGAATGGGAGACATTCAAGTGCGTACACCTCTCTCTCTTTCCGAGCTTTGGCTCAAGCCTCGGAGCACGACGCCTCTGGCTATTCAACAACTGACAAACTCGACTTTCTAGATATGATTCTTTCCACATTCCCAATGCTGTGTTCAACAGTCCCGACCGACCGATCCCCTTCTCATCCATCTCATCGTCTCCGGATACTGGCCTCACTTCCTTTGCGCAGCTAGGTGCCTTGCGACTAAACGCATCGCGCGCCTTGATTTCGCTATTCGATCGTCAGCATCAATACATCGTCGCCGAGGCTACTCGGTCAATGCCCCTGGCCCCGAATACCAAGTACACGAGGCAAAACCATCTTTGGCTTTGCGGAACAGCCATTCCTCGCGACTTTGGAATCTGCGAGCATGTTTTGGTCGGAGCGACTTACGCGGCCCCCAGCAGCCTCTATCCGACAGCCCACGTCACTGACGAGAACGAACTTCCTGTGTCTGTAGTCCCGGATCTTGCTGCTGACCGGCGATTTTGTAATCGTCCTTACATTGATGCAGCGCCATACAACCGCTTTTACGCGGGTGTTCCCATCCGGTCTCCCAAAGGAATCAACATTGGGGTATACTGCATCTTTTCTGATAAACCGAGGAATGGTCTCGATACCGAGGAATTGCAATTCATGCGCGAAATTTCCCACACAGTAATGGAATACCTCGACGCTAGAAGAGTAAATGAGAGCTACCGCCGAAGCGAGCGCATGGTGCAAGGATTGGGAAACTTCATCGAAGGTAGAGACGACCCAGTGCCGACTGCGAGAACCACGCCTCGAGCGTCTTTGAACGGATTTGAGCCCCCAGGCTGGCGGTATCACTGCCCGATGCGGATCCGCCGTCACCAAGATCTTCCGAGTCCCCTGAACCCGTCCGCCCGGGCATCAATCCGATCAGAGTAGACTCGAATGATTCATCAACCAAGGTCGAATCGAGCGACTCCGTTGAGACGACTGCCACGACTGCGACAGTCGCCACCACTACCTCGAGCACGGCGCCCCCTGACCCGCATTTGACAGAAACCATCAAGATCTTTTCGAGGGCCGCCAATGTGATCAGGAAATCCCTCGAAGTAGACGGCGCCTTATTCCTGGATGCGAGCATCGGCTCCTTTGGTGGCCTTGTGACCGGTCCACGGAGGGCCAGTGAAGTAGCAGACCACACATTTTCCAGCAGCGAGGACAGTCTTTCTGAGAAGTCCGAAGACGCCAACGACAAATGGTGCAAGAGCTTTGGAAGGTCGTCGACGATGGACGACATTGCCAATGGCGCCAGTGCACCACAGCTCGGCCGTCTAACGTTGCGCGAAAAGTTCCTCAGGAAATTGCTTCGTCGATACCCCAACGGCAAGGTTTTCAGCTTCGATGAGACGGGTCAGTGGTTGTCCGCCGACTACGAAAGCGATGATGCCGACATCACCCCCACTGAAGAACACGATCTCCCGGCCGCACGTCCTGAACAAAAAGCAGCACATTCGTACTTCACGAGGCGGAACGAGGCCAAGACCATCATCGACATCTTCCCAGGCGCGAGGAGTGTAGCTGTAGTACCGCTGTGGGATCCTTCAAAAGAACGATGCTTTGCCGGAGGTTTTGTGTGGAGCAAGAGCGCAACTCGGATATTGACGCCGGCGGCAGACCTGCCTTTCTTACGAGCATTCGGGATGGTCACCATGTCTGAGGTCATTAGATTGGATGCAGTTCTGGCAGAGAAGGCAAAGACAGACATTTTGGGTTCTCTCAGCCACGAGCTTCGGTCGCCGCTCCATGGCGTGGTCGCTGCTGCAGAACTTCTTCACGATACACAGTTGGATGCTTTCCAGGTCGACGTGATTCACACCATTGAGATTTCGGGCAAAACTCTTCTCGACACAATTGACCATGTAAGTTTATCATGGCGCTTTTTAAGCCTAAGTTGACGTGCTGACTCGGTATAGTTACTCGACTATAGCAAGGTCAACACGTACCTGCGAGCTTCCAAGTCTCAGCGGAAGAATAACGGCCCAGGGCGTGGGCTGCGACAAGAAGCATCGGCATCGATCGAATCTGGTATGATGAGCTTGGTTTCCGACGTCCACCTTGACTTGCTTGTAGAAGAGGTCATTGAAAGTGTATTCATCGGCTACAGCTTCCACCACATGGTTGCCAACTCTCTGGCACGCCACGGCTCATCTTCAGGCCCTCCAACACCGGCGCAAGAGAAGCTGGATGCCATTGCGACATCCGATGGGCTGGGTCACAGGCGGAAACCCTCTGACGCGCCTGCTGCCACTATGAAGGACGTCAAGATTCTGGTCGACATCGATCCGAATTGCGCGTGGGTAGTCCACACGAATCCGGGCGCCATTCGTCGGATAGTCATGAATCTGTTTGGAAATGCCCTCAAGTACACATCCAAGGGATTCATCAAAGTCCACCTCAGGCAAGAGGAGGTCGTACACAAGACATCTCGGTCGGCATCGATGGTTGTGCTCACCGTCACTGATTCGGGCAAAGGTATCACCGAAGAGTTCTTGCACAACAAGCTCTTTACACCGTTCTCCCAGGAAGACGCACTCGCACCGGGTACTGGTTTGGGGCTCAGCCTTGTCAGACAGATTGTGGCAGGCCTCGGTGGCACAATCAGTGTGGAGAGTCAGGTCGGCCATGGAACGAGCATCACGGTATCGATGCCACTGGTGCTGTCTCGCAAAGCGAGCAGCAGGGGACGCAAGTTTTCTGCCGACCTGAATGCCCTGGCCGGAACGCGACTCTCGGTGTGCGGGTTCAGCAGAGGACTTGGAGATTCGGACGAGCTTCGCGCCGGTGGACTGGATCTTCCTGTGGAAAGCTTGCCATTCAAGTGGATGGATCTTAAGCTCAACGAGGACAGCCGAACTGCGTCCAAGACGGATTTGATGGTTTGCAGTGAAGAGGCGTTTAGACGTCTCGGTCTGTCAGAAACTGGAGGTGTTGATACCCCGCTGGTCGTAGTCTGTGGCAATGCCGAATCTGCCCAGAAATTGGCTACTTCCTACAGACGCTCCCTTCGCCACGAAGCTGTTATGGAGTTCATAGCGCAGCCGTGAGTCCTCTTCTTCTCTTTGAAGATCTCAACGCTAACTGTGATTCAGTACTGGCCCCAGAAAGGTTGCAAAGGCTCTTGCTTGCGCACTTGATCGCTGGAAGCAAAGACAGCCTGCGAAGACGATATCCGTTAGTCCCGTGTCGGATGCCTTCCCAGGGCCTGCTCCATCGCCACGCGCTCTGAAGTCGGACGCTCTATTGACGAGACCGCGAGCGCAATCCGAGTCGGTCAAAGTGGTACGAGTGGCCTCACCGGCTACCGAGATCGTATCTCAGTCACCTGGAGATAGCTGGATTGCCAACACTAACGACTCTAACTTTACTTTAACGCTCCCCTTCCGCCCGGCCGCGTCAGCAGCGGCGCCGGCTACCTCGACAGCTTCAGCTAGAGGTAACATGAACTCGAGCGTCAGCCCGTCTCCTGGAACCGTTAAGTCACCGCTAGAATTTCTTTTGGTGGACGATAATCCGATAAATCTCAAGGTTTGTCTACCTCCTGGGGACGATGCTAGCACGTTCAGAGGCTAATGGTATCAGATTCTATCGGCATACATGAGGAGGCTGCAAAAACGACATGCCACTGCTTCCAACGGCCTTGAGGCCCTGCAGACATATACGTCTCACCCGCAGAGGTTTTGCTGTATTCTCATAGGTATGAGTCGACTTAACGGACGACAGACAACAGCCGTGACTAACAATACACAGATATAACGATGCCTGTAATGGACGGGCTCGAAGCTACACGGCGCATCAGGAAATTTGAACGGGCGCACAACCTCCCACCCGTGACGGTTATTGCCATCACGAGTTTGGGATCGACCGGCGCTCGACAGGAGGGTTTTGCGAGCGGAATGGATTTATTCTTGACACGACCAGTGACCATGACCGAATTGGTCAAAATATTGAAACAGAGGAAACTCGTGGACGAGGCGGCGGAAAAAGAGGTCCTATCTTAAATGTGGAAAGAGGACCTCGGGCGTTGTAGACGGGCGTGACTTGCGCATTGGGGCAGTAGTATCGCTGTTGCATGGGTTTTTCTTTCTCTCGTTGTTTGGTCAAAGTTACGCAAGGCGTTTGGAAGGTACACGATCTGATGGATTGGTCCTGCATAGGACCTAGAAGCGCTCCAAAAAGGGGGACACCTTTTTCACGGCCATTGGTACGAACAAGTTTGACGAGGGTTATGGCGCCGTTGGGGGGTATTATAGTTGACGGATGGTACCGAGATAGTACAGGAATGCTCGGTGCGCAGGTAGTCGAAATGAACAGACGGCTAAATGCAGTCGGTATGAACATTCTAAATGTTGTCCGATCTTATGAGCCGTGAGCATTTCCAGTGTGTCGGGCGGCTCCGGGTGGACGACATCGCAGGATCGCATTCGTGCGCAGTGGCGTACTCTCGACTCTGGACATATTCGACAACCCACAGTAAAGCATCGTTCTGGATAAAATGACGATCAAAATGACGATCAAATAGCGCCAAGTTTCTTGATCTGAGAAGCGAAGGATTGATGTGACAAGATCTAGAATGGATTCTTCGAATATTCCTACAGGCCTGGCGTCTCTGTGGCATTGGCTAGGACCTGTCAGTCATCGGGAGGTGCCGATGGCTTTTTTCTGACAGCTGCCTGTTTAATTATGAGAATAATTACTTGGGCGGAAAGGAGAGATAAGAATAGGAACAGGGGGCTCTGAGCGTTGGTGATGTGGACGTGCGGGACCTCGGCTTTTGCCCGGCATGTTTTGGGTCTTTGGGTTTTATCAATTTGGATGCGATTCATTTCATTGTGATATGTTCGGATAGGGTGTTTCAACGATTTGGAACGCTTCATTACTATACGGAGTGATCAGGAGAGGAATGAAGGCATCAAGCGATTGTTGAAGGGAACAAAACTTGAGAAAGGGCGTGGTATGAGTACGTCGCTTCAGAGAGAAGGAACAGTTTCAATCGGCGTTCAAGAATCAACAAACTCGAATGCGACACAAGAATCGGGCCGACAATTTCAAGAAGCCTTTTCCAATGCTCCAGTCTGCCATATTCGTCGCAGTTCGCACCTCATCAATGGCAAAGGGGAAGAGCGAGAGTCCACTGATAAGGCTTCACTCGCCCGGGACACGGGTTGACCCCTACGCGTCCACGTTGGGTCTTCTTCTGTTATCTTTGGTGGGTGTGGTCAGGGGCGCATAACGAACGGTCACTCCGAGGTGCAGAGATAAGTATCCGCGGGTTCTTGTGCGAGTCTGCATTCTGTAGTAATTGCAGGCAGTGGTTCGTTGTGGGTGTACGGAGGCTGACTAGTCAGCCCACCTCTGACGATCTTGTTTCTTTGCTCTCTTGCGACGTCCATCACCAGGTTTTTCGCGATGTTTGCTGTTCGTTGCTGCGTTCATTCACGACCAACACTCCCTTCCGAATCCCATATTTCCGCTTCCGAGAAGAGCCGTCTCTTATCAGAGAGACGAGTGGATTCGGGATCCAGTTCTCCACTACGATTGTATGTGTCAGCGGAGAGAGGGAAGGGGGGCTTGTGGGCTGTGGCCGAGCCCAATCTTGCGGGGTTGGATTTCCACGTCGAGGAGCATTGCCGGTGTAGACATCGTGAGGAAATCAAGGTGAGCTTCTTTTGGGTCAGAAGGACAGCAGCTTGCGTTTCGGTAGGTAGGACGACATTGGAACACCGGAGCCATGGCAATCTAAACCATGTGCCCGGGTAGGCCGACCTGCGTTGTCCAGAAAGGGCATCGTTCTATTGCCGGGGGAGGTGTCGATTCAAAGGCATGGTTCGACAGCCAGCAGATAAGATTTTGGGGGTATTGAAGAGACGACGAAACGAAAGCCAACGCGGTAAGGGTCGTGATAGGACGAGATAGTGAGTGGCACGACACCCTCTCCCCATCTCCTCACTGCTGGTGTCCTTCTGCGGACGCGAAATGCATACAAGTAAGCACCGCTATACCACGTGAGCACGTCTATCTCCAGCGCGCTCCCTCAGCCCGAGCATCCATTCAACGCCGCCAAGCCCGTTTCCCCAAAGCGATCGACCCTTTTGTTCTGTTGCAGCGAGTGTTCCATTGCAGCCAACGCTTTCAAATGGGCTACCCAAGAAGGAGGGGGGAAAGATGCATGATAGGGTGGGTAATGACATCACGGGCTACACGAGTTGGAGAAACAAGCCTTTTTGGCGAGGTGACCATTCTCCTTGCCTTGTGGTTTACCGCGCTGTAGGCTGTAGTTTCCCTGTAACCGATCAATTCCTGGGGAAAGATGGACTGCTTGGAACGTGGGAAGATGGGGTTTCGACACTTCTGGAGGACGCCAACACCGCGGTCCCGATAGGAGGAGTGTTTAACCCCCTTTATGCTTCTCCGAGTTACCCGAGATCTGGTCACGATGGTCCTTCGTGAGCAAACAGCATTCGGTTATCTTCATCTTCATAATGAAGTCAACGAAGGGCTCACTGGTACTGCCAGGCCGTAGATAGAGATGACGAAGTCACTGATACACAGAGTCTACACACCGCGGTTAAACATGATTCAGCATCCTAGCCATCAGGCAAGGCGAGACTACCAGAAACGGGTGTGTCCTGGTGCTGTCTGGGTTAACGTCCCGATACGCACGAACCAACGAACCAAGCGGCGCCCTGAAGTGGTGGTGCCCGTCTGATGGTTGTAGTTGTGGTTGTGGTGGTGGTGGTGGCTTGACACGCACACAATTACCACGCCCCAGGGACGCTGAACTGGCCTGTCATCGTAATCAATCATCAAAGGCCGCCCCAAGCTGCCAGTCTGCCAAAAGATAATCGCGGTCCCGGAGGTGGGTGGTCCTCTGGTCCAGGTTCTCCCTCCTCGAGACTCGTTACCGGCTGGCTGCACCCAAAACCGCCCCCGTCTGTCGAGGCGCCACAATCGGATTTCCCACTTTAGATGGTGGATACGTAGATAAAGGCGATCACTTTGAGTGAAGCATTATTTCATGCCATTGACAGATTGGTCAAGCCAGTCGTTCATGAGTTGTCGAAGACTCTAAGCGTTCCTTAGCCATTGACAAGACGTATTCGCGAATTTCAATACACCAAATAGCCCAGACAACTCGGCTTCAGCCCAAGAGGCTTGGGAAAGCTGAGAGATCCACTGATCGTGAGCTGTGCATCTCGGCCAGTTTCCACTTTCTCTCCTCACTTCCGTCAGGTCCTTGCGGGGCGTGGGGGAGAAAAGAGGAGGCACCCGAGGCGGACAACTCGTTCGTCCTCTCTTTCAGACTCTCTCACTCGGCTTTCCTACTGGCAGCCTGGCAATTGTCAAATAGAAGAGGAGCAAAAGATTAGCGCATCGTCTTGAACGAGAGAGCTCCATGCCCAAGGCCGGGGTCCCCCCTCCCCCCTTCTATCCTACCAGTGCCCACCCCCCGGCCGCAGCCAGGCCCTCCCGTCCGTTTCTTGTCGCATTGGACGTAGCCGCGCTTCTGTGTCATTTGAATGTGTGTGTGACTCGCCCCGTCCCCGTAGATGGTACTGGGCCGGGCCTGGCTTGCTTCAAGCTTGACTGCCGGATAGACTAGTTCTAGTCTGTACCCTGGACCGAGACCACTCTTCTTGCGTGTGTTGAACGTGGTTTAGTTCTAGTCCCGTACGAAGAAGCTGATGGAGACAATTGGGAGAGAAAGTCTGGGCTACTAAAGAATGGCTTAGTCCCCTTTTTCTTACCACACACCTCGGTTCCCATGTAACGCACGCGGTCTTTTTCTCTTCACTGCCAAAAAGACGCGGTCCCCTTACCCTTTCTTCGTGGAGTGCGTGTGTGTCTGTGCCAACACTTTCAACATTTTCATTACGTCCATTTAATACTCCTGCTCCTCAATTGCCGCATCTCCATATCCCTCCCCCGCAAACTCGTCCGTCTACCCCGTCCTCCCCGGCGAGAAACGTTACCGAGCGAGGCTGTCCGAATCCGGGGTTCTACAACGACCAACCAACAAAGAATTGAGTCATCTACATACTCAAATCGACGTCTTACCGGTTCGATTGGATCGGCAGCTATCCGTGGACTGACACCACACGATATCCTCAACGACAACACTCAGAACCTCGCAATCACCACCGACTACAAACCGCAAACATGGAAGCGCCTCCCCGCGTCTCCGCCGACCAGGCCCTCGCTAGGCTGGGCTACAAGGCCGAGCTCCCGCGCAACCTGTCCATGATGTCCATCCTCGGCCTCTCCTTCGCCATCATGGCCGTCCCCTTCGGCCTCAGCACCACAATGTACATCACCCTGACCAACGGCCAGGCCGTCACCGTCCTCTGGGGCTGGGTCCTCGTCTCCATCATCTCCCTCTGCATCGCCGCCTCCCTCGCCGAGATCTGCGCCGTCTACCCGACCGCCGGCGGCGTCTACTACTGGTCCGCCATGCTCGCGCCCGCCGGCTGGGCGCCGCTCGTCAGCTTCGTCGACGGATGGCTTACCCTCGTCGGCAACTGGACTGTTACACTAAGTATCAACTTCAGCGGTGCGCAGTTGATTCTCAGCGCGATTAGTGTTTTCAACGAGGACTTTGTCGCGAATACGTGGCAGACTGTGCTTTGCTTCTGGGCTGTCATGTTGGTTTGCGCCGGAGTAAATGCATTTGGATCGCGGTACCTGGATCTGATCAATAAGGTGGGTTTGGCATGCTTTGAGAAATCAGGATTGGAATGAGAGCACTGACGAACATTTTCACAGGTCTGCATCTACTGGACTGGTGCTTCCGTTCTCATCATCATGATCACTATCCTGGTCATGGCCCCCAGCAAGAGATCTGCCGAGTTTGTCTTCACCCACTACGACGCCTCTGCAAGTGGATGGGCTCCCGGCTGGTCATTCTTCGTCGGTCTGCTCCAAGGTATGCTCGCCAATCACCCTACACTCACGAATACAGCCCAATTGACACCTCTACTAGCCGCCTACACCCTCACCGGCTACGGTATGGTCGCCTCCATGTGCGAAGAAGTCCAGAACCCCGAACGCGAAGTCCCCCGCGCCATCGTCCTCTCCGTCGCCGCCGCCGGCGTCACCGGTGTCATCTACCTCATCCCCATCCTCTTCGTCCTCCCCGACGTCACCATGCTCCTCGAGGTCGCAAACTCCCAGCCCATCGGCCTCCTCTTCAAGACCGTCACCGGCTCCGCCGCTGGCGGCTTCGGCCTCCTCTTCCTCATCCTCGGCATCCTCATGTTCGCCGGCATCGGTGCCCTGACCGCCGCCTCCCGCTGCACTTACGCCTTCGCCCGCGACGGCGCCATCCCCGGCTACAAGCTCTGGAGCCGCGTCAACCACAAGCTCGACATGCCCCTCTGGGCCCTCGGTCTGTCTACGGGTGTCGACATGATCCTCGGCTGCATCTACTTCGGCTCCAGCGCAGCTTTCAACTCCTTCACTGGCGTCGCTACCATTTGCCTGTCCACCAGCTACGGCGTGCCCGTCCTCGTGAACCTGATCCAGCGCCGCCGCGCCGTCGCCAACTCGCCCTACCCGCTCGGCAAGTTCGGCACCGCCATCAACTGCATCTGCATCGTCTGGATCTGCTTCGCCGTCATCATCTTCTGCATGCCCGTCAGCTTGCCCGTCGACGCCTCGACCATGAACTACGCCTCTGTTGTCTTTGCCGGCTTCGCCTTCATTGCCATCACGTGGTACTTTGCCTACGCGAGAAAGAACTTCCACGGACCCCCGGTCGCCAAGGAGGAGTTCCAGCCTGGGCCAGAGGGCACGCTGGAGGGAAAGATCCCGGGAAACGTTGACTCGGAGACAACGGCGAGTACGGAAAAGAAATGATCTTTTTTTGGCTTTCTTTGTTTTCAGATTTGAGTAGACGCTGATTGGTTTGTGGGATCAGTTGCGTGTACGTAGAAGTTGATTTGCCTTTTGTTATGATACCAATTTGGGGTGGCTCTCACACATCCTGACAATCATTCATCCATTGAAAATTCTTCATCCTATGTCGCCTCCATTAAGTCGTCTCTGAAGATGTGAGCGTGGCACTTGGTTGAACTATGACTTATGAGTCTACGCAATTATGCTTCTGATGTGACCAATGTGAACCCCTTCGAGCATGTAATTAAACTGGACAGGGCTCTTCGCGTCAAGAGACTTTTGACAAATTTTCGATCCGCATGGTTCGGCACATCGCAAATCCCGTCCTCATGATCCACCATCATCACTAAATCATTCGTCGCGCAGCCTTCGTATCGTCGAGAGAGACTGGCTCGGGCCTTTCCTAAGAGAAATCTGTCTATCAAGGCCCGTATACAAGTAAGCTGGCTGATATAACAGAAAAGTTCACACCCCGTGACCTAGATATGCGTGATTATATCAGAGGGACCATTCCTGTCAACACGACTTCAGAACGCTGGCCATCTTTGTGATGTGATAAAGAGCTCTGAAAGCTGCTTAGTCCAATCATTCGGTGTTACGCCCGCCACATCTGGGACATTTGAAAGCCTTCTATTAAAGCCCCGAGCTTTCCGTCGATAGCATAGCCTTCGGCCTCTAGCCTCCTACATTCGACGTAAAGGATGGTCAAGGGCAGTGAGAAACACTCGATGAATTCTCCTTCTTCCAAGCGCGGCTTGGGGTTGCGATTTTCCTCTGCTTGCATGTTTATATCAACATGGACCATGACAGAGCAGGAACTAGATAAAGTCAATGTATGAAGGCCAGCTGAAGGCAGGGATTGAGCGTGACACACTTGGAGAAACCAGGGGCTTGGGAAATGTTAGTGCTAGATGTCTTCAACGTAGATCAATTTGCAAACTGGCCACTTACCGCCGAAAAGCTTTGGGCGGTTCCCATACGAATCCGGCTTGATGATCCCGACGTAGCCTGTCTCTTCTGCGAGTTCGCGGATCGCGCACTGTTCCACGGTTTCGCCTTTGTCAAGCAGTCCAGCGGGAAATTCGATGCAGATTTTGCCCACAGCCGGGCGGAACTGTCGCTGGAGCAGAAGCTCTGGGCCAGTTTCTTTCTTTAACACGGCAACAATATGGACTGCGTCGACTGAGCTGCCTGCCGCGCGTGTCTTCCTCTCTACTCCTTCCCAGACGCGGTCTTTACCATCCATGTCTCTGTACTTAATTCTAAACGTCCGGTCAGGTCCAACTACAGTATAGTTTCGTATGAGATCCTCATCGGAGGGGGAACCGACTTGACCAACGTCATCCATTTGGCATCTCCAATCTCCTGCGTGTTCCATCACGCATTAGCCATGCTTGTTGGATCAACATGCCAATTCAACTTCTTGCAACTTACCAGTGGCTCGGATGAAACCACATGAGGCTTCGTTTTGTTCTCCATATTGAGCACGTAATTAATTTGACGTATGAAAATCCAGATTGGCTGAAGGTTCCGATGTTGTCTCTTTTCCTATTCACGCTGCTGAAGGACTATGGAGGGGTAAAAGTTGGTGGGGTGGAGGGGCAAAAAGTGCGGGGTTGCATCTTCAGTCACAGCAACGAGACGCGTTTAATGGACTTTGACCTACGGGCGCGAATTGTTGGAGTTCGAGAGGCTGGAGTTCTTCAATTATATCTCTGTTTGGTTTCATTTAAAGCTTTGGTCACAGCACCGTCTTTCCCAGACCTATTGGCTCTAATCATAATGGAACATCAGTCCTCCGGGCGCCATCGGAAAGGATTGTTCTCTTGAAGATGCCACACATAGCCCTGAGCCGCAAGACTCAAGACACGGTATTCATCTTCGCCCATCTCGCTGCACTCAGCCCCAGACAGACCTGTCAAAGCCACGACGTTAAGCGGCGCAAGACCCTGCTCTCCTCGCTGCTTCGGGTCGGTCTTGCGCCGCAACATATCCAATGTCTCCTCCCACGTACCCTGAACCATCTCAACAGAGCTCAGGCTGAAGTCTAACTCTCTATCTCCAAGAAGAACGCTCAAGTGGTGAGAGCTGAGACGCACGTTCGAAAGTGTAAGCCAGCGAAGGTTCGGCCATGGTTGCGTTCGGACAAACCAGCCGAAATGCCACGGTTTTTGCGGTCCGATTTCGATTGTGTCTGCGTCGTGGCTGAACTCCTCCAAGTCGATCGAAATGCGCTCTAGACTGTCCGTCATGGTAAGAACAGTGAGAAGCTTCCCACAGCCTTCAAATTCAGCCGCGTCGTGAAATTTCGGCCAGGTGACCTGGGGTCTACTGGAAGGGCCGTCGCTGAGCATGTATTTGCTAGTGAATTCGAAGCACCGGAGCCGTTCAGTCACCGAAGTGTACTCGTCTATTGTCGGCTCATCCTCCACCGTCTCAAAAGCATCCCAGAAGTGCATCGGGGTGACTCGCACAGCAAATCGTGTCAGGAAAACGCCAGTAGCTCCGAGAATTCCCGGAATGAATCCGAACGGCCGTCGAGCGCTCATGAGGTCATCTTCAAGTCGAGCAACCGCTGTCGCTACGCGCTCCCATCGGTGAGGAGTTATGAGGAACTGGTAAAGTTCGTCGTCATTGACGAGGGCGTCTCCTTCGGGCGGAGTCCACTGCGATTCAAACGAATCGCTCATCTCCAGTCTCGTCGCGTTCGGCATTCGCTTTATTGCGAATGATACAGTATCGGAAAAGCTGTGCCACCTGTCGTCGTGAAGGTGCTTTTGCTCGGCCTCAAGACGCGCGTATTTATCGTATGCTTTCCCAAGGAGTCCTTCGTGAAATGCATTCGAAAGCTCCTCATCCCAAGGCTGATTGTTCGTGAGCCGATCCAAAAGATCGAATATCGCCTGAAGCTTCTCTTTTGCTCCGTCAGACAGCATGTCCTTACGCGTCATCCCATGCCAGAGTTCCCGCCGGAACAAGTTCTGGAGCTCGTGCTTCGCCAGGAGAATGAAATTCTCTTGTGCGTATGCCGCGAGTCCATCGTAGAAGCCCAGCGGGATGCGGATGCAGCGCACGCCTCGTCCGATGGTCGCATGCCGGGAAATTGCATTCAGACGATCAAGGGATTTTCGTGTGATGTGTACCGTAATGGTAGGAACCAAGTAAGGGGATGCTGCTTCGCAGAGACGGCGGCAAGTCAGGCGAAGGGACTGGAGAGTTTCGATGTCTACTTTTCGCCTCTTGTGTGGCTGCGCCCAGGTGAAATCGTTTTCCTGTGCCGAGGCGGTGTCGACGTGAGAACAGATATGATCCAGGAGCTCGAAGGGCAAGTTAAGAAGCCTGCTGTCCGTCGGGTTGAGAATGCCGTGAACGTGTGCTCGAAGGGCGAACCCATGTTCGATTAGATCCGAGTAAGGGCCGAGCTCGTTTGTATTTGCCTTCTTTCGTGCTTTCCAGTCCTCCAGGCTTAGTTCTGGGTGGTGGTTGATGATTTTCTTGAAGGTCGGATCGACCTCTATCAACCGCCGGTAAATTGCAGTGAGCTCTTGGCTTGTGTCATTTTTCGTCTCTTCCCTCTCTGTTCTATTGATGGCTGCGGAAACATTTCGTATATCAAACGTGAATGGCGCCATTCCCAGGCATTCTACGTTGCCTATGTTGCCTACGTTGCCTGCGGAAATTTGCTCCTTGCCTTTGAAAGAGCGTAACGCGGGATAGACTAAGTACCCGGTGTCAAGGTTTCCGTGTTTGGGATCTAGTCTCGACAAGTTGGATGTCTTTTTAGTTGTGAATAAGGAACGGCAATCTGAGTCTGGGCAAGGCGGGACCATGTCACGTCTTTGACGCGTGACGTCACGTGCATTTACTATTACTGTGCCATTTTGTGAGCAAGGTTCTCGCCAGCAAGCGATATAATGACCTCCAGAAGTCGGACCTCAAAACCCAGACTACCGAAGATGATGAATGCAAGATAAGTGGGCGATGAGAGTCGCTTTCACGTCTGCGTTGAGCATAATCGAAAACCAGTTGCAAACTTCCAAATCCAACCCGAGCATAATAAAGAACCTCCTCCAGCTACGATTAGATTGTACACAGCAAACTCAGTTGAGACCACCAACCCTGGTAACAATGATCGATCAGGGAACATCCCGCAAAAGGGAAGTCCATGCGCACGGCACAGGGAACTCCAAGAAATCACAGAGCCGCGAAGACATGCGCGCCTACAAGCTCCACGACTCCTACCGGGGAGTATCTGCGGATGAAGTCTCGAAATAATCGGCTGTATTGCAGCGATGGATCAAGGAGCTTCAGAACGCAAGCCCTGCATTGGGACGTACGCCGATGCTTGTCGAGTGCCGCGGGAGAGTGAGGACAAGCGACGTCCGGCTCCGGCTCCATCTCCGACGCTGTCGCCAACGCCTCTGCAAGCTCGTTACCAAATAGTCAACTTCTTCATCGAAACCTTCACTGCTTGATTTGCCGGCCGAAGTCCTCGACCAAATTATTCCCGAGCTTCGCAATCCTGAGGAAGGACCAAATTGGCACCAAAAACTTGGACGTCGACATTCATCCTCAACCAAGGCTATCAAGAATTTGCGCCTGAGATGTCGCTTCTTGAACGAAAGTGTGTCGCCTCTGCTTGCGCCTGTTATCGTGGTAGAGGATACGATGGAATCAGTCGATCGGCTCTCCAAGTTTGCCGAACATCCCCTACTCAGGAAAGAGATCAGACGTATCCATATCAACTTTGTCTTTTACTCACCCACGTTGGCACGCGACATATAGTTATATGCTGCCGCTTGTTGGAAGGACCTGGCACAAGTCATGAGTGATGCCAGTGACTATAGGGGAATAGGCGTCCCCGGATCTGAACCACAAGACGATTGGAGTCGAGCATGTCCATTCGCAGCGCGCAAATTGGCCCAAATTTGCGCCGGCTGTCAGCGTATCGCGCCTTCAGACACATGTGGAGTCAAGTTTATGGCGATGCTTGATCATGAACCGCTTCTCGTGAAGTGCTTTGCGGAGCATTAAGAGCGTGTCTTCGAACAACAAAACCGCGATCACTTCGAGTGGGCCATGGCTATTGTGGCGGCTCTGAGGAAGTTCGAAACCCTCTCCGAAATTGTTATAACCGACGGATTTTCGCAACCAACTGCTGCATCACTTGCCTCCTCTCCGTCAAACAAACGCCCGCTACACGACATTGCCAGCGAGGAATCTATTTCCCGCTTAATGGCCCATCCTACTATATCGATGTCGGATATGAACGAAGAAGATCTATGTGCCACCGCAAAAATGGCAGGTCTAGTGTTGGATCTTCTGAGGTCTTTGGATGTTCATGTAATCCAACCTGAGTACCTCCATGTCAACTTCATCCCGCAACCTACGTACGAAAGCTTCCTTCACAGTTTCCAGCTCACAGATGGCATCCCGCCGTTCAACAAACTGATGCAGAATGTTCGGGCCCTGGCAATCACTATTCCAGAGGAAAGTAACATCATGGACGAACAAGGGCGCTGGCGAGGTGAGGGGTTTGAAGAGGTGGAGGATTCACTCAGGAGGTTTTTCGATTATCTCACTGATGCTCCAAATCTTGAAGATCTCTTCCTCGCAGGTTCAGGAGTCGAGCTACCGGGTGACGACGACGCTTCTCAGACGGAACGATTCCTACCCACATGGCATGTAAGCAATATCATCCAGCCTAAAGCCTGGCCGGACCTCCGAAAATTCTCCATTGAGGACATTTGGATCGAGCCTGAGACCTTGCGTGGTTACATCGGAAATAGGGCGTCACGCCTTAGTCTGTCCTACGTCTTGGGAAGAAGGATCGACGGCAGCACGCTGAAGATGTTGCGAAAAATGGCAAGGAAGGGGCGACTGAATGTCTCAAGCCTAGGGGCTGATGGCTTCGAGATTAAGTTGTAATAGATAATGCCCGCGGCGGAGAGACCTGGCTCAGCCAGAAGCCACATCGAGGTTATGTCCTTTAGGCTTCGGGGGCACAAGACGTACGACATCTGCCATGGAATCGGGGACGTTACTGCACTGGCATAGGCCCATGAAGCTACATCTGCGGATCGTCAATGAGGGCGCTCAACATTTTGTGCCGGGCTGTTCTGTCTGTATTATTAGATTTTAGTCTCTTCGTCGACTGTTTCGCTGGTCTATGTAGTTCCAGCACCTTTTTCTTGTGTTGCGGGCAACACCGTCGTTGTAATATCATTCTCTTCGTACATGTATTATGCTCAAAATTCCATGCTTTACATTAGGATTGAGGTATACGTAGGTAGCCAAGGCAAAAAGATGTGATGAGCAACTAGCAAAGAAATGGGGAAATATTTGCTGCGTCACATTCAAATTACCATTCAATTGAACTTATTCGGCACTTCCCCTCCCCATCCTCACCCGCCTTATCCATACACTCACTTCAGCAAACACTTGTCACACGCCTCCTAATCATAATTACTTGTGAGCTCAACACGTTGATGAGCGCCCACCGTAATTTGAGAAGGTAAGAAATGGCATGGCTCTAAATGTCACAGCTCAGCCTTGGGCAATTCGATTTGCTTCAGAAATCCGTCCTTAGGGAACCGGTGTATCTTGCTAGTGAGTTCGATCCGTCAACGATCGACACATCATGTAAGTCAGATGGGGAGATTCGAAGACAAGACTTGGCAGTCTTTGATTTTAATACACTGATTTGGCAAAAGTATTTACAGAGAAGGTAGCAGAAGAAGGCAAGGGCTTCTCGATATCCCGATTCTCAACCTCTCCATCCCTGAATCTCGTCAAGAGTGAGGACATACTCGCTCCCGTAGATCTATGAGTTCAGATGTTAGTACCACTGGCCTAGCACGGCGCAGACGGGGGTTTGCAATGCTACTTACCTTCTTCAAGTCATCGACACTGTTCCATTCGGTGTTGTTGATGAAGCCATCACTCCAGACGCAGAAGTACAGCCAGTGGGCCTCGTACGCTTGGAGAAGATCGGGGAAGGGAGCGCTGCCGACTTCGGTAGCTGCGATGAGCTTTTTGTCCTGGCCGAGCGTGATAAGGTCGTTATATTGAGTCGTCATGGGCTGCGGTCACGTCAATAAGGGATTCTGCATAATGAGAGGGAATGAAAATAAGCTTACGCCGTGGCCTTGAGCGTAGACATCCGCGCTGAGAACGTCGACGGTATCATCACCGGGGTACCAATCCGCAGCAACCGAGTTCCAGATCCAGACGAGGTTGTTCAGCTCATGGTGGTTGGTGAGACGGTCGTACACCAGAGCCCAGAGCTTCTTGCACGCCTCGGGGCCCTTAGCTCCCCACCAGAACCACGCACCCTCGGCCTCGTGAAGCGGGCGCCAGAGAACGGGAACTCCGGCATCCTGGAGCTTCTTGAGCTGGACGGCGATGGCGTCGATGTCGCGGATAATGAGGGTGTAGTTGGCGTTGGTGGTGTCAGCAAGGGCAGTTGAGACATCAAAGTCGGTGGCGCGAGTGTAGAAACCGCTCCACCACTTGTTCTCCTCGGTGTCGTACAGGCCGGTAGGCGCGTTCCAGTGCCAGAGTACGGAGACAATACCACCGCGCTCGTGGTGGGTGATGGCCTCCTCGACGGCGGTTCCGACAGTTCCGCGCTCGACGCGGCTCGGGGAGTAGTCCATCAGGTCGACGCTGACGAGGGCCGGTGACTTGCCGATGGTCTCGTTGACCCAGTTCGCGTAGTTGAGTTCCTGCTGACCGGAGAGGATGTTCTTGCCGTAGATGGAGCGGAGGTAGGTGTACAGGGCGTTGGCATCAGCGTTGGCCTTCGTGTTGACGAGAGCCGTGTTGACATTGTGAGGTCCGCGGGCTTCGGTGGGCGTGAGGGTGATGGAGTCGATAAGGTACCATCCCCAGTGCGTTACGATGTCGAGCGTGTTGTTGCCCTCGTTGAGCAGCACCTGACCGGCGGAGACGTTGGCCCAAGTCTCGGTCGCGGCCAAGAGCACCTCGCTAGCGGCACCGCCATTGAGGATGACATTCGTGCGCTTCTCGCCGTAGATACCGGCGTATCTAATGTTGAGGTCGAATAGCTTTTGACCTTCGCCCTGGCAGTCCAAGTTGATGGTGAACTTGTCGGTGGCATCCTCGAAGCCGGTTACGTAGCCGGTACCTGTGAGACACAAAAGTCAATAAACGATGCGATCAGTGTTAAAGGATAACTGTGCCATACCTGTGAAGCCAGCTTGCTCTGTCGCGACAGTGGTTCCGTTGAGAACTCCATTTTCGGCCTCGTAGACCTTAGCTCCGGTGCTGCCGATGCAGTTCTGCGAATACGCGCCAGCGGCAAACGCGAGGACGGCACGGAGTGAAAGCGCCGTGTATCTCGCCATGTTTTCACGGAAGATCAACGCGGGGATGTTACAAGAAAAGGAAGAGAATCGAAAAGATCGGCTGAAACGGCATCGTCTCGAAGAATCAGAGGAATGGCTCCGCCGGTGGGATATCTATGTCTATTATAAACGACAATCGGGCGGCTCTCCTTCCATCCCAAATTGTCCCCCTCATTGTGTCAATCTCGCCGTATGCCATAGGGGGCTCATTGGGGAAGGGTATGGCGATCATTAAGATTCCAGGGGTGACGGAGGTTAATTTTGCGTCTCCACAATCCATCCCGTCTCTCTTGATTGAGCGTGTTTGCCGGAGCCTCAGGGCCATCGAACCGGGATGACGGAAGGGGGCTTGGCCTTCATGAATTTGAAGACGGAGTGTGATGCTCCGTGTGCTGCAAAAAGGGGAGCCTCCCCTACGACTCGGCACTTGCATGGCTCAGATGCCGGATGACAGAAGACACGTCCATTTACAGAGCCATGCCGCACGAATTGGGGCATCAATCCACGCAGAGTGGTCTCTGTTTCCTTCCTCTCGCACCTTCACCGTCCGAAGTGTCTTTTGGGCACAATTCACCGGCTGTTCATCCGAACTTGACAGTTCCTTATTCATGATGGGGCCCTGTCGATCACACAACCGATGGTCCGCCGCCAAGCGTTTTACATAAACATGGTTTGGCCTGATTCCACGATCCACTTCGGCCTCACTTAGATTCGAAAACTTTGGTGCCCTGAGTTTAGGGTCTCGACAAAATCGTGCCCCGTCTACATGATCCCACTGACGAACCCGCCGCTTCAACAACCAGCAGTTGTTTACAACTGCCCGGCTAGCTCAATGGGTAGAGCGTGAGACTCTTAATCTCAAGGTTGTGGGTTCGACCCGTAAGCTTCATTCCACGATCATCAGCCTCAATACAACCACTAACAATCACCAGCCACGTCGGGCTCAATTCCCGTCAGCGATTGACATTATTTTTTGGCCTTTCCGTCAGTGGTTCAAGTAGCCAAAGGCTCGCATCCTGGGTACCCTTTTGGTCGCAAACTTTAGAGTCTTGAATGTCGCTCTGCTTCTAGTGAATTTAGTTGCTCGTCTCGCCTAGATTATGAGTCTTACTTGAAACATTTCAGCCCCCTTTATGTTCAAAGCCAATTGCCGAGTTCAAACCTTCGTACGCTTTCGCACCTCAACCTCGGCCCCGAAATTCGGTTGTACGATCATTTTGTTGATTTGATTTGGTGGCCTCTCCGTCGTCTTACCAGCACTACCCTTCAGGTGGATGTCATAGTTCATCAACAACTCAATAAATATGCACTTGATCACATAGACGGCGAAGAAGCGTCCTGGGCATGCGTGCGGGCCATGGCCAAAGTTGAAGGCATCAGGTCCAGTTGTCGCAGCTTGGTGCTTCATCTCACGACCTGGTTGATCTCGCAGACGTGCAAAACGGAAACCGTCGAATTCGCTTGGCGGCGCGTTGCCGGTCTCGGCGTTGTACTCTGGGCTGAAGGTCTTCGTTGTAGTAGAGTTACTGGGAGTGTGTAAGCCTGACGCCAGTTTCAGGAATCTCCTAGGCTCTGGCATTGAAGCCTCAAGGCTCGCGACTTACTATACAGCCCACAAGGGGAAGGAGATGGCTGCTCCAGCTGGCAGCTTCATGCCATTCGAAAAGGTCTGATCTTTGCGAAGCCTTCTGGATGTACCGGCTTTTCAGTAAGGTCAGTTTTGAACTTGGGTTGATAGTAGAAGGGGGGCAACCTACCAAAGCTCAATGGACTTGTGCGCTGACTCTCCTTGATGAAGCTGTCGAGCTTCTTCAACTTGCCCATAGAAGACTTTGACAGAAACACTTGCCCATTTTCGTCTTCCTCTACACCATCTTCCTTGATGACTTCTACGATCTCCTCACGAAGAGGCTCGATGTATTCGGGGCGGCCGAGCAAATCGTGGAGAGCCTGGGAAAAGTTAGAGCTCCAACTTTGGACCAGTCAGCACGTAATCCAAGTTCATACCAAGGTGGTGGTGCCGGAAGTTGTGTGGATGGCAGCAAATGAAAGCAACATCTGGTTGGTCCCCATTGTCTCTGGAGTCTTCTCTTTGGCAGTTAGATACTTCATCATCCACGATACGAAAGCCCCAGGAGCTCCTGGTTTCGCCGGCTTCTCTTCAGGCAAGCTCTCACTTCGGAGAACTTCCTTCACCAAAGGTCGCATCTGCTCATTTGCTTTTTGAAGCGCTCGGCGCGTATGGCGCACCTCAGGAAGAAACGGGAGGACAAAAGACCTGATCCACGGGTTCCATCGGAGGGCAGCCATACGACTTTTGCCCACGTCAGTAGCGAAGGTGATCGAAGCCCGGATCCAGTCCTCCTCGCGACTCAAGGGCATGCCAACGAAGACCCGGCCACTCATCAACCCAATCATGCGGAGAACCAGATGGTAGCTGTTGAGAGTTTTCCACTCTCCCGAATCTCCAATCAGCTGATTCAAGCCGAACTTGGCTTCCTCCTGAATTGGCCGGAGAACACCAGACATATTCCTCGTCAAGTCGATTCGTACGGCCTCGATCACTTCCCATCGACTCTCGCCGACGTGAGTGTAACGGCCAAGGAAGATGTCGTAAATCTCTGCAGCG